GCTGTCCGGCGGAATCGTGCAACCTAAGAGATCTTACAGAATTAGCCATAGACATATCATCCCACTCATACCTGTTTTCCGTGAGAAATGACGATTCCTCCTCGTGAGTTACTCGAGTAGACTCATCGACTTGAGTGCACCTCGCTTGATTTGAGGCAGCTACATTCTCATGGGACCTTTTTCGTGGTATATCCGTCTCACGAGTCTATTCCCAGTCGGGAAAGGGCGGGATGATCGGGTATTGTGGTATGATGTGGTTCCGATGTCGAGCGCTTGGGGGTTGACTTCCTTGCACAGCGGGCGTTCCTATGGAGTGGGCCGGCATCACAAGAGCACAAGGGCACTTTGATTTCATTACGCGAGAAGTTTTGGTGCAGTTTTTTAGTTGGCCAAATTTGTTGCCACCATAGCATCATGATGATTAATCGCGGCCTCCCCAGTTGAACTGATTTAGTTTTTTTTCAGCCCTGTTGCCAGTTACAATCCTAATTAGAGTTGACATCTGTACGTACCCATATATGAGATATTGATATGAGTCGGTTTGAAGCAACGTATAGTCATTAGCAAACGTACAGCAGAAAAGATCTTATCGCATTAGCAAGGCTTTTACTAGTATAGAGGGGTTCAGCTGAGCGATGGAGACCACTGACTTGCGATTTGCATCGTCAAGGAAATTTTAAGGAATTTGTCCGCGGTTTACTCCGTTTGAAAGAAGACGGCGGCAGACTCATTAGCCGCTTTCCCCCGGTCCGCGCCCATTTGAGCTTCAAGGCCACTCAGTCTCAGCCAGCTGCCAGCCAGACTGTACCGCGATCTGTACTTCGATTTTTTTTCTCGTAGCAGGCAGGACATTGTCCCTTCCTGGAATCATCCGAAACACGCCAATCACTATAGCACTGCCAGCGTGTTGATACTTGTTACTGCTTTACTCCTCTGGAGCATCTGAATCAGCGCAACTCCCACTCAACTGCCTCATCCATCATTCAATCTGTTCTTCAATTATAGGACTTCGCTGTTGCATTCGTAGCTCTAGAGCTCTGCATTCGTTTCTGCTCCGGACTAAGAAATCATGGGTGCATGCATGTCGACAGGGGGGATGGTGGATGTCTCGGATGATGATAAGCGAAGGCATAGAGAAGCGGAGAAATATCTCAAGGAAGTGAGTCTGCAATGCAATTATGCTGCACTTTGCTTGTCATTCTGCACCTCATGATATTGACCATATCTATTATATAGGCCAAGGCCAGGATGGCTTCCCAGGTTAAGGTACGTTTGACGCCCAGTTCTCGTATGTTATTCACCATCATGTATGATATCTAGGTTCTTCTCCTAGGGTCTGGCGACTCAGGAAAATCGACAGTTCTAAAGGTAAGTCACTTCTACCAGTTCACCTGCTGTCAGTTCACGAGGCTTCTTTCGTAGCAAATGCGACTGATTCATCGGGTACCCTTCTCACCAGGAGAAGTTGAGACCTATCGTCAACTAGTGTTCAACAACCTGACGACAGGTCTGAATTACGTGTTCGAGGCCATGGAAGATATGGAGCTCAAACTTGCGGAGGAGAACCTACCACACATGGAACTCATTCAGAATGCTCGGGATATCCGTGAACAGGAGTCTTTTCCTATGTTATACTACGAGCCCTTGAGGGATCTTTGGGCTGACAGCGGGGTACAACAGGCGTATGGAAGAGGGAACGAGGCTGCCCTTCCTGAAAAGTGAGCCTCGTGTTTTGTGCCTTGCTTCTTCCAGACCTCACAACTCCAACTACAGCTTGTCGTACTTTTTCTCCTCGCTGGACAGATTATTTGACCCATCATATCATCCAACCGAACAAGATATCGTCCAGTGCCGAGCTCGCACTATTGGAATAACTGAGACAACTTTCCATCTTAAAGACCATGAAATGCTCATGGTCGACGTCGGTGGTCAGAAGAGCGAGCGGAGGAAATGGATTCACTGTTTCCAGGATGTCACTAGTATTCTATTTCTCGTCAGTCTAAGCGGGTATGATCAATGCCTTGTCGAGGATCGAGATGCGGTGAGTTGCTTTGCACCTCGTGGTCTGTTTGAAGACGAACCTTCGGTTTCTTATTCCAGAACCAAATGCAAGACGCTATGACAATATGGGACTCAATATGCCATTCGCAATGGTTCAAGCAGACATCAATAGTACGTCAGGTTGTCCTCGTTATTTTGAAAGCCTTTCACGCGTGCTACCGCATCAGATTCTCTTCCTTAACAAGGATGACCTCTTCCAAAAGAAGATCGTCAACTCTGACATCAAAAACTTCTTTCCGGTGAGTCTTTTTCCTCCGACTGGCTCATCTTACTCAATCTACCTCAGGACTACGAGGGTGAAGCAGGGGACGCAAAAGCTGGACGAGATTATTTCCGGCGACGTTTCACGCGACTCGCTCACAAAGCTGGACGTTCTAAAGAACGCGAAATCTACATTCAGTACGCATTTTCTCTTATTCACTGAAGTCGCAACCTTAACGCTAGAAAGTGTAACGACTGCGACGGATACGGAAATGTTGAGAGTAGTGATGGCCGCTGTTGAAGGTTAGTTACTATGCGGATATTTTTAGGATTGAGTTACTAATTTCTTTCCTTTCCTTCCAGAGTAAGTTCGTCCTTCTATTGATCCTTCCCCCCCCGCCAGTGATGTCGTCCAACCGTACGCTCATCCATTTCCCACCACTCTTCCCTTTCCTTTCATAGCATCGTTCTTCGATCCAATCTCCAAATCGCGGCACTAATTTGATGTTTCTTTTTTTGCTCTTCATCTTACGATTTATCCATGTCATCATCAACGCATCTCGCTATCGTGCTCCAAAACATAATGCTATCGCCGGGACTCAAACTTGCATATTCAATTTTCAACTATAATTTTCCTCTACAATCTTACCATTGCAACCAATCTCTACTGGCCCATCACGTAACTGTCCGATTCTGCGGGCTTCTTTTGCATTGTTCAAAAAAATCAGTGCTGTCATAAGCAAAAACGTGAGTTAGCCCCCCTCTTCGATTGCGAAATTTTTTCGCAGGAACGCTGATGCCGGCTACCCTGTCGCCAGATCCGCGAAATCATGCTTTGAAGATTGTCGCTCCAATTGGAGCCTAATGGTGATTAGGCCGCAGGCACAATGTAGCAGTACCCAGGAAGCGGAACCCCCTTGTGGCAGCATACCATCTAAAACAGGAAGACACCCCGCTCGCCTCAACGACTGGTTAGCACTTTTTCACTCATTACAGAGCAGGGTGCCTTCACCTGTCGTCCTTCACACATGTCGTATGTCTTCCTTTGACATTTCTCCCAGAGCTATCGTGATCAAGCTGCTATACATGCCGCACCTACTATGTATTAATAGGATTCTGGGCCATGTACTGTTTGCTTTGCTTATGGTATTCTTCATCGAACGCTGTTTGCGTCTTGGTTTAGTTTAGTTTGATGTATTTTTCATTCGCTTCTTTTGGCATTTTGCTCCAGCTAACGGTTTGTATTGGCCTTTATAATATTTTGGCAAGAATTATGACAAAGTAAATCGGTTCCCTGTGATAGACTAGTCTGGATGAGGTCCTTGAATGTTCCGGAACAGAGCGCGTGAGTGCTAAAGAGTCGAGATCCGTTCATCCAATTCGTGCTACCGAACTGTATAATTTTATCGATGTGTGACTTTGATCCGAGGTTACAGTGCGCCCTCCGCGTGTGTTCGAAGCTTGTACCTACGGAGAAAAAGGGTATTTTCACTCGGGAAGAGCCGACTTCTCCCCCATTTGCCATGACTCATGTAGTCCGTCGGCGAATTTCTGGGAAATACATTCGAGTAAGCGCTGAATTAATGAATGAAATCGGTGAGCCCTTGGCTCTGTTCCGACATCACCACAATCACTTTCAAGGTGCTAGGCGGTGTTTCCTCGGGTACGAACTGGCTCTGGGCCAGATCCATGGGAAGAAGATGTTATCAATTGGCCATTGGCCGTTTGGCGATTGGCCGTTTGGCGATTGATGATGGCTATTTGCGAAGATCTAAGAGCAAGGTTTTCTATGCTTAGATGAGGCATCTTGGCCTGTCTGCGCCACTACCCTTGAACCCTTGAAGCTTGAAGTCCGAAGTGAACTCACCCATAGCGCCGGACACCAAGATAAGCCTCAAGTGCATGACCAGTCATCATGTGGTTTCGTTCTATCCGTGCAGTTGGGCTGTATGACTAATAGTTGCGGCCAGAGTGTCGTCATATCCCTGTTTCAGATACAGTGGGCCCGCCCGCAACAGATGTTTGATGGATGATCGAACTCAGCTAGCCATGGCCGATACGAATTAGAACTACTTCCACAATATACAGCCTTATTTCCGAAACTTGATCAGATGGTGACGCAATACGCGAGAAGCGCCATCTGAGGAAAATACAAATTGGAGAAACTGAGACGCGGCGAAGCTTGCAGACCGTGAAACCCGGCTCATGCATCATGGAGCGGTGCCTGTGTTTGAGGCGCAGGCTGCGGCTATTTGTAGATGATGCCCTTGAGCGCTGTAGAATATAAGGGTATATTTAAGACAATGGCGCGGGTGAATTGGCTAAACTGTTGTGAGTTCCTTCCAATTTGAATATGTCCCAACAATGCCAATGATCCACCCGGTGCTAGTGTTATTGTCAGCGGTGATACTGAGATAGCTGGCGATATGATGTTTGGCTAAAGTAGCAACCACGTTGGGAAAGTCTTCTGTGCGTATTCCCGCAGCTTCTGTGGGCAGTGGAGGGGGGGAACACCAGTCTTCTGGATAATCTCCGAGATTCTGATGGCCTGAATGTTATATTCAACGTGTTAATTGAACCAACCTGAGTGAAAGCTGAAAATAATGGTGTGTCCTTGTCATAGGCCTTGCACAAACACCGCAGATAAGGTATTTAAAAAGCACTTCAGAGCAAGTGAAAAAGCATACACCCCTCAAGCGCGCAGACAAAACGCGTACAAAGTGCACGTGACCGCATAATGAAAATGGTTGTCCTTCCGATCATACTGAACTTCAAGTAATCCGTACTAGTGATCTTACCACCAAGTGCTTCCCCAGTTCTACTTGTAATGACTTTCGGCGACGTTATACACTAGATAAAGGCCGAGCTTCGCCGGCAGCAACCTTGTCCCACAAGTGTCGTGTACTTATCGATTTTTGAGGGGAACAAACGGAATGTGGTAATATACTAAATGTACATCAACGCTTACTAGTGGTATATTCAAGTTAAGCTCCTTTTTCTCTTAGTAGGTCACTGCTGTGTGCCAGTCCTTGGGGGAAATTTCTCGCCATGGCCCTCTGGGCATCCTGTACCCTACCAAATTCTGTCGCTTTGTGCTCACCGCGAGGCTGGTTCGGCCGTTTGCCCCAAGCCGAACGGTGCAGTTACACTATCCCCTGTTTTTATATATACTTTTGTTCTATCTGGTATGCGTCTTTCACTTTGCTCGTCTTTTATGCTTCGACTATTCTTCAGTGCCCGTCGGTCACACAGGTCGGTCCAAAAACTCGGTGTCAAGAGCTGGTCGCGGGTTTCCTAATGTAATGTGGCTTTTCACAAGTCACAGATTCGCTATCACCTTTGGTGTGTTCTTTCAGTCACTGCGATCTTCGATACAACTAATTTTCCACCTACATAGTTTATAACTTCGCTATTGCAATTTGCATGAAGATCACGCTCCGCCGCTGGATCGACGATGATAGACTCGACGACAAACATTGGGGCGCCGAGATGCGGGAGGTGGAGTTGTGAGAGAACGAGAGGTGGGTTCCGGGCCCTTCTTTATCCTCCTCGTTCGGCACATAGTGGGGAAGTGAGGTGTGTGTTTTTCTTAACGGACTGGCGTTTATCACTCAATTCGAAATCGCTATTAACTCCCTGCGACCCCAGCAACAACCTCACGCTCTCGCTCGCACCAGGCTGGGCATTCGTAGAAACTGAGAGGTGGAGACCGGATGCACTGGGGAGGTCTCTGCCTCTGTTCTAATTCTTGTTCTGCTTCTGGGAGTGGTGATCCTATCTTTGGGGCAGAGTTTTATGTGTCGCTGTCCTATGATGCGCTGACTCTTATTACGATCGATGGTCAGACGGCTGGGTGTACACGAATGACGTATGAGCAGAGACGCGTTGTATACCTCTTGAGGGCTGGTTTGCAATCGGGATAACAACAGAAGGTGTAAGGAGGGATCTCAAGGGCATGTTTGCCATCGAGTTTTTAACGAGAAATTCTCTGTCGGGGCTACTTGAAACGCTAACGGTAGTTGAAGTGAACTTCGGCCGACACTTTGTCGATAATGTCTACAAGCTTAGGCACTTGTATCATGAGGTTGCTGCCGGCGAAGCTCGGCCTTTTTCTAGTACTTATAATTGTAACGAGATTGTAGTACTATCATCTATGCACGCATGCGACAGTACTTGCCTGAATTCCCACGGGGTTGAAAAATGGGCTGAGAGTGACCTTGTGGTACAAGGTAACTACGTGAGGCCCAAGTCGGACCCAGCCTACTACAGGCTGGCCTGACCCAGTGCGCGATATAGCTTCCTTGTTGTCGCCATTCCACTATTCCGAGTCTCCGACAGGCCAAGTAGATTGTAAAGACCGCTGGTCACGACGCAGGATCAATGAACATGAAAACCTCCTGTGATGAACCTGGTAGGCAGGACCTACTGCTCCCAGTGCTGTTCGCCCAGTACAAGAAAAGGGACCACCCCACCATTTCGACAGCCATGATCCAGACCAGGATTTCCCTGGTTTCGGCGGCTACCATCCTTTCCGAGCTCGGCATCACAAATCAGCCTGTCTTTGGACTTGTTGTTGATGGCACACTTGACATAGTTATGATGGCGAGGAAGGCAAACGATGTATGTGCTGCCTTTGTTCACCATCTTCAAACGAGCTCACGAGTGATCAATGTAGCAAATCCACGCCATGGACCATAATGTCCGACTGTATGATATCAGAGACCCTCTTCAAGCACTGGAGTTTGTGTCTATTCTGCCGCGCGTCATGGCCTGGGCCTCTGCCGTTTGTTAGAGGAGCGGCTTGCCATTATAGATGTGAACCAAGTTCAATCAAAGCCGTGGTCCAAGTTGTCCCGATGACAGGAAGACGAAATATTGGCGACCGCTAAACAGAATTAGCGCAAGGGGATACCAATGTTTCCGTTCGCACATATAATACTACTATCACTTAGCTGGTCCAAGCACTGTTTATCAGCGCTCCATCGCACTCATATTCGTGTCTCATACAGGATTTAGAAACTTGCTCGGTCCTCGCTCGAGCTCAAGATCCAATAGTTGTTTATCTGGTCTTCAAAGTCTGATTCGAACCCTTTCTCAAAGCCTAGTCAATTTTCAAATGATGACCGCCGTTGTCGCGAGCAGCCTGAATCTGAAAATGGATAAAGGGTGTATAGATCTCATAGATCAAAATGCGTCTACAAGTAGTCCCACTGGTCTACACGTTCTCGAGTGAAAGATATTTTCGAGTAACTAGAGCTTAGCCCTGAGTCCTGAGCGCTGAGCGCTGAGCCCCTGCTGCTAGTACATCAACAGTGTTTAATTTGATTTTCCATGTCGACCCTGGCGGCTGTGCTTTCAAAGTCAAATTCAAATGCAAAGTACCTTACATTCAAATGTTATTATCTTTCACTGAGCTTCAAGTTGTCCTCCGAATGGACTCTCCGAGTATATGACCACATGTGCTACTAGCTAGTATATCTCCATAATATTCATATTCGTTGACGTTCAAGTTGCCCCATCCGGTTTTGTTAAGCGACGCTTATCGATAAGTCGCCATGTCAGAGATCGCGGGTCCTGCTGCTGCTGCCTTGGCATCGCTATGCCCTGACGACCTAGTTTTCCTTCAGGCACTCCCCAAGGCAGAACTTCATGCTCATCTTAATGGATCTATACCAATCCAAACAATACTGGAACTTGCGCAGCAATACTCACCTTCTACCGTCGCACAGACAACTGAGGTCACAGACACTCTCGAGAAACTCCGAGTCAAGTCTGGAATCGTCTTCAATGAACTAGATGATTTTTTCTCTCTCATGCCTGCCATCTATGCTCTGACAACGACTCCGGAAGCAGTCACGACCGTTACTCGTGCAGTCCTCCAGTGGTTCTTGAACCCCACAGGTGATGGCGCGGAAAGCCCTCAGTGCACGTATCTTGAACTACGAACTACACCTCGCGCGACGACACACATGACGCGAGAGAGGTACCTTACAATCGTGCTTGATGAAGTAGAGATGTATCCTGCTATTCAGGCCGCCCTGATCGTATCCGTCGATCGTCGCATGAGCGACTTGGACCTTGAGGAGTGCGTTAGTCTTGCCATCGAGATGAAGAACAGGGGTAGAAGAGTCGTAGGCATTGATGTATGCGGGGATCCACGCAGGGGCGACATGCAATCTTTCACTCGGCACCTATCAAGAGCCAAGGATGCCGGTCTTGGATTGACCGTGCACATCGCGGAGGTATCTTGTTATATTCACTCCGGAGTCTGGTGTATGCAACTGAATTTGTAGACCACAGCGAATACAACTGAGGATTCTCTGGCACTCCTTAGTTGTCGCCCGGATCGACTCGGACACGCGACATTCCTTTCAGATGAACTCAAGGCTATGTTCTTTGAGGATATCTCGCAGTCTGGGACGGAATGCAGCTCATTGTTTGAATGTGCTACAGGCACAACAAGCCCTTACACGACAGCCGGACAGAGATTACAAAATCTCAAAGTGAGTTATTTTCTACGCTCCATTTCAGATAGCATTGAGTCTAAAGAAGCGAAAGTGCAGATGTCTTTCTTGGCCTATGCAAAGAAATTTTATGAGAAAATTGCGTCTAAGGATATCGAAGAGACGATCAAACAAGCAAAGTCGCCCAATAGCGCGCGTGAAAACAGACACTGCAAGCCGTGCATCGAGATATGCCTAAGCTCCAATCTTCTGTAGGATCATGCATCAACTCTGCGAGCTCTAATTCAATGTTTCTTTTAGAGGCAGAACCGCCGCATCCCTCGACGCGCATCATATTCACTATTATCTGAAGAATGACCATCCTATCGTCATCTGTGTAAGTACGCTATCTTGTGTGTCATAGGATCTTCCGTTTGACGTTCTACATTACCAATAGACCGACGACACACTCCCTTTCAGAACGTCTTGTCTTGGAGAGTACTCTTTGCTTCTAGCACAGCCTCCATTAGGCCTGGGCTTGAGTAAAGGTGAAGTAGCTAGAGTCGCACGGATGGGCATGGATGCTGCATTTTTGAGACCTTGTGATTGAACTAGATTTTCAGTTTCGCCCACGACGTCGATTTGGATGGGATGGGTCCTGACTCTAGAATACTAGCCGGTCACATAGCAGGACAGCACATATCCCGACCTGTAAAGAAGAAGATTACCTGTACGATACCTGCAAAATGAAAAAGAAATGCCAACGAAGAGGTGTCGCGAGATGATACAACTGCACAGTAGATGGTTGCCATGAAATAAAATGCAACATAAGATTCTTCGTCCTCTCGTCACCTCCAGTGTATAGCCAGTCACGTACGTCGCAAGTAAGACTGAACATCAGTTAGCTAAAGTACCGAGATAGAGGCTGAAATGCACAAAAGCATGCCTTCGGCCGCCTCATCAGCAGTGGCACCTCTCTGCAAAGGAAACATATCATTTTTTGAGTGAGTACATAGGTCAACTTCTTTGCGAGCACGAGAGAATCAAAACTTAGCTTGTGAGGCTCGGCATGTGCGAGTTGCGCATGTCGTGGAGGTGCAGCTGGGGAAACGGCCAAGCATAACAATCTGGAAGTTGCATGCTTGAGAATCAACACGTCCCAACAACTTATCCTGATCCCATTCTTTTCATCAAGCTGAGTTCCTGTCCAATGTCAATGGTGCACCCGGTGCTAGGGTGATTGTCATCGATGATACCGAGGCAGCTGACGACAAAACTTAGACATAATGTTTGGCTGCTTGACCGTCTAGTTTCACGTTCAATGTTCAAAGATCATATTGCGAAACTTGTAGCCTGACGGCGGCTGCGACTGCGCCGCAGGAAGCTAACGCAGACAGCCGGGTCTTTTGCAACATTGGTATGAATTGGTAACACGTCGGAGCCCGTCCTGTGTTTACAACCTCCCTGCATAGCGCAATCACGTCGCGGACTTGGATCTAAAGGACGAATCACGATAACTTGGGGGCTTGATCATTATAAAAAAATGACGCACGTGGCAAGATCAATTGAATGGTCTTATAGCATGGTGCCACACTGCCACGGTTACTGTCACGGTAGGATGTATTATCATGGTAGGCTGTCAATTTGAAACGCAGTGCTGTTGTAACTGAAAACTCCTATGTGTGGAAAAGCGCCGCAGGGCTATACACCCAACAAAAATCCAAGGGCATCTGGAACTTCTGCAGCCTAAGGGTCAACGGAAGTGAACCAGACAACATCTCACAGACGCCACACATGCACGTGTAGTACTCGTGACCAGTCTTCTAATGCACGTGGTGTTTGTACACATATGGAAGTCCAACTTGCTCTTGGTCCCCTGTGAGGTACTACGTAGCCACATTTGCGAATGCGAAGGTACTCAAGTGCTGCAATAACAGTTTCATTCTGGTTTTTGTGCAACCTCGAGGATTTCTCCCCAAAGCCGAACCGTTTCACAGATCGAATCACAACTTGAATGGCCACCCCTCATACACCACGATCACGGAAGTCACAGGTACCACCGCCAGATACACCCCTAGTCCCTTGCCACACCTCACAATTTGATTATCGCACGGGGGATCTGGAGCTAGGTCGCGAGGCTGTTCTTACTGACTTGAGAAGGTATCTGCAGGTCCCGTTCGGTTCACTAGCGAAGTGTGTTGGTGCCGTGCCTTCTCAGCAGCTTCTGGAGGAGATGCGCGACGACTTCATACGAAGCGAGATTCTCACCGACAACGGCCTGGAATGGAAGGACTTCATTCGACCTGCGAAAATGTCCGAAGAGATGTCGTTCAAGCTCGAGGGAATCATCTCTGGAATCTTGGAACAAGTCCCGAATTGTGGAGTATCCTACCTATCGAATCCGAATAAAATGCTCCTCTCAGAGCGCCATAATACTTCCCTGCCGGATGGATACCTTGTGCGGGCGAACAATCGAACTGTACCCAGATGCATTGGTTCGATATCGCTGTGCCATTCGAATTCAAGAAGGAACAGGATGCCAAAGCTTTCCGAGACGTAAGTTGTTGTCATAGATCTCTTCTGCGCCGGCTTCTAAACTCTGCTCTAGAACGAACATAAGATAATCTGGAGCCTTCACAATATCATGCGCGAGGACCCCTGTCGTCGGTTCGCCTTCGGTATCACAATCGAGGACACGCAATTGAGACTGTGGCTCGGCAATCGTGGGTTCCTCGCAGTTACAGAGCCTATCAACTGCTTCGAGGTATGCCACCCTATCGCGCTGTATGTCAGGGTACTAACTGGTATAATACATCTAGGACATTGATGGCGTCACCTCTCTCTTTTATGTTCTTGGATCAGCATCTACGTCTACCTCCTTGAAAGGGCTTGGATGGGACCCCACTATTGAGCGGATCCGTGTAGAAGAAAAAACGCAATACAGGTTCACAGTAGGGGACGAAGTGTTCACCACGACACGGGAACTTGCCACCTACGGCGCGGACTCTATGGTTGGGCGTGGAACTCGCGTGTACGAAGCCACGGACGCTAAAGGGAAGAAGGTTGCCATCAAAGATTCGTGGAGAGAAATTGACCGTCAATCTGAGGGCGAGATCGTAGAAAAAATCTTGGCCTCCTGCGAGAAGAAGCTGGGAACAGAGGATTTCGCCGATGCCAAGAGACACTTCATTGGAGTCCGGCTCTGGAAGGATGTCACAATCGACGATGCCTCGGATGAGACGGTAAACCCGGTGGCCGGATATGAGCATGATGGCACCTGGAAGTCGAAACCTATCGATCTCAAGCCCATCCTCTCCGAAAGGCCGCATTTATCTACCACGGGTGACGTACCCGACAGTGGTAGACTATCTGCCTTCCTTCCCGCACAATTGGGCATTGTCGGGAGAAAGGAAACACGAATCCCACAGAGAGTCCACGCGCGCATCGTTTTTGACGATGTTGGAGTCGCTATCAAGGATGTGATCTCTCTGGCCGACAACCTGAGTTGCTTGTCTGGCGGACTGAAGGGTAAAGTAACCATTCTTATTCCCCTTACCTCAGTCGCTCACGCCACCCTTAGCCCTATCTTATTTGCATAAAGCAGGCTGGGTCCATCGCGATTTCAGCGTCAGGAACGTGAGTTGGATCGTCGGCGACAACGGGGGTATCGGCAAACTGAGTGACTTCGAGTACGCGAAAGAGATAGATTCAAACACTTCTCACGACGATAGAACGGTAAGAATTTCTGAAGATGATACCTCTCGCTGCTAACTCGTCAGCAGGGAACAATGCATTTCACGGCGATAGAATTAGAATATCAGGAGTACTTTTTCCTCCCCCGAGCTTCCCTTCCACCTGCTAGTACATCTCTTGACACAGACCCTCCGCTCCCTCCTCCATTCCCCATGAACTTCCTGCACGACATCGAATCTGCATGGTGGGCATATACGTGGATCTTCTTTTATCACACGGACACGATCACGGCGAACTCCAACAATTCCTTTGATGCGCATGCGCAGTGGAGACAATTCCAGCTGGCGTTCCCTGGTGCGATTTGGCAGGGAACACCCCTGAACTTCTTCACTCAAATCCGAAGACTTCAGTGGACCTGCAAATCTATCCTTTCAGACAGATGCTCTAATGTCTGCAAAAATATTTCTCATTTCGCACAAACTCTCCGAGACAGTTATGAAACGGCAGAGTCTAAATACCCCTTGCTTGCGCTTGATGACTCCCTTCTGAAAGACATGCATAGAAAAGCCGCAGGATATCTCGATGATGCGCAACAGAATGCTGGTGATATCAAACTTTGTCTGCTCCCTAAGCTCCTCGAGCAGAAGAGGCCCCGAGAGGAAGGTGAAACGTCAGATAATGCAGGGAAGAGGATCCGACACGGTTGATTGATTGTATGATAAAGACGAGAAGATGCTAGCCGAGTATCTCGCAGCTGTTGTGCTTGCCAATAATAATGATCCTCGTAGCTAAATCTTATCTGTCGTTTGGAGTAAGTTATCCAGCGCTCATCACTCAATATCAATGCCGGCCGGGGGCCCCACCATTACCTATCGATTGTACTACAGTAACTTCGGCGTCGAGTAGTCCTGCTGGCCAGCATTTTGCCAGGTAGCCAAGATCCATTGACTCTGCTAAACGTGCGAGATCACACTTGGCATGCTTTACATTTTGTGAGTGAGCCTTATTGGAAAGTTTCATTACGCATACCGAGTCTCATACAGGATGAATCGACATGTAAGGCGCTGCTCGGTCCTCAAGTTCCATCCAATAGTCGTTATTTGATCTTCAAATTCTGATTCGAACCCTCCTTCAAAACTCAGTCCGTTCTCAGTCGTTGCTGATTTCCCCATGAGCAGCCTAAACCTGAAATCGATAAAGATAGGTGACTAGCATAACCAAGAACTCACCGGTCCACTGATGGCCACTACGTAGCATTCAGATCCCCAAATTTCAGTCTCGAGTACAACGTCAAAATACTGGTTGTGTCACAGAGCAGGACGGCACATAGTCTGATCTGCGAAGAAAATAGTTGTGCGACACTTCTGAAATGGAACATATGTGCCACCCGACCTTGACTTTCAATTTCTAGAGTACTTGGCTCTACCAGGTGAGATTGCCAATGGACCTGTCACTTCCCTCGATGTGCTCATCAGTACAAGAAACGAGAACGATACGTTTAGTGGATGATCGTTCCGTTTGTGAATTGTCTGAAGTTTCAATGGAGTGCTACTAGCAATGAAGAAACGTCGCAAAATAATACAACTGCACAGCATACGGTTGCTATGAAATAGAATGCGACATTAGATTCCTCGCCCGCCTGTCACCTCCAGCGTATGGCCAGACACGTACGACGCAAGCGGTGAAGCAAGGCTAAACAGACCATCAGTCAGCTAGGGTACCAAGATAGAGACTGAAACGCACAAAAGCATGCCTGCGGCCGCCTCGTCCGCAGTGGCACCTCTCTGCAGAGGAATATCCACGTAAGCACTAGCGTTCTGAGCAATAGCGCGCTGCCTTGCTCCGGGAATGCCCAGTGCAACCTTCTGACCGTCAATCTCAATGGTTGCGCCGTCCTCTTTTGCTGCGGTCAACCTACATCCTGTCAGGTGCAATAGTGTGAAAGTTCGACATGTCATACCGAGTGTGCACGAGGCCATATGCAATGGTATTCGCACGAACACCAAATGGTCCCCACTCCTTTGCGATAGTCTTGGTGAGACCTACAACCGCAGATTTTGCAGCAGCGTAATTTGCTTGGCCAACATTTCCATGCAGACCAGACGTCGAAGAAACATTGATGATAGAACGGTTTTCAGGCGAAGTGCTCTAGGAGCTTGTCATTACACGGGAATAACTAGATTAAGTGCACTTGAACGAACCTTGACTCGGAAATAAGGTGCAGCAGCACGAATAAGGCGGAAGGGTGCGCGGACGTGGATTTTCATGATAACATCGTATGTCTCGTCTGGCATGGTGTGAATCATCTTGTCGTGTGTGAAACCAGCTATACAACATGTCAGAACAGAAGGTACTTGATAACGACCTCGAAAGCGCTGACCGTTGTTCACGATGTGATTAATCTTGCCATACTGCCTAGAATGCAGTCAGAAACGAGGCCACCTACTCGTATGGCGAAATAGCACTGACTTTACAGTTGCGTCAACGATTGTCTGTGGAAAGTCGTCTGCTCCAACATCTCCTGCAACGTATATTGCGTCACCACCTGCCGCCTTTATCTCGTTCACAACATCCGCAGCCTTCTTGGCGTCAATACTAAGCAAAATATCCAGTTAGACTTTGTAGGTTTGGAACACATTCGGAACGCACTCGCTGACTACAACCTTGGCGCCTTCCTTTGCAAACAGCAGCGCTGCACTGCGCCCGATACCCTATGAATTTACATATTCATCAACATTATCTCCCTCTCAATTAGAAAACTCCTTGCCTGTCCGCTACCTAACCATACGTGGCAACGTTAGCATGACAAGCACTTAGCACCGTGTGATCACACAAACTCACCAGTGATGATAGCTACCTCTCCAGAGAGAAGCCCTCGTCCATGTGCATTGCTAAGGTGACCGGACACTTGTGCGAGACGGTTTGCCATAAGTATATACTCGTCGGTGAGTTGTGCTACGTCAGCAATTGTTACAAGTCGCGAACTAGGGCTCCGTGAAAAACTACCGAGTTTTTGACGTTGGAGTTTTTGACAGGTTTTTAACGTGTTTTTAACGAGTCGATAACTCGGGGTTGATATTGGGGTGTCAAAAACTAAAATATATATGTATATGATCTCGGGAACATAGCCTATCGAATTCTCCATCCGAACATCCGAAATCACCGAAAAATCGTTAAGATATGACCAACGATCTGTCAACTACCGTCCAATTGAGCGTTCGGCTGAATTTTCGATGTCACCGTCAATTCGATGGCGGATGAGCGTACAGCGTCAACGATGAATTGGTTGAACTCCGCGTTACGTAGCTCCTTCAAAAGTTCTACCATTGTCAGTCAGGTTCAAGTTCGGCAGTGGGCTTTGATGGATCCTGAACGTGTTCGCGCTGTCCCACTTTTTCTTCCTCCGCCTTCTCACTGTCCTGTCCCGTAGACCAAAAGGCCTCCCTCAAAACCAACAGTTAAGTTTCGTGACCTGGACAGTACTCTTTTCGATGTCGATCTCGATAGCAACGGTCAGAAAAGGAAACACGACAACTCCGAGTCGCAAGCAGAGGCTAACCCGGAGCCGCAGGACTCTAATTCAGACTCGGAGGACAATTGGTTGGAGGAGAGCGAGGACCCAGAGATTGAGCGTGATCCAATGTACAGGTCTTGTGATACGAGAGTACTTGTGGGTAGCGAGGATGCTCATCTTGATGCTCCTCGATTGTTGGACTTACTATCAGAGAAGCCGGTGGAAGGGGCAAGCAGGACACCTCAACTACAGGATAGCACAGTTCCAACGCCTCCGGGAGGGCCTGTACAGTGGGCATTTGCATTACCGTAGCGAAAAAATGTCAAAATGACCTGAAAAAACGCATTTTTTGAGTCTGTCAAAAACTGGTCAAAAACTAGTTTTTAACTCGTGTCAAAAACCCCTCGAGGGTGGGGGTGAGTTAAAAACTCGTCGTTAACTCCGTGGGTAGTTTTTCACGGAGCCCTATCGCGAACTGAATTCGAGCTTCTTATCAGAATCCGGCTCGGCTATAGTCATTCCCGAAGCCAACACCTCGTGAAATCCGCGTATGCATAATGCACTAACGTTTATTCACGTTCGCGAGAGTCAATTGGAGGCCCGAGTTCATCACCGACGTTGTGATGTTGTAGTGCAGATTTCACATGTCCTGTAATTGCTGGAACATATATATATATACTAGTCAAATTTTGATAAATTATCGTCAGCAGCTTGAAGATTAGTATGAGTCTATGACCTGAAGAACTTCGGTCATCATGACACTCCAAATCATAATCTACGTCGACGTCAAGGTTCCAAGTTACAACTGTGTTGCCGTATAGAGCCGCGTAAATCAGTAGCATAACAATACACATCCACCGTAGTAAACGACTTGCACAACAAGCTAAATATCTGTCATTACATGCGTACATCATGCGTGCGCAAGTGTACAACATCGCACACGCGTCAAAACATGGGTTTGGATACCTTGCACTGATATTAACAATATCATGACTGTCAATCTGAGTCCCCCTGTCGTCTCCGTTTAGACGAGCGTTGCTGAGCAATCGCGGATGCAGACACAGAAGTCTTGGCCGAACTAGGATTGACCGCTCCTCTTTGCGCGTGTCTCGCAGCTCTTGCAGAAGACCCATTAACAAGACCAACGAAGAGGGCGTCTGCATCGGCCTTAGTATCCCATATGCCATCCATCTCCACATTAGCAAGTCTGCCAAGATGGCGCTCTGCCTTTAACAACAAAGCCTCTCGTTCCTCCTCCGTCTCAGCATCTGCGCGCAGGGCTCTCAGAGTTCGTGCGATATACTGACAGGCAGTGTACTTTCGCATGCTATTTTCATGTTCTGAGGCTGGCGTTGCGCGAGGAGTAGGGAGATGAATGACTTCGTCAAGTTCCTCGCGGATGTCCTCGAGTTGCTCGTCTCGTCGTTTGAGGTTACGTTGGAGCCTTGCAACCTCCTTCTCCTGTGCTTCCAAGGCAGACTTTAGTCGTGCGATCTCCTCTTCAGCGCGATCCAATTCGCTTGCGAAAACAACCGGAATCTCGTCGAATTCCTCATCGATTCCAACATCGATTCCAGCAAGTGTAACAAGTGTGGGTGCTGAATTACCATTTGGAAACACCGGTGGTTGGAGCTGAACCTCTCTGACGGATGGGTGATCCATATCAGGTGATGACAGGCGCTCTGCTACAGAAGAGGGTGGTGAACTAAGAATGCTGAGCGCCCGTCCGTCAGGTGACACATCCTGAAAGGTGACATGGGAGGCTTGGGAATGATGAACGGGAGTTCCAGGTGTTGGATCGGGCTCCACCAGGTGAGTTCTTTTTTCATGTACACCCCGGCCGGTAGAAGATCGAAGTTTGACTCTTAAGCCAGTAGGAGCGGTCTGGGGTAGTTGCGGTGTATTTTGAACGGTGGAAGAATAGGCCGGAGAAAGAGGTTCGAGATTAGGGGCAGGGGCAGAAATAATGTGCGAAGGAACCGGTTCTTGAACATTCTTGGCTCGCGCACCTCCAGGTGCGGACTTGAGTGAAATACGACGAAGGTTTTTTTCGCTGGTACTCCTCCACAGTTTGCCACAAACCGGCAGTTTCGAAGAAGAGGCGTCCGCCTGCTGCACGAGCCCTTTGACCTGTTCAACCGTCAGCTGAAGCACTTCAGCCGACTTTTCAATTTGGAACTGGCGTTTTAGTGGACACGGTTTAGCCCTTGAACGTGCACATGGCATACAACGCAATGAACCCTGTTGCGGTGAAGGGTAGCACTTGCGTGATTGTGACACGCACGCTGCACACTGCACAATAAGAAAATTCATGAGCTGTGAGCCGAGGACACAAGTTCTTAGGAGAGCATACCGCAGGCTGTCTTTCGACCCATTCCGCGATGACATGCACCGGCCATATCATTTGCCATGCCTCGCGAAGTTTTGCCATCAGCTCCGGGTTATCCGTGACTGTGTCTGTCTTATCCTCTAATAGTTCATCAACTTCCCGTTCCTCATCTACTCCCGCTACATCCATGTTTTCGTTTTCATGATGATACCTACTACTTCGTGTCGCAGTTTTGGGCATGAGAAAAATGTCTGATAGTGATCAGTGTCAATGTGGAATATGTGCAAGGGAAGGTTTTTGTCACGTGTACATTTTTGGTTGCATCTCGGATTCTCGGTTAACTTTGTACCGCCATTTAATATTCAAGTTCTCAAGTTACTATGTAGTCTTTGGTTGACGCCATAGCGTTCGTGCAATCAGGGTATTTGAGAAAGCAAATATATTTTGGGGCGGGACTACAAGTGCGAGAACTAAGAGAATGGCGCTATTTGTCCCCGATCGAAAGAGAGGAAGTGAGCTGCGATTCGCGGCCAGCAAGTTTGGATGTGTTCTGAATGGGAGTCATTGGGAGATCATGCTGATAGAGCCCCACAGGAACGGTTCGGCACATTAATGCGAAGCACCGTCACGAAACATGGTAGAGTGGTAGTGAACTGGGAGTGGGTGGGGATAAGGAGCTAGACGACAGATACGTCCAAGGTCTTACTAGCACTCGGAGGAGCGGGAACAAGAAACACCGGCTTCTTCCGCTCGTCCAAAGACCGATAATGGTCCGATATTAAGTTGGAGGGAAACTATTGCAAGACCGTCCTACTCTGAGTCTACTCAGCAGCAGCTTCTCTCGGCATTCAAGTGGCGACGACTGGAAAGACTTTCATTAATTTCATAGTAGCTGGCTTTGGCACGCATATTGCTCTACACCGGTTGAACTCCGAGTCATCCTGGCAGGCGCTCAGGGCCTCAGGCTCACTACTCTTATCTTTCAACGGACAGCGCGCAGTGAGGTCATGCCGCATCATCTCGCATAAGGCATATCTCGCGGAGACCGGTGTTGTCGGACACGAATACTCTCTTGGAACAGGTCCCAAATGTACCATGGATTACGACGTCTGCATGCACGACCCTCATACTCAGGCTACTACAGCGCAGTGGCCGCCATGGGGCTTCATATCGGCAAGCCAAGCCAAGCCATCAAGAAGCGTGTCTTATATAATTTCATCTTTTGTATTCTCCCGGGCCAAGGAAGTCAATTACTAACGAATCATCATATCAGACTCGAAGGATTGGTGAGTCTCCCTACGTCCTTTACGTTGATTGCGGTGGTTTCCGACGTTATACGTGGCTACGTTCCAATATAACGAAAACCTTTCTATATGCGATCGTCTATCGTCATCATATCATGATATCTGCGACTCACTAGTCCTCTGATGCTCTGACAGTCACTCACATGGCAGATCGGTTCTACTAGTCTTAAAAAAGACGTCGATACGTTTCGTAAGTATCTAATTTTCTTTACTATATCGATGAATATTATAAGGTTAACATCAAAAGAATCCCTCAGCTCCAGCAGCTCGCAGCCTGTCTTGGTCTTGCGACAGCGGTCCTATTGCAAAGGCCCCGAATGGTTGGTATACGTTTACATAAAAGATATCGGAACCACAGAACGGCGTCAGATATTCGGTGCAGAATTCTTGAATGTCCGCGGCGCACGGCCGATAGCATAAAGGGCGCAATCTAGACTCACTGGTATAAGTCAAAGCCTACATCCATCTGCATATTCATATTATCATAGTGATTTCGCTGTACCATGTTCATCCCCAAGATTCCTACCAAGGATTCGCCTGATTCTTTTGAATTTTGGTGGAAAATGGCCACCAGCGCAATTCTAGTTCTTGCGGGGGGCGTCTTCGCTGGGTGGGTCGCACATTGAGTCCAGTAGATGTTGATCCAATGTACCTCAACAGATTATCAATTGGGCTTATGGGGCTTGACGAACTTCATCTTCGTGTGTTGGCCACCTCGTCAGAAGAAAAAACGGAACGGACAAATGCACAAATTGGTGCGTGCAGTATCTGACAGGTGTCACCCAACTTTCAGTCAACGGTATTGTTAGTGTTGAACCTCATGCAAAGAGGCCGCCACTGGGTGCTGGTGGTAAGTCTTTACTTGCTCTCTATCCTTCTCATTCTCAAGCTCGTTCAAGGTGCTTCTTCTCAGTAACGTCGTTCGTATCATCGAGTATACACACTTTCGTCTTGCATAATGAAGGGTCACGTTTTAGATTATCAACGAGAGTTTGCCAATCTTTCTTGATAGCGCGGTGAGCACATGCTCGGCATATGCCCCCTTTTGGCTCAGAGCAAATAACCTTATCGACACTCAGATTGGAGGAGGTTTACTTGCTATAGTAATTTCAGCGACTGCCATTGGTAAGTAGCGAAATCCACGCATCAGGTTCAACAACTGATCGGACCGACTTCAGTTATATTTGGGTACGCATACCATTTGTTTTGAGCATCACGGAACATGATGGTTGATGAAATCTTGCTTTTTTGACGGACAGAGAGTAAGTACAATGTGTTATGCGTTATGGAGTTATTTTTGACCTACTTAACAAAAGGGTTATACCTCAAGCGGTTTGCGCGAGACACGGCCTCGCTATCGGTGCACGATTTGCGCCATTTGTTCTTCTTCTAATGTACCTCTTTGGTGTGTACGCAGTTTTGACTCCCAGGAGTTTGTAAGTAACCTTTACCCGGCACAGCACCCATCGCATATCCAGTCGCAAAAATTCTCGACCGTGCATTAGGAGTTCACGATACACACACCTACAAGAAAGCTGAATTGAAATCCTTTCTTCAATTCCACCGTACTGGCAAAGAGCCTTTGCGTGATGACGAGATTGGCATTCTCAATGGCGTCCTGGAGCTCAGCAGTAAGAACGTGGAGATGATTATGACCCCCATTTGTGTCAGTATTTCTGATATTTCCTTTTGGTGGGCTCAACACTTACGGCGGGTGTTCATCATTGCAGGATGTTGTCATGTTGAGCTCGGATACAATTTTAGACCACGCCACTATTGACGCTATGTATTCGAATAACTGCCTTTGTCTTCACAGGAGCGCACTCACACCTCTTTAGCCTCACTAGCGGCTATTCTCGGTTTCCCGTGCACAAGCCAGGAAATCCGTTCGCATTTGAGGGCCTTCTTTTGATCAAGAAGGTGCATCTGAAGCTGCACTTCATTTGAATAGCTTGTTGACAGTTGCGTGACAGTTGCTGATGTACGACCCCGCACGAGCACTCCCAGTCTCACACTTTCCTTTGTCCATCTTACCTGAGGCCCTGCCATCAATCAACTGTTTCCAAGCACTCGACTATTTGTACGCCCTCACTTCATGCTTCTATTCATACAATCCAGGCAATAATAGGAACAATTTTTTAGCCAGACAGGGCGTGCGCATTTATTATTGATCAGTCGGACACCTGGTTCACATGGCGGCGCCATTGGTCTGATTACTCTTGAAGGTAAGACCAATCATGTGCACTTGTCACTGCCTAACAGCTATTGTTTTTGGGGTTAGATGTTATCGAGGTATGATATTTATTTAGCTTTCCTAGGTATATGACATGACATTCCTCCCAGGAAATTATTTCAGAGGAAATTGTCGATGAAACTGATCAGTACGAGGACAACCAAAGTAAACGGCATGCTGAGCGTATGATAAATGATACTGTCATGAGAGAGTGCGTCTGTATCTCGCTATTTTGGCTCGATCATAACTCCCTTCTTCTATCTAGCATTGTTGAACGGGAGAGAACTATACTCACGCGTACATCCACTATTGAACCTACGCAGGTGGCTTCTGTGAATATTGAGACCGTGCCCCTCCTTCCTGGGTCAAGCCAGGGCGAGTATCCTCAGGCGTATCGTTATGTTTACAATTCAATTGACGAATCATAACACGAGAATCATCAGTCTTCAAGATGACATGTATTACATTTATGTTAAAAGGCGACGTTTTCTGGGAATCATTTTGTATTCTAACGTTTGAGTGCTCGTCAATCAAATTTGGCTTTCTTTTCTAGGAGACCTGATTACTATTGAACTCGACTGAAATGTGCCTGCGTAACTCGCTTCGTCGGGAACTCTAGTGTACATTGTTGACACTTGTTAGGATCACACAATGTCGGGTCTCATCCAAATTTGTACTATCGTAAGTCAACTCGAATCCAATCAGGCTAGGTTCAATGGGCATCCGAACATCCCTGTCAGAGTCCAAACGTTAATGAGCAGGGCTAAGACTTGTCAAACACGATCGGTTGCCCATCTCCCAAAATCCTCTGCCGGCTACACTCGTGCCCAGCGCTCGGGCCTTTTGTCATCAACACCCTAAGCTAGATCTGAGACGGCGTCAAAAGTCCCAAAAGGAAAGAACCGAATAGATTATACTGCGAACAAGGAACTAACCACCAAGAGCATCAACATTGAAGGTCCGCTAGTCTCATCAATGTCGATGTCCTCATCGAACTCTTCGAAATCCTCCTATCCTCCAATCATACACTCCTTGGTTCTTGGCATCGGTCTTCTCGGCGCGGCATGTGGACGTTACGATACGTGTACCGTCATAACTTACTTACTGCTGTATCCCAGTTTGTGGTTCCAGCAACACGATCAATGTTTCACTTACTTCGAGACCTTTGATCGAGGCCAACAAGGTACGTACAAGGCCTTGATAAGTCTCTTCCTGGCACGTGGTGCTTGGCATGACCTGTCAGTCGAGTGGAACATCATATCAACCTGATAGCGATTGTCCTTTATGAGGATGTGAACGTCCAGGTGACCTTTACAATCATGCACCCGAATGCATCGCGCCCTCGCAATCACCGAGTTACTCACGCACATTCTTCGCGATGTGTACAATGATGACGAGGGACTCAATCTCCGCCGGGGCATCAAGGACATGGCTAGGATTTCCCAAGTCTGCAAGACTTTCCGAGATCCTGCATTGGATTTCCTTTGGAAAAATCTTGACAGCCTGCTCCCGCTTCTTCGGCTGCTTCCTCTTGAAATTAACGAAGAGCACGGTGATAAAGCTCGACTTTCAAAGGTCGTCTCATCAGCCCATTACTAGCCACCTTCAGTTTACTGATTTTGCCGCAGGTTCTTGGGGACCTGAAGTCGACAGAGCGCCAGTGTTATATCTCAATATCCAACCGCGTGCGCACTCTATCCTTTTCGGAACCACACGAGCCTATCCCTCGCAATTTAATAAATGATATTATTGAGTATAATCTCCTCTTAACTCCTCGCATAGATGTCCTCCACCTTCGCATATCATCCGAGGCTGGCCTTCGCCTTCTCCCAGCCCTTATCACACCCAAATTGACCGACATCTCACTATCTTTCGATGAAAATTTATATGTTTTCAATCGTCCGCTAGACCTTGGCGATCTCATCAAGTCGGTATACATGACTATTTTTCGGTGTGCGCCCAAGCTTGCACATTTCTCTGTAGTTGATTTGTACGAAGCACTGCCGTTGTTGTCACTTACTAAGGACCCGGGTCAAGATCATATGGATATGGCATGTCTTCAAAGCCTGACACATGCAGCATTCTACATAACTGCCGCTTCCTTACCACAAGTTCTCGATTTAATGTCACAGCTTCGCAAGCTGGAGGACCTGACCATTCAGGCTTGCGAGAAACCTTTCGAAGAAATTCCCCGCCTCTCCTCCTTCACGTCAGAGACATTCGGCTCGCTGAAGAACGTCGCGTTTGATGGCTCTCCTGATATCATCAGCCGCATATTCTCCGCATTCCCAGCTAATCGCTCTATCCAATCCGTAGTTCTACGAATGCACGGTCTTTACACCAATGCCGATATCGCACTGGTACTCTCGGGGGTTGCTGCAGCTGTGTCCAAGGAGTCATTGCAGAAGATTATAATAACTTCCGTGCTCTCAAAAAGCGACCTTGCACGCTGGGATGCTGATTCTGGAATAGACACTCGCCAATTCATACTAGACATACACGCCATCGAGCCCGCCCTGCAGTTCCGGAATCTCGAGATTTTTTCGGCTTGTCTCGGTGTCCCACTCTATCTCACAGACGAAGACCATCTGCGCATCGCGCAGACATGGCGATCTGTGCAGTTACTATACCTATCTTCGATCGTCCAGCGTGTTGTCTTGACATACAAGCCTCCGGCTAGTATTGCGTCTCTGGTGCACTACGCACGATATTGTCGCCGCTTGAAAGCGCTTGGGTTATGCCTCGATGCATCTACGAAAGCCAGTGTCGATGCATGTATGCAGGCCGTGGACACCTGCGAGGAGAACGTTCCAGAAGAAAACCACAGCCTCCCATCTCCCTCAATCCAGATGGTCGAGTTTGGTCCTTCGTGGCTGGAGTGTAACTTCGACCCTGTGCACATCAACTCTTTAGCCAAGGCGTTCACGAGGCTTTTCTCCAACCTAGCTGCATGTCGTGCGTGCCGGACGGAGGAGCTTGGAGCGCCACAGGCTGCATGGACTTGGATGAAGGTGCAGACATTGTACGAATACATTCTCTTCACGGATCAGGGCTGCAACGTAAATACCCCACGGAGCCCGTGGAAGTTGAGACTGTTTTCCACGGTGTGTCGCATGTGATTTTCTCGCTGCTAGATATTCAATTTGATTGTACCTCTAGTGGACCTCGGACTATGGAAAAGATTACGAGAAGGTTGCCCTGGCGGCCCCTGGTTCATCCGTAGAAGTTGACTTTGATGAGTACGTCCTCTGTTGATTTATGGGTGCTCAATCTCATATGCCGATACAGTAATCAGAATGCGGAAGCGTTCAATCAGATCATGTACAAAACAGCAAGGGACGAACTCGCGAAGATATCCAAAGAACACGAGGTTATGTGAATACCCGTAGAATGCAGGGTGCCATGTCTGTCGCTAATGTAGCTTTCACCCACCCATGACGACCAAAGTGCGGTGGTCATTACATGGGGATCCACGCCTGATGATCACTGGATTAATTATTTCCATTAATTTGGGCATAGAATGGGATTCTGAAGAGGTTTAATCTCATCGATGCATGCAACAGTCATAATAACAAACAAGGGAAAGCTGCAATTTTGAAGATTACTCAGACATTGTCGCCGTCCTTAAGAACCTCACGATGTTCGGCATAGCTTTGACTTGGTGGGCTACACTTATTTGACCTATCTCGAGTCGTTTGGTGAGACCCCGACGGTAGCAAGGCAGTCTAAAGGGATGGAGAAAACGACGAGCTAACAGGACGCAATCCCGTGAGTTTCGTCGTGAGGAACATCCTGTCTACTAGTTTTTGTCGTTCATAACACATCTGTGATGTCATCATCTAAAACGTTGGAGGAGTACAACCCGTGTGGCTTAGTCTGTGATCAAGCACCCTCGGCAACTTTGTTCAGTGCTCTGCAGCACACATGTGCCAGTTATGTATAGGGTTGTAGTCTATCCTGCTCGTACTCTGTAGAGTCTTCTTGAAAGTTCTGATATTCGATGTCGACTCATCACAGAGGGTCCAGCATGACGCAGTGTAATGGCGTCTATAACATACATACACCATGGAGGCAGCAAGGGTGGTTCGCAGGTAACACTACTCACCGAACCATATGCTACAACCGCATCTAATAAATTAGAACTGACGATGCAGGAATAAATTAGATTCATTCAGCGGGACAATGTGTGTGGCACTAGTACAGAACAACAAAGTGTTATGCAGAGATATCTAACATATACAAGGACACGCCTTCGGTCTTCTCTTCGACGGCACACAGATTGTATTTAGATACAGTAGCAAGTGAGGAAACACGATATTCGCATAGTCCTATTCTTCGTTCGTCTCTGCAAACAAACACGGCGTATCTCTCCACGCTCTCACTCTGGATAACGCCATATACAATTGGCCGTCAGCAAACGGATCCGTCCGCAGGTCAAGTACCGTGCCTGGCAACCATTGAAAGTGGTTGCGTATGCAGCGCGCAGCGAAAATTGCCTAAGACTTACTGTCCATGAAGAATGGTGTGGATGAAATGAGAAGTTGATACGTGAAATGTGGTGGCTTTCGCGTGTATAAATGAAAGCTGGGTGACGTCATTGTGTTGGTCCAGGGACGGCGCATATTCCAGTGGCTTCTGGTGCTGATAAGTACCTTGCTTTTTGATAATCGTGAATCTCGTTTAAAGCGATTGGTTCCTCGTTCTCGATGTCTTCCTCGATTGCAAAATGTGCCATGTCTGGTCCCTTGTATAGATGCTTATAGAGGTAGCTGAACACTTGCAGTGTAAACAACGTCGAAGTGAAAGTGACAATCGGCCAGAGAGAGCAGCGCGGGACAATACGGCACTGCCCACATGTCTTCTTCTTCATGTCGACGCCAATGGATTCTCATGTGTTCATCAATCGTCGTGGATGGTTGCGTGCGCTGAGGAAAACCATAGATGCACCAACCGTCTCGATTACATCTGCTTCCTGGCTGAGTTAAGTGATCTCGGCCATGCAACATGTTCTTCTCTACTTTCTGACGAAGTGCAGGGTCATTCCGCGGGAATTCTGCTCGTGTGATGGTGTCGAGAAGTTCTAGAGGGGGTTCGGGAACAACCTAATGTCAACGGAAAGATTGTGGTGATATCAGACATAAGGGACTCATCAATCAATACATGCACACCTTTATAATGATGTGTGCGTGCGGGAATGCACATTTTGGAAATTCAATGACCGTGATCATGTATTTTTTAGTACCAAAGCACGCTCGAAGAAGACGCAGAATTTTTTCCAATCATGACTTGAAGACTCGCGTGGCTACAATAGAAATGTCTGACGCGGATTGTCCAGGTTCCAGGTATTCTCGAACCTCTGGCCAGTAGGGATTGAATGTCATAGTGCAGAAGAACGTCGGCTTGCCAAATTTTCGACCGAGATCTGCGGTGACCAAGCCTGTGAACCGGCGAAGCTGGCGGGCAGCTTGATGTTGTAGAAAGCAGTGCCGGAGCGTTTGATCCCGCGGAACCAATTCGTGTGACCACTACAAAAACATATCAATGTTGAAGAAATGACGACACACGTGTAAGCTTGCCATCTAACATTCCGTCAGCTCAGTATAGGTTGACGACGGATTTGATGTCAGTGATGTCTGCCGCACGAATAGTGGTCTGAAAACTTCTTCGATACCAAATTTGTCATGCTATCCATGAGTCGACAAAGTGAGCTGACATTGAGGACGGACCAACTGATGCAATATTGTTTCGTACCTCAGTGAGCTGTGTTTTGTGTTTGATCAGTCTCCCCTACTCAGACAGTCGTCTTTCTTGTGTATGATGTCTGAGATCTGATAGACTTGAAGCGTTCAGCCTATCTCTGGGTGGACCAGCCGCAATTCCTACATCCACCTAATAAGGAGACTCTAGGGACCGCTTCGTTCAACTTGCGGAGAGTATAAATCGGCAAAAATTCACTTCGAGACTCTCACCTAAGTATTTGCATGTGCGGAATTCAAGCACTTCATGATGCATCATCTCCTACATCTTACAAATTCGAACAAGGCATTCGTGAAAAAATCCAGCTTAAGATCCCTGCAAATCTTCCGGTTTGTTTAGCAACCTCCCCTCCATTCCACCTTCAACCATCACTACTTGACCAGTGACATGACCGGAGAGAGTGGATGATGCAAGGACTACGACCTGCATCGCGACGTCGATCGGCATGGCCACCTTCTTAAGCGGAGTCCTGTGGTAACACGAAATTCAACATGGATCATGAATCATGATGGTGTCACTAACGTAGACAATACACGATACACCATTTGAGGATCCTTCAAGGCCTCTTCAGCCATGGGTGTCCTAACCCAGCCAGGCGCAATACAGTTGACCCTGCCTTTTGGGGCTATCTTCACGATTTCATTCTTGAGAGTAAGGTTCAAACCGTACATCATTGCTAGAACATGATGAGTCCATGTCAAATTGCAGACAGAATCGTCACTGACCGCTCTTTGTTGCAGAATAGTCCCCGTGATTGGCTTCACCATATTTTCCAGCAGTACTTCCGATAAGCACGATCGCTGCCTTTTCCTTGATAGTGGAGGATGCACTTTCAAGGTGCTTCAGATACTCTCTACACACCAGGAATGATGACGTCAAGTTCGCAGTCATGGTGGTATTCCATTGGTCCAGCGTCATCTTTGCGATTGGGACATCTGCAGTGGGATATATAGCGTGGTTGACGATCACCACTTGTACGGGGCCATGAGGCATAGTAGATAGCGACTCGAACATAGCCACCACGGCATCCTCTTGAGACAGATTCGCCTGGACATGTTGAAGATTGGCGTTCGATGCCAGAAGCTCCTGGATTGGACCAAATTGGGAGTTGTAATGTGCGGTGACGTTCGCCCCCAATGCTGGATGTCCGAGTCTGTTTCAACTCAGTAGTCGTCACTCGAGAGTAAATTGCTTACCACAAAACAATTTCACAGTCTCTAGCCCGATGCCACCACTTGCCCCTGCTCGAGTACTGTCAGGTGAGTAGTGCGATAGGATACCGTAGAATACGACCTGTAACAACGACATGCACTCCTTGCAATCCATGATCCATGATGTGCTATATTATCAGTGTGATGTTACTTGGATAACCAGACGATTAAGAGGCGATAACGGCCTCAGTAGTGTCGAGGTGTGAAAAATTCAATGCTACTACTGATGTAGCTGGTACCATTAGACAGGTGACCCATCGATTATGAATAGCTTCGAGCGTGTGTTATATATATGGCTTCAATTGTAGTTCGAAGTTCGAACGTAGCGGCAGACTGTATTATGTAACGGTCACTCAGTTGACACCGTCGTCACTGGCATCTTCTCACCCTTATTCAAGGCCTCGATTGAAACTCAGCAATCAGAAATTTAGAATTCTATCAGGACGCTGACTGGCCTCGACGATCCTTGCTCAAGCTTGCTTGTTACTTCTCTTGGTTAACGGACAGCAGCCGCTCTGTGCACGGATATGTGTACAGTACATTAGTGGTTAGCCTTGACTGGTTTTCAGTGATCACCATCCTGACTCTGCACTTTCAGTATGTACTGCAATGCGACGTAAATCGGCGCTACACAGGATCCATGTGAATATGGTGGTGCACGAATGCTCTTCTATCACGAAGCCACATGCACCAGAAGCTATGGTCATAAATGAAATATATTTAATCTGCGTGTCAATAATGCGCTGGCCTTCCTGTCTTTGCCTCCCATAATGATGGCAGCTTCTTCCAAACCGGCAGAAGAAAATTGGAATCCATCCAGCCTTCTTGTATATAACGCACTCCCGGGTCACCAAGACTTTGACGCGACAATATCTGATGCGAAGTCCACTGCTGATGCTAGAACCGATTTCTACGATCGCAGTCTGACGAGTCGTAGATATGCTCTTGTCGGGCTGGCATGTTCAAGTATCTTCAGCTGCTTATGCATTATTGCAGGGATTGTCACTTTAGCCAATCACGGAACCTCGGGAGTAACCCCGCTCAACATATTCGAGTTCAGAGCTCATCGCGAATGTCATTCGAGACGAGAGACAGTGGAGATGCGCTACCAAAAGGAAAGGACTTAGTGTGGCGACGAACCCGCTGAAGCCGATTTCATTCATCCGATGTGTCTCATACTTTTCATCGCGAAGCCTTTCCTGCGTGAGTCATTCACGCCTAGTATTTTGTTGTCAGCGTTATTGAATTCTATCCTCTATGATCACAGACTGGATGTTTGGGCTCTCATTCTCCTTAGTTTTGACAGCCTTTGACGAGAATATAAACGCTCTGGTGATGTCTATGTTCACTGCCCAGGTTTGCACTGCCCATGTACAATTGTTACAACATTCTCACACATTCTCGCAGATCTGGAACTTATGCATTGCGCTCTTTATATTTTCCTGTTTATTCACCTTCATCGCACTACGCCGACCGCACGGTCCCCAACCAGCTGCATATGGCCACCTCCAGACGCTCGCCAACCTCGTGGATGAGTGGTCCCCTGTGATGTGGTGGGGACACAAGGAGGATGGAATTCCGTACTGCCATGCTGGTAGGGTACTTGCATACTCATTGTGATACTATATTGACACTTTTGAAAAGGGACAAGTGATCACCCGCTGCCGGATGTGAAGATGGAATGCGTTTATGCTGGTTCCGTTGCTGGGTCTCTGGTACCCCTCTCGTGAGAGGTACTGGCCTTACTTTTTAAAGGAAGCGTTCTGATTTCTCTTTTTTAAATAGAGAAGTATATCCATGTCAGGCTGGCGATACATTCACGGTGCACACAATCAGCCATGCCGTTGAACGAGACATACGATTTTCATGCTATCTACTGCATGCTAGTTGGTTCTTCTTATACCATCCATACGAGTCTGGGACAACTTTTAGCGGAAACACTTTCGATTGGACCTTCAAGCAATTGTAATTTCGGTGGATTATAACTTGAAATCATGTAGCTGATGGACACTTTCCCTCACGGCATCTCTGCGCCGGACCTTACCACATCATCATACGATGAAACCGTTCCTTGAGATTCAATGCTACGTTTTCACTCGATCCAGAGCGTGCTACACCATTCAACTACATAGGGAGCATCAAAGTGTACCTTCTCTCTGACACTGATGCTGAGGCACACGCAATTTCAGCTTTCAGCTTGCGGAAAGTGACTCTAACACAGGAATCTGTCTCTGTTTGACCCTGAAGCACAAGCTCAGAGGACGATAATGATAACGTCGATATGAAAGAAGGTGAAGACGAACACTTAGTCTTCGTATTTGTCATGCAACTCACTCTCCGCTACAGGTACTTACAGTCATACTTATTTATGTCGATTCATGAAGTGCCAGGAAGAACCAAATATTGTTTCACTCCATACACCGGTCTTGTCGTGTGCAAACGTTAAACGTGTTGAAACAGCTGGAACAAACCACTACTAAATACGCAGGCTCGAACTTGGACTTTAATGACGCCAGACGTAACTTGAATGGACTACTGTATAATTCCGAGTCGACTATGGAACAATAATCAGTGACCGCACCATCGAAAGTCAGTGATTTACAGCATTGAATTCAGTGGCCATGTCGACAACGATCAGTGATTCAACCACTGATGTCCATTGTCTTTTCGGGGGATTCAATGGCCGTCGATTCATTGCGCTACCTCATTGGTTTCAGTGGCTCTCTCTATTGACTTTCAACGTTTTCTCCTACTTAAATTCACAGGCTTTCCTTTCCACAGTGTCTTATTAGAATTAGCTGCATCAGTATAATAGTGTAGATAGTGTCCAACATAGAGGGCTTCGCCCCAACGGACGATAAATTAGGATTCAAAAGAAAAAAAAAGGAGTAAATCAGATTCATTCACCACGACAGTGTATAGCACCAGTACAGTACAGAACAACGAAGTATCATACAGAAATAAGCAGAGTGAGGGGATGAAAACAACTAATAAATACAGCAAATGGCATAATATAGCGAATCAAGTCTCTAACTACACACCTATGTGAACAAATACAATCCGTTGTTCAAATGGAATATCACTGTGCTGCAATTTCTTCAAAGCCTTGTGCAACGCCATCGCAGCGCGCGTGCAGTCCAATCTCCCCGAGTCATCTATCAGGTTGTCGTAGAAACCAGACACAACCTCCTGCGCAACCTCATCGTCGACAGACCACATGGAACCAATCACGCTACGAAATCCAGAAAATTGCATTGCGGCAGCGAGATGGATCGACTCATTGGGACTCTTCTCATCGCCCACGGTAGTGTGGCAAGCCAATAGGAATGCAAACTGCGGGGCCTGCCAGTTGGATCGGATGATGTCCTTGATCATCAACGGTCCATCATGCATTGCGAAGGAAGATTCAAATGGCCGTTGTCGATTAGGCATTCCGTGGCAGGCCAGGTGAAGCCACTGGTTGTGGTTCAGTGCGTCAAATGCACCCTCAACCATCGCATCGCTGTCCTCGAGCCGCGTGAAGGATGACACGACGGGCGCAAGACGCTTGGAGACAACGGCTAGCTCGGGAGCTACACATTCAAGTGGCTTCCCCCCATCGGGATTTCCTTGACCAATTGCAACAAAATGTTGCGGGGACGCATCTGGTGAAACCTGCTGTCTCGCATGAACAAGTGTCGCCAAAGTGGGGATGTACGAAGAGATGTAGATATGAGACAGACTATCTCTCTTCTTCTCGTAAGCTCCTGCTGCATGTAGGGGAAGCAGCGCGAACTCAGCAGTGGGACACCACCAGATGCGTGAACTAGGGTGAACATTTGACACCCTAAGGGCTTGTACTATGGGGCTAACGACCTTGTGCCAAATTTTACGAAGGATGCTGACAAGCTGAAGTTGAGTATCAAAGGAACCAAATTCCTTTGTAAGGGACTGAAACTCGGAGGACAAATCAGAAACTTCGGTCTGCGTGATATCAATCGGAATGTGGACAGGATCTTGATCGCTCAAGACAATCAAGGCATCGCAGCAATACTGACTAGCATTGACAACGATGACAGGACCGCCTTCAGCCGCCTTCTGTAGGTCAGAGAAAAGGGGAGGGAGGAGAAACCGAGAAAAGTTGGGAAGCATGCGGATCCGTGAAACCACATCATCCCATTGAATGGTCAGTTGCCGAATTTGCTGAGACTGGTCTTCAGTAGACTGATCGAATGCGTTACAAAGGCGGAAACTCAACAGTCTGAACTCTTTTGCCAAGGCCACACCAGTATCACCTGAAACAGAAAGTTCATCCAGGGGCGTGCTGAAGCATGCCAACTGGGTCCAGAACACTGCATGACCTTGCTCCACCAGCTCCACTGCAGTCGTCAGAGCACCGTGACGAACACTGCATGAAAAAGCATCTGTGGCAAGAGAAGAAACAGCCTCCCTGATGACGTCGAAACGATGGAAAGAAGGCGACAAGAGAGCAACCTGTTGATCCAGGAGTTTCAAAGCAGTCTGATAGGCAAGCAATGCAGAGGCGTGATTGAGGGTATCAGCGAAGGCCGCCCATGATTTAGCAACACGAAGATCTGTGCGAGATGCTGCATGCGATAGGTGTGAGAGTTGAGAATATAAGCTACATGCTTCATGAAGGTCAGACTGTTTGCCACGCTGGTGGAATCTATGTCGAAGGCTGAGTGCAAGATCATTCAGAGATGAGGATTGATCTGGATTACCGAGGGGACAGAGGAGTAATGCATCCCGATGCAGCTTGATGGCCTCATCAAGGTCAGACATGATCCCACGCTGCAGGAATCTGTCTTGAAGGCTGAGTGCAAGATTGTTCAGAGACACGGATCGATCTGGATGACCAGAGGGACAGAGGAATAATGCATCCCGATGCAGCTCGATGGAGTCATTGAGGTCAGACATGATTCCACGCTGCTGGAATCTGTCTTGAAGACTGGCAGCAAGATTGTTCAGAGACATGGATCGATCCGAATGACTGGGGGGACGGAGGAGTAATGCATCCCGATGCAGCTCGATGGAGTCATTGAGGTCAGACATGATCCCACACTGCAGGAATCTATCTCCAAGGCTGGCAGCAAGATTGTTCAGAGATGAGGATCGATCTGAATGACCAGGGGGACGGAGGAGTAATGCATCCCGATGCAGCTTGATGGCCTCATCAAGGTCAGACATGATCCCACGCTGCAGGAATCTGTCTTGAAGGCTGAGTGCAAGATTGTTCAGAGACACGGATTGATCTGGATGACCAGAGGGACAGAGGAATAATGCATCCCGATGCAGCTCGATGGAGTCATTGAGGTCAGACATGATCCCACGCTGCAGGAATCTGTCTCGAAGGTAGAGTGCAAGATTGTTCAGAGACGAAGATCGACTTGGATGACCGGGGGGACGGAGAAGTAATGCATCCCAATACAGCTCGACGGACTCATCAAGGTCAGACATGATCCCACGCTGCAGGAATTTGTCTCGAAGGTAGAGTGCAAGATTGTTCAGAGATGAAGATCGACTTGGATGACCGGGGGGACGGAGAAGTAATGCATCCCGATGCAGCTCGACGGACTCATCATGGTCAGACATGATCCCATGCTGCAGGAATCTGTCTTGAAGGCTGACTGCAAAATTATTGAGAAACAAGGACCGAACAGAATGGCCTGGAGAACAGACCTGGATCCCAGCTAGATGCACTAGGTTGGTGATGCTGTGAAAGGTCTCCTATGAAGCACAAGATGGAGTGAGATCAGAGTCAATACACACTCGGCGAACTGAAACTGCAGTACTTGTACACCAAAGGCCCACTAGTCGAGAGAAATGATACGGTGAGTCATCAGCAATACCACGAATTTGACGGCGAACTGAAAGCCACAGTCAGACCGTGGTCCGGTTGGAAAAGTATATGAGGAAAAGCTTCTTGGTCACGTACCAAGTGGCACCTCGAAAAACACCCCAGAGACCCCTCAAGCTCATTGCACCCAACACTGCCAACACTGCCCAATGGCGGCCACAACCTCAAGCATCTTCCCTACGCATCAGCAAAAGCGACAAAAACATTAATGAGTATATATGGGAATTTACTGATTCTATCTCACTGCCAACCTGCTATGCACATTATTGTATGTACATTTATGCAACATGAAATAATTTAAGCTGTTTACATGACTCTGCCAGCCTGGCACGCACATTGTATATACATTTATTCGGTGTGAAATGATTTGAGCCGTTTGCATGACTCTGCCAGTCTGAGATGAACCTTACAATGGGTGTGAAATTTTTTTGACCGCATGCAAGTCTGGACCCAAGGGCTTTGTAAATGGAGTGTTTCTGACAGTAAATGAATACATGGAAGGTATCATAGAGCATGCTCAACTAGTTAAGTGAATGTCCTCATGACTGATGTGAGGTGGGACGATGACGACCAAAGAAAAATCCGCAGCAGCTCAAAGCTTGATAAGAAACATCTCCCATCCCACCACCTGTACCTTGCATTCCTGTTGTTTGCCCTTGAGACGCTTGTGTCCCTGGCACAGCCTGAGATTGACCTGCTTGCATGTCCGTTGGGAGTCCTTGTGTGCCCAACACAGCTTGAGATTGACCTGCTTGTGCATTCATCGGGCATCCTTGAGATTCTTGTGTTGCTATTCGCATGTTGCACAGCTGCAGCCGCTTTTGCACAGGTCAATTCTGCTGCGCTGGGAGGGGAAACATAAATTCTCTGCCAATCTATTAAGTTCCATGATATCAAAAAAGGAGCAATGGAAGTCACTCACATTTTTCTTGCGACCGGCAGCTACTTCAACGGTATGTATGGAGCTTCCCCCTCAAAAAAAGTTAAAATTCCAACGTTGGGGCTCATGTGGTATTGATTGAAGTGAATTTGGAGGTCGCGTGCCAACACATAGGGAACCAAACAAACGATGAAGGGGAGATGACGCGCTCGCAGGGGGAGCTGGCCCACTGTTTGTATTGTTACCAAAGAAATCATTACCCTGTATCAAATGAACATTAGCCAAAGCCAAGAATCGAAACATTAATACTAACATATCTCCCCACACCTCTATTGTTCGCGGGCTGTTTGAAGACGACTGGATGTCTCTGGAAACAAGATGAGATCAAGTGTGAAAGATATATAAAAGACTGACTTACCTTAACTTCACGTTGGGCCTTGCATTGGCATCATCCGTACCCTAGACAACAGCAAAAACCTTCAGAATAAAGAAAAGACGTTGAAATACAATGCAGATGCGCACACCCTGCTGTTTGAGCGCTGCCTCTAGGCTCCATACATAAAATTTTGCATCTTTTCCAGTGGAGGACATGACAGCAGTCAAGAGTTCATTGTCATGCAAGATTGGGTCTCCGACTGGCTGATTGGTCTTGAGGTCCCAAATGCGAACATAGCAGTCGTTTAATGTGCTGACAAGATGGCTTTGATCAGGGGAAAGACAGAGAGAGTGGACAGCATGGTCATGGCCCTTAAAAACAATGAGCTCCTTCCCACCAATTGACCGCCATTTTCGAGAAGGTACCGAGAAAATGAGGGTCCAGCTTCGCTGGTTGCTTATGAAGCACTGGTCAGGTGGGTATTTAGAGAAATATGTTTAGAAACCTACCAATTCCTTCAAAACATGATTAATTTGATCGTGGAAGAGCTGACTCTCTTCCCTTCTCCATTCCTCCAACTCGGTTGTATATCCCGGGAGGTATCTAATTATTGGGAAGCATTCTACCAATAACGCACCAGGTCTCATGAGATTCCGGAAGCACTTAAGCATCTTGTGGATGATAATGATCTCTGGAGCATCTACAGCAGTGGGCGTGGACTTTCCATACATGTAAAATCAGCCATAAAGTGAGACATCCTGATTCACAGCCGCTTGGTGTTCTTTAGGGTTGTCAAGGATGTCAAAGATGACATCACAAGCAGTGTTCATCTGAATGGGCGCATAAGATTCTGCAGCCTTGCTTGAAGGTGAGTATGCGCGGCCCTGGATGATGTCACTTCAGTCAAGCAGTTGACAAGAAAAGATATCACTCAGCTTGCGAAGTCTCCAGGACTGCTCTCCTGCGGGTGCAAGGATCATACGTAGACCAGCAGACAGAATATCACCTGCTGCAACTGCACGAGGACAGTCTGCTAGCAGACCACCTTCTTTTTCCATGATGTCAATGGATTCCTGTACGAGTGAGTATGTGCTCTAGGTAGCCAATCCATTAGTCGGTATCATCTTCCCTGATGTCTACCAATAATGGTCATGACCTTAGGCCCGACCCGGGGCAAGATGATTGGTCCATAGGTGATAATCCATTCAGCAAAGCGTTGGAGTGGGGTACCCCTCCAGCGGGGGGTGGCACAGGTGGGTGTTTGCCACCATTTGCGTAGCTTAGTCAGTAGCAGTAGGGGTAGCGCCTTCAGGCGTTGTCATAGGTAGCATCATCATTAGGTTGAGGCCACACCAGCTTCCGTCTGCCAGAGGCAGGCACATTGTCAGCCGCGCCAGTCCAGTGTTGAGATTGGCTGTGATGTATTCACTGTTAGTGTCTATGTAAACTCGGAGAGTATTGTGTGTTTTATGTGCTTACCTTTCTTTTGGGAAAGTGTTTCCCAATAGCCAATGTTCAGGGGATCCATGGGGAAGAGGCAAGCATGACCTTGATATGATCTGATTGTATGTTGATGCGCAGGATACCGGCCACTGTTATGTCGAGCACCTGTGAGTTTTCATAGGAGATTCGTCCTTTGTGAACATGACTATTCACAATCTGTGTATATCTCGCAGTCCTCTGAATCCTTCGAGTCTTAAAAAAAGCCTATAATGCCGCAAGATCTTTGTTGTGTGAATGACTGAATGATAGTCCTACCGATGGCCCTACTCACTACTTGACCCTCTCCTCAAATTTTAAATTTCAAAGCGGTCGAATTTGAACGCTCTGGGCGGGCAAGTTTAGCTGAGTTTAAACATTGCTTGATGACAAAACACAAATTTGCAACACATTGATATTGGCCTCCCACCACGCCCGCCTGCTCGTCATTGTCAGTGTGGCTGTGATCCCGCTGCTTGCATGGTATGTCAAGTCATATAATGTTGAAACTCTAACTGAAAAAACTAGATGCCCCAGACTTTGACCCGAGTGTCCATTTTTAGCTGGATGTCCTCATTAAGGTGTTCGGGTCGCGTGAGATAGCTCTGTCAAATGGTGATCAGCACATGTGACATACATTTCTCCTAGAATGCACATGGTTCGGTAACAGTAGTTGCTGCCAAAGACGATAGCACCTGCAAATGTCTTTCTGCTCAACTAGTGAATCAATTTAGGAATCATGCCAAACACAACTTGACAACTTGAGTCCTTGACACCAAGTTCAAGACCGTCTTAATATCAGGATACTTAGCTTTGCAGTAAATGCTGTCCTCAATAATACCACTAAGTACTGCAGCAGCTACACCCTTTGCTCTCCAAATCAATAAATGATCCTGACCAGCAATCACTGCATGAGCTCTACTCCATCACAAATTTCGTTCTCAACCAGTCATCAATCCGAATGGAACCATCTAGCCGCTTCAACTCACTATTAGTATCAGTACTAGTGTGCATGCATCCGTGTCATGCTGGATTGCGCAAGCCCACTAGCTCAGTTATTGCTCTTTATCTTGACGACAATTCGTCGGCTGTTCGGGACTGTCTCTTTGCACAATGCATCTCATCCTTTTAACCTTTCTTCCAAGTAAGTTCTCAGAAGTGGCATCGCAGCTGGGAAGTGTTATCTCACTTGTATCAATGATCTATCTTCATTCACCCTCTGGATCCAATAAGGTGAACTTCCTTAGCATTTCCGAGGTTTCAGAGCTCATGGCATCCACCTCTGATGCAAACAAGTCACTCATACAGCCGAACGAATACCCTTCTCAACCTCTCACTCAACTGGGTTCCTCAAACTCCACACCAATCAACTTATGTCGGCTCCTTGCTTTTACGCTCTTCGAGGACATGCATATCTAAAGCACTTGATTGTAGGCCTTACGACTATTGTCCAGTAAGGATCGATCGATCATTCACGACTCTGCTTTGCTCTTCTATGACAACCACGCTATTTGACAACTCTACAATGTCCGCGCCTCCGTTATCCTCTCCAATCCTCCTCATTTTCTCCTCCAATTCATCGGAAGTCCATCAACTTTATCTTTAGGCCGATTTCTTACTTGAAAAGCGCACACTGGACTTGAGAAAAAGAGTGTTGATTTCATCAGTGCATTCAACCACGCGTAAGTTATGATAACAATCGAGAAAAGGCTGCCATTCTGAAGAATACTCAGACATTGTCGCCGTCCTCAAGAACCTCTCGATGTTACGCTGACATCGGTCGGCGTGTGCGAACTAGGATAGGTCTTCTCAGCGACGACTCGAGTGAGTCTACTGAAGCTGAGGGTGGTTCTTGGCTTGACGGAACATCAAGGGTTCCTGCGGTGATCTCGGTAAGACGGCGCTCGTCGAGATACAGGGCTAGCGGATACGGCTAAGAAGCGGGGAGCGACTTAGAAGTGCGGTCTTATACAAGAAAGCTGAGAGGCTTAGTTGAACAAGTTCTGGGATGAACCTAGTAGATTAAAGTAAAGTCTAAGTACAATAATCTGTCTACTTATAGGGTCTAACTACAAGTGTTCAAGCTCAGTCTGTAATCTATAGTATATCTAGGATCTATGATAACAAGACATGAGGTTCAGATAAGTACATGAGGCTTAACCTCTGATCAAGCATGCAGCGCCAAGTGCAACTGCGCATAAGTACATGAGGCGCCAAGGGCGCTCCGGATCTTCATGAAGCGACATGCTGTATACATGCGCTTGATCTAGGGTGACCATGAGGCGTACAGCCTCCATGGATCAGGTACAAGGCCGTCTAGGCCAGGGGCAGCGTCACAGCGGTCCAGACCGCTGTCTTTCTAGGCGCGGGCGGCGCACCGCCGCGCAGGGAGTCTAGCAGAGCGGGGGCAGGTGTAGGCAGAGCTGGGGCTCCTGTAGGTGTTACGGATGCCTGTAACACTCGAGGCTCCGTTTGACATTCAACCTTGATGTCGTATAGCTTTGGCTTGGTGAGCTATATTTGACCTGTCTTGAGTCATTTGGTGATCACGAAATGCGCGCCATCAACCCCAACGATAGCAACACGGTCTGAAGGGATGGACAGAACGACGAGCTAACAGTATGTGGTCCTGTGAATTTCGTCACGATGCGGTGGGAACGTATTGCAGCTTTTAACACATCGGGGATGTCATTGTCTAGAACGTTGGAGCACAACGCGTGTGGCTTAGTCTGTGAGCACCCTCGTTCTTGAAGCAATATTCTTCCACTTGCGACTTTGTTCGGTGCTCTGCTGCATACATGTTCCAGCCATGTATATGATTGTAGTCTATCTGACTCGTATTTTTGTAGAATCTTCTCGAAAATTCTGATATGTTATCACAGAGGATCCGGCATGGTACAGTGTAATTGTGTCTATCACATACATCATGGGGGCAGCAAGGGCAGTTCGCAAGTAACACCACTCACTGAATCATATGCTGCGACCACACTTAATAACTCAGAACTGTGACGATACAGGAGTAAATCAGATTCATTCAGCGCGACAGTGTGTGGCACTAGTACAGTACAGAACAATGAAGTATGATGCAGAAATAAGTAAGCAACAGCCGAATGAAGGAATAAAAACAATCAACAAATACAGCAAATGCAATGATATAGCAAATCAAGTCTCTAACTATACACCTAAGTGAACAAATACAATCTGCTGTTCTAGTGGAATATCACTGCGCTGCAATTTCTTCAAAGCATTGTGCAATGCCGTTGCAGCGCGCGTGCAGTCCAATCTCCCTGAATCATCTATCAGGTTGTCATAAAAACCAGACACAACCTCCTGTGCGACCTCATCATCGACAGACCACATGGAACCAATCACACTGCGAAACCCAGAGAATTGCATTGCAGCAGCGAGATGGATCGATTCATCGGGACTCTTCTCATCACCTACGGTAGTGTGGCAAGCCGATAGGAATGCAAACTGTGAATTCTGCCAGTTGGATCGGATGATGTCCTTGATCATCAACGGCCCATCACGCATCACAAAGGAAGATTTAAATGGTCATTGTCGATTGGGCATTCCATGGCAAGCCAGGTGAAGCCACTGGTGGTGGTTCAGCACATCAAATGCACCCATGACTGTTGCATCACTGTCCTCGAGCCGCGTGAAGGACGACACAACAGGCGCGAGACGCTCGGCGATAACGGCCACTTCGGGAGCTACACATTCAAGTGGCTTCCCTCCATCGGGGTGGCCTTGACCAATGGCAACAAAATGTTGAGGGGAGCCATCTTGTGAAACCTGCCGTCTCGCATGAACAAGAGTCGCCAAAGTGGGGGTGTATGAGGAGATATAGATGTGAGACAAACTATCTCTCTTCTTCTCGTAAGCTCCTGCTGCATGTAGAGGAAGCAGCATGAACTCAGCAGTGGGACACCACCAGATACGCGAACCACGGCAAATATTTGATACCCTAAGGGCTTGCACTACAGGGCCAATGACGCCATGCCAAAGTTTATGAAGGATGCTGACAAGCTTGAGTTGAACATCAAGAGAACCAAATTGTTTTGAAAGGGACTGGAACTCGGAGGACAAATCAGCAACTTCGGTCTGCGTGATATCAATTGGAACGTGGACGGGATCTTCATCGCTCAGGATGATCAAGGCGTCGCAGCGGTACTGACTAGCATTGACAATGATGACAGGACCATCTTCAGCTGCCTTCTGGAGGTCGGAGAAAAGGGGGGGAAGGAGAAACCAAGAAAAGGTGGGAAGCATGCAGATCCGTGAAACGACATCATCCCATTGCATGGTCAGTTGCCGGATTTGCGGGGACTGGTCTTCAGTAGACTGGTCGAACGCATCACGAAGGCGAAAACTCAACCATCTGAACTCATCTGCCAAGGCCGTGGCGGTGTCACCTGAAACAGAAAGTTCATCCAGTGGTGTGCTGAAGCATGCCAACTGGGTCCAGAACACTGCACGACCTTGCTCCACCAGCTCCACCGCGGTCATCAGCGCACGATGACGAACACTGCATGAAAAAGCATCTGTGGCAAGGGAAAAAACAGCCTCCCTGATGACGTCGAAATGATGCGAAGAAGATGACAAGAGAGCAACTTGCTGATCCAGGAATTTCAGTGCAGTCTGATAGGCAAGCAATGCAGAGGCATGATCGAGGGTGTCAGCAAAGGCCACCCATGATTTAGCAACACAAAGATCTGAGCGAGATGCTGCATGTGATAGTTGGGAGAGTTGAGAATACAAGCTAAATGCTTCATGAAGATCAGACTGGACGCCACGCTGGTGAAATCTATCTCGAAGGCCGAGTGCAAGATTGTTCAGAGATGTAGATCAATCTGAATGATCAGGGGGACAGAGGAGTAATGCATCCCAATCCAACTCAATGGCCTCATCAAGGTCAGACATGATCCCACACTGCTCGAATCTGTCTGCAAGGCTGATTGCAAGATTGTTCAGAGACATGGATCAATCTGAATGACCAGGGGGGCGGAGGAGTAATGCATCTCGATGCAGCTTGATGGACTCATCAAGGTCAGACATGATCCCATGCTGCATGAATCTGTCTCGAAGGCTGAGTGCAAGATTGTTCAGAGACATGGATCGATCTGAATGACCAGGAGGACAGAGAAGTAATGCATCCCGATGCAGCTCAATGGACTGATCAAGGTCAGACATGATCCCACCCTGCTTGAATCTGTCTTGAAGGCTGAGTGCGAGATTGTTGAGAGACTTGTATCGATATAAATGACCGGGGGGACGGAGGAGTAATGCATCCCGGTCCAACTCAATGGACTCATCAAGGTCAGACATAATGCCACGCCGCCGGAATTATCTCCAAGGCTGAGTGCAAAGTTGTTGAGAAACAAGAACGGAAGCAAGTGGCCTGGAGGACAAACCTGCACTAGGTTGGTGATGCTGTAAAAGGTCTCACATGAGCGCAAGACAGAGTCAGATCAGAGTCAATACACACCTGGCAAGCTGAAACTGCAGTACTAGTACACCAAAGACCCGTTACTCGAGAGAAATGATACAGTGAGTGCTCAGCGATATCACAAATCTAAGGGCGAACTGCCAGAAGGCCACAGTGAGATCGAGGCTCGGTTGGAAAACTATATGGGACCGAGAGGTGCAACCTGTAAAATACCTGTGCAGGTTGCAAGGCAAATATATAAAAAGCATTGCAGCAGCAGTGCACAGGCTGTGCACTGGTATCACGTTAATATCTCATCCAGGATAACACGAAAATAAGATGAGATCATTGCAATTGACCTTCAATTACATACTTCTGTGACTTCACAAATATTGCGGGCGTGTTTTGTCGTCAGTTTGCTGCAAGCCCTTCCCAGCGAGTTCAAGAAAACGTATGCATTGAAAATATGCGAAGACATCACTCAGGCTGAATGGAAGCTGTACTGAACTTGATGTTGATTACATAACGTGCTTAAACCACCTTAGGCTTGAACCAACAATATTTGCATTATCAGCCTCACCCAGTACTCCATTGTCTTGGACTGCGCATACGGAAACCATGTAACATCTATTTCAGACACTAAAAAGAATGTCTTAAATGTCCTTTACGCCGTAGGACACATGTGCCAAAATATCAGTGCTCAGCACGAAAATATTACCGCATCCCAAGCTATATATACATACATCACTACTTCACGACCAAGATCCTACAACCCCTCTCCATACTTGGCCATCACAGCCCTCAACGACGCCTCGTCTCCAAACCGTGGCTCGAAGCGCGCAGCGAAGCGTTTTGGGTGCGCAATCACGCCATCCACAAAGCCTGATTGGTCAATAGGGTTCTCTGGGTCCTCCGTGATCTTGAACGACCAGAAGAGGAGCACGAGGTTGATGAAAATCGAGCGATTCGCGATGTGTCGCCCGGGGCAGATTCTGTACGTTATTTTTCAGTACTACGGTACGTGGTTCATCAGGGAAATGCGTACCTGCGTCCAAAACCGTACGAAGGGAACTTGAGGTCTTCTCGGATTTTGCCCTCGCTGTCGAGCCATCTCTCAGGATCAAACTTGTCAGGGTTGGGATAGACGTTCGGGTCGCGCGAGATAGCCCTGTCAACGCATGATCAGCGCACACATTTCACCTGGAATGCACATCATTTAGTACCAGTGGTTGCCAAAGACGATAGCGCCTTTTGGTATGCAAATGTCTTTCTGCTCAACCAGCGAATCAATTTGGGAATCACGCCTAGGCATTGGAAACGTACGTATGGGATATCGGTCAGGGCACGGTGGGCGAATCCAAGAGTTGTCACGGGCCTCCAACGAAGACACTCAAGCATGAACGCCTCAACCTGGGGAAGGGAGCCGTAGTCGTCCAACGTGGGAGCTATGATGACCGGGTTGAGAATTGTTTACTCAGATGGGCTCGCATGTCAACCTACCCCTGTCACGACCTACGACGGTGTCGAGTTCCTCTTGCACTTTCTCCTGCGCCTTGGGATAGCATGCAGCAGCCATGATGACAACCATAATTGCGACAGCGGTCGTGTCTGAACCAGCGCCAAAGAGCGAACCAGCGAGATAAGCCATTTCCTCGTCTGAAAGCTTGTGCGAAGACTGATTCTCGAGAAGGTACCGAGAAAATGAGGGTCCAGCTTTGCCGGACGCCTACGAAGCACTGGTCAGGTGGGTATTTAAAACAATATGTTTAGAAACCTACCAATTCCTTCGAAACACGATTAAGTTGATCGTGGAAGAGCTGACTCTCTTCCCTTCTCCATTCCTCCAACTCGGTTGTATATCCCGGGAGGTATCTGATTATCGGGAAGCGTTCTACTAATAACGCACCAGGTCTCATGAGATTCTGGAAGCGCTTAAGCATCTTGTGGATGATAATGATCTCAGGAGCATCTACGGCGGTGGGCGTGGACTTTCCATACATGACACGTAAGACGACTGAAGCGGCATAGCTTGAGATGAATGCATAAGTGGTCGTAAAATCAGCCATAAAGTGAAACATACCGATTCACGGCCGCTTGGTGTTCTTTAGGGTTATCAAGAATGTCAGAGATGACATCACGGACAGCGTTCATCTGAATGGGCGCATAAGATTCTGCGGCCTTTGCTTGAAGGTGAGTGTGTGCGGCCCTGGATAATGTAACTTCAGCAAAGCAGTTGACAAGAAGAGATATCACTCAACTTGCGAAGTCTCCGGAACTGCTCTCCTGCGGGTGCAAGGATCATACGTAAACCGGCAGACAGAATCTCTCCCGCTGCAACTGCACGAGGACGGTCCGCTAGCAGACCACCTTCTTTTTCCATGATGTCAACGGATTCCTGTACGAGTGAGTATGAGCTCTAGATAGCCATTAGTTCGGTACCATCTTACCTGATGTCTACCAATGATGATCATGACCTTGGGCCCAATCCGGAGCGAGATGATTGGTCCATAGGTATTAATCCATTCAGCAAATTGTTGAGATTGCCTGTGATGCGTTCACTGTTAGTGTCCACGTAGACTCGGAGAATATTGTATTTTATATGCTCACTTTTCTTTTGGGAAAGCGTTTCCCAATAGCCAATGTCCAGGGGGTCCAGGGGGAAGAGGCAAGCGTGACCTTGATTGTATCTTGACGCGGAGCAAACCGCCCGCCATCACAAGAGCAACCAATGCTCCCAAGGCCTTGAATCCAAATGTTAAGTCGAGCATATCTTATAAGCGCAAATACAGTAACTTAGTGGAAGGGAGAAGATGGAGGGACGAAGAACGGTGAATACGTAGTGCGGTAACTCATGTTTTATCTTATAACTGACGAGCTGGCAATCGAGCAGTGCTGGAGCGCTGACTATGGTGCGGACCAAACCTTTTGGGTTAATGCAAGGCCCCCAGATTGCTATTACTAATTTGGGCCTGATATTTTATTTATCCATGCAAGCCATTTGGGTCGAAATGCGATTTTTGCCCTGGTTTTTTATCCCGACACTTCCGGTGCGCCTAGACTGCGCTCCGAGTGTTTTAGTTTCATGAATTTCGAAATTCAAAGTGATAAACAGTCTGACAACTTGTGATAAGGCTTTGGTCTCTCTTCAGCATCGCCGATGTGTGGCAAGTACTCACGTTGCAAATACGCAGGAGACATACTTTAGCTTATTATTTATACTAGTAATCCGTGTCTATGATGAGTTGAATCAGACAATGTTTCCGCACATAGTCCGCAAGCCCAGACGCCCGAGGCTTGATTTCGTCCAGACTTTTTCACCATTTAATCAAACAACCTGAAACAGGCATCCCACCTATGTTCCGGGGGGCCTGTGATGGCTCTAGAAGAGGCTAACGCTATACCCAGTCGTCATGCACGTCATGAGACGCAACTAGTATGCCGAATTGATGATCGATGCGTCGATGCAGTGATCCCCCCGCGGTGTTCGCAGTGGACATATATGTCATATTAGCGTGTTTGAGACCAATATTCGAGCACAACCTAATCGGGTTGGCGAAAAGCTCTCGGTTTTGGGCGTGCTGGCCAGTCTTCAAAGACGAAAAGATGCAGCTTAGCTCTGCTTAGAGCCTAGAGACCAAGGACGATGCTATGGCCACTTACTGGCATAGCGATTGCTAGTACTTTGCTAGTATCAGACTAGTACGCACTTGACGCATGGTAGTTGATATGGTGCCCGCATTTAACGAAACCTACTACCTTCATATGGTATTCGCAGATTCCCACCCTATTTTAGTATTCACCGCCACCTTGAGCACGTCTCCTGGAGCCACTGGATGACGGTCGGCGTTACCAGGCATCATACACCGTGGCTCGTGTGCGGAAAGAGTCGAACATGTTTAGGCGTCGCCAAGAACCTCTGAAAACACTCTAGTCCCTGAAAGGACTAGTGATCAGTGAAAGGCTAGGACCGGCCTGAATTTGAAAGGGATACGGTATGACTGTCAACCTGGGTTATATGCCCGCATCCAAGAGTGTTTGGATATTTGGAATTCCTCTCGTCTCGTACCTTTCCATCCACGTCGGAATATCGCGGGCGCGGGACTCGTAGGTTGCGATGAAATTTGAGCGGAAGAGAAGTCCGTCTACGCGGACTAAGGATGATCAACCTCAAACATGTAAGCACCTTCTGCTACCTTCTGTTCAAGTTCCTGTTTGATGCCGCACCTTTTTTTCCTTCCCTTTTGACCAAGATTGATGACCGGAAATATCTTATATTCCAATCTGCTGACGTCCCAACTTTTTGTGATGAACATTAGTAACTCACAGGCTTCATCATACCAAAGTCGGTCATACGAGTAACCCTGTTACTAATATTCATGACTTGGTGCGGTTTTTTCATTGTTGATTGCTTTACTTGCAACTCTGAGTCCCGAAACCTGTCCACTGATAGGCGATCAATGTTCTTTAGCATCAGGATGGGAGTGGCACAACTTGCAAGACAATGAAACCTGGCCTTTTGATATACGAACGCTGTAAGCAAATGCCACTGAACGGTTGTCTTCGGCAACAGCGCCTAAGCCACTATGATGTCATCATGTCCGTAGGCCGGGTGAAGAGCAGTGCATTGCAAACATCATCAAGACTAGAATGCGCCACGACACGAGTGAAACACTGAATGGAACGAGTCCAACTTCGACTGACAAACCAATGGCCCTGTGCCCGGTGCCCACCCTGATAGCGAAGGTGGCATCGAATGTAAACAAATTTTTTAACTTCAATTCAACTAGTTCATCTCACAACAACACTATGTGCGATGTACATAACCGCGTATTCAAGGATTACGACTATGCTTAACAAATCGCCGTAACAGATAATCAGCAACAGCCGAGCTCAGTTGAGTCTCCACCAATCATCGGGACCGGCCCCCAGGAAAACTTTACCCATCAACGTAAGCGCAGAAGCTCTGCAGGATTAGACTCTGGCGAATACTAACCTTGGATAATTTAAGTTACGATGCTGACTACCTAAGTATTAGGTGAGTCAACAGTCCGACGAACAGCATCAAACGCACGGCAGACCGTACGTGACCACTGGCCATAAACTCGCATCGTAAGGTTGAACGTTTTGAACCTTCGCATAGTAAGCACGAGTGAAGGCTTCTATTGTACTTAGCTATCACGTTAATGCCCGGTAATCGGCAATGGGATTATAATTTTCTCAACCGATCTGGTAAGACATTTGGTCACTGTGAAAGTTGGGTGAAGGCCTGCGAAGACCCGCATCTTGTTGTGGGCGCAAGTAATAGATTCTGGACCCTCGCATCATATATGACGGAACTCGCATTTAATGCGGTCCCTCTCGCCTAAACTTGAAGACTAGTAAGCCCTGAAGAAATTGAAATGTGAGTACCTAGTTCCAAAGATGGCCAGAGTCAATGTGCACCAGGGGGCATAGAACCTTCGAGTTCCTACTTTTCTACATGAACACCGGGGCTGCCCGCGTTTTGCTATCGTACCAATACCCGAAGAGTGCCTTTGGCGAGGTGTTTACTGGAAGAATGCACGACGAATACCAGAAGTTCCGATCCCTATGCTTCGATATGACCACGGATCACTGGACCAGGTTTTGCTAGCAGTTGTATTCAATATTATTAACGATCGAGAACCTTGTTTGACATCCAGGTTGCGAAGGCAAAAAAAAAAGTGTAAACTTCACGGGTATTTGAATTTGAATTCGACGGCATTCGTCGGCGTTCTGGCTTGCTAGAATAATCAAACGTTCCAGCTTAGTTGGGCCTCTCCACACCGGCGAAGCTCCGACAATCATAAAACCCATGCGGTTGCCTTTAGATATGCATTTTTCATTAAAGTTAACGTTAGGACAAACCGCGGTGCCTATATCATTTATGCGACTTGCCGTAGGGTCCAAGTAGTACTACGGCGTTTTGTATTATTGCATCCGGGGGTGGACCCTTGCGAAAACGGAGGTCGGATTCAATTGACAGGCCACCTCAGGCCTCAGAGTCAGTCTGAGTTGTTCAAAGGATAGTTGGGAGGATTTAAAAATACTACAACATATTCCTGGTAGGATTCGTGGGTTTGATGAAGCTGGCACTGTCCCTTGTCTAAGAATACGGACATAAGTACAGCATCTTATCGCCAAGTTATGGGAATAAGTACCTTACATACTGTCCCCGTGGGAAATATCAATGAGGCAGAGTCTGGGTATATAGACGCCAGACTTAGTTCCTTACTACCTTCAAGATCTACAGCGAGCCACAATTTTTTTAACTCTCCCTTTCATTATCGTTTTCTCTCTCTCTTCAAGCACCCTGTCCGATAATGCGCTCCGTAGACGGTCCCAAGATTGTCCGTCAGATTCGCTGTCTATTGACAGCAATGTCCTCCAGGGTCCATGCGAAACGGTAAGTGTTTCATATTCTGATACGTGGAAAAGCTCGACCAGGGTGCCCTCGGTAACGTCGAGCAACCACCTGTGCTGTTTTGTTCGTTTTTTAGACTGTCTAACCTTTCTCATTACAGGCGAAACGCCTTCTCTGATAACCCCCGCACATCATTCATCCATTCACCCGCACTTGACCTTCCGTATCTACCAACGGAAATATGGCTCATGATTTTGCGCGAAGCCACAACCATGAACTCAGATCCCCTCGATATCTCTCTTGGTCTATCATTTTTGGAAACCACCTGCGAAGTCTCAGAATACCACGCCTCCATGAAGATCAAGCGGGACCTATCGCTTGTAAGCAAAATGTGGAATAAATACATGCAGGAGTACCTATACGAGTTTGTCTGGATCAGTCGAGCCAGCCAAGCAAAAGCGCTCGCACTCACCTTACTCACACAATTTATCGAGGGTAAGCCCTCCAGCGGCCATTACATTCGCCGATTACACATGGAAACGCCCGTCCTCATGCGGTGCGCCACGGATGATATCCGTACCATTCTTGATTACGCCCCCCATCTCGTCATCTATTCTGATCATCACTCAGTGCGATGCATGCGCTATTCAGAGTTTATTGATGTGCGCTGTTCCCCGGAACAGATGGTTTCTGTTCTTGCGAATTCGAATAGCAAACTTCGCAAACTTTCTCTCACCAACTACAGCGATGACCCCTTCCCAAGACATGTATCGCCGCTCCTCCGGCGCACTGCAGCTAACCTCGAATACTTGGAGCTTTCGTCGTCCACTATACCCCTCGTTTCTGGTCACCTCTTCGCATCAAAATCCCCCATCGTTTCCCTTCCTGTACTTCAATCCCTCAAACTGACCCTCGATAACACAACCTTTGCGGTACTTGCGGCATGGGACATGCCAAATCTGCGAAATGTCTCTGTAGTCTCTTCAGATTTTGGCTACGCAGGACCCGGGTTCGCTTACTTCTTTGCCGCACATGGCAAAAAACTACACCAGTTGGAACTGGGACACTCTTCTTCACTCGTCGTCGAACACTACCTCTCACTTCATCCTCGGCCTGTACAACATATTCCACTAGCAGAGTGGTGCCCCAACCTCAAAGAGTTCATTTGTTCTGCGGATGCAGAGTGGAGCTGGCAGAACCCAGATTGGATAGCGCCGCATGTCCTCCTTCCTGGGCACAAAAGCCTGGAATTCATTGGCATCCGAGATATCGATAAGCGCCTCATGGATGACGCATCTGCTTTCCCTGCTGACAGGGAAGATGAGGCGCCGTTTTTCCCATTGGTGGAGCAAATCTCGTCGCTACTCTTTAATGACGCCTTCCCGTCTTTACGGTACATCCGTGACTTGAGCCGGGGATCCCATTCGATGCGCGTCGGACAACGTCCCGAGACGCGAATCTTGAAATTCTGGGCCAAGATTCTTGCCCGCTGTGGTGAGCGGCAGGTCTGGCTCGAGGATTTCCGAGGCGTCAATATTACGTTACGGGATCTGAAACGGGCAGGACTTGACCGTATAGGAGGTGCCGTCACCCTCGCCTAGTTTTTTTTATCCTTTTACTTCTGTGCTTTCTACATGCATACCCTCCTTATCTTCCGTTCTGCGTCACTATCTATCTGCGTCACTGTCCGTCTATCACTGTATCAAAAACTCGTACATGCATTCACCCCATAACCACACATACTGCGAATACCATAGCACTCGTTTCTCGGTCCTCTTCATTTTTTTTCTATTCACTCTACATCCCTCTTCGGGCTCCCAGCATTCGTGCGCGCATACCTTGTTATCTTCGTGGAGTTGGACGCCTTTCCGTTGAACCGTCTCTCATTTCCATTTCCTTGGTCTAGGGTCTTCGATGACTGTAGCATACCACCGCATCACATCACATCGTACATACTATCATACGCTCGTTGCATCGTCATTCGTTCTCCACTCTCTTTCCTGGTTGGTTGTGGATGCATCTTTGTGGCCTATATCATGTAGTAGAATGGAAATGACTATTTTTTGGAGAATATTTTTGGTCTAGCATGAGCGCTGTGTATACTTGATGACTTGAAAATCTGATCAGCCAGATCTGGGATCTGAGATCTGGGGATGACTAGATGACTCCACACCCCACAGCACTTGTTAAGCACTCGTAACCATTTGTTCCATCTCATCGTAATTACCAGTAACCTGACTAATTAAACAATGGTAAGCGCACTTGACTCATACTCATCATCGCTCATCGCCTTCCAGGACGCTGACATCGAGCACCTGGTCCTCTCAGGCAAGCTCTTCGGCACAAACTCCCGTTCCTCCTCTCCCGAACGCAGCCCCTCCCCAACCCTCTCCTTCGCATCCGCATCCTCCGACTCCTCCCACCGGCGCATCTACCAACACAATCGCGATGCCACAACCACAGCAGCACAAGCGCAACAAGAGTCCATCGGGATGGGGCCAGGGCGCACAGGCGTAAAAGGCGTCATCCGCGATCAACACGAAGCAGCTGCGCTCCAAGCTGAGCGGCGCGCACGCGAAATGGAAGAAGTGCGGAAACGCATGGAGAGGGCTAATCTCGGGGGGAAAACGTTCTTAGAGGAGGAAGCGGAGAAAGACGCGTTGGATCCTGAGAAGCGGACGAATGTGCTTGGGATCCCTAAGACGGGGCGGTTTGGGCATCTCAGGGAGGTTGGCCGTGGGGGGTTCGTGAGCGCTGTTGAGAGGGAGGATAGAGGTGTTTGGGTTGTTGTGCATTTGTATGAGTCGGTGAGTTGTTTTTTGGGCGTGCGTGCGTGGGGGGTGGGTTTTTGATGGGGTTTTTTTTACTAGTCGTTGGATCGGTGTTATGCTCTTGATGAGGTGTTGGCGAGGCTTGCGAGGATGTATCCTGAGACGAAGTTTGTGCGTGCGCGGGCGGCTGCGCTTGGGTTTGCGTCGACTGCGTTGTCGTCGTCGTCGACTCGGGTGCGGTCCAAGTTGAATGGGATGCCTGGGCGGTTTGTCGAGGATGATGGTGATGATCCGTATGCTGATGGGGCTGATGAGAAGCCTTATTATGACGAGGAGGAGCAGGATGAGGGGGAACAGGAAGAGGACGTCGACACAGACATGCTACCAACATTACTGGTCTACCGCGACGGTGAGCTCGTGCATAATTGGGTACGCGTAGACTGGGAAGCAGGGCAGGCGGGTGTCGAGGATTTGCTCGCAAGGTAACTGATCTTATCTCTCATTCTCAGAACCTCATGCATTATCATGTTTGTAGACGAAACGTCATTTCATCATTCAGGTCAACTGGCAATTGCGGTCTGCCAGAAGATGACGTTGATGATCTGATATGGAGCGACGAAGACGAACGATGACCCCGCGAATCGGGGCTCTTACTGTTCAAAAAATCATACCTGTCTTTGTGTCTCCCAGCTCCGGTGGACCAAATTCCTGGTATTGATATTGGGTGCATATGGACATTGTAACCTGATACTTAGGATGTGTTGTTGGATTTCATGTACCCAGTATTGTACATAGTCTGTTCTAGTGATGTGCGGGCGTGGCTCGGCCTGAAAGCCCCAGCTCGGGGACCCGGGCTTGGGCTTTGTAAAACCTCAGCTGAGGAATGGCTGGACTTGTTCTTTCAAGGACGATATATATTTGTAGATGTACAGTACTTAGTCGTCATCAGCTGAATGAACATCAGACTGTCCGAGTCATCCTCCTCCTTTGAAATCGGCGTATATCACCCCTTGTCATCTGTTGGTTCGACTTCTAACACCTCGGATTCTTCACCTTCAAGAGATCATGGACCGGGCTGCCGGAATAGAAGATAACATTTAGCGCATTGCCGCAGGCCTCGATAATATCTCCTTTCAGCGAATTACGCTACTCGTTGATTGTGATTCCTTGAGACGGATGCCTGCCGTAATGAGTTAGCGAAGCCCACGCTGGATATCGATCGCAACAGGAACAGTGGCAATCAGCAAACAACCTCGAAGCGAGTGAAAGTCACTTATGCCGCCATCGATACCCGCCGCCTCGTAGAAACAGCCCTCCACGGGTTTGATGGGACGTGGAGCTTGATTCTGCGGCCGTATTGATAGTTAGTTTCCCCAGGCCGCAAACCTTGATTTGTGATTGAGGGCTGCGATAACGAGGCTAGTAGCCCATCGTAGCGTTATTTGAACAAGCAAGCACATGATTTCGATGGTCGGTACTTTGCGCCGAGAATTTGAAGTAGGTCCAAAGGCTCATTTGAAGGACTGTTGAGTGATAATCGAGCTCGATATTGAGATGTGGGTTTGATTCAGAACAAAGTAGTGTTGAGAATTCGCAGTATGTGGAGGACTGTTAAAGTGATAGTTTGGCTCGTTAGGTAACGCGCGGGAGGCTTGTTTGAAGGACTGTTGAAGTGGTGATCATCGATCTTGTGAAGATAAGTATGATATGAAGTTTGATTTTGAATGACGTAGCGGCATTCATAATGAAAGCCGCCGGACCGGGCGCTATGTCATGGTCAAGCTATGACTATCACGGCTAGACCATGTACATCACTAACTCCTGAGGGAACATAGTTTGAGACTGAGGAGGACATTGCGATGTGGATGATTAGTTTTGTATGTATACCGTCGCGTTGCTAGGGTTGTTCCAAGTTTGTTCTGATGTTCTGATCCGAGCCTGTGCCATGTGCCAAGATCCGTGCGACTACGTAACTCGATTGGGGTTTATTGGGTCTTTGGCCGGTGAGCGCGTGTGCCCAACGTTGCATCGGCTTCCGTACATACAGATCGCAGTATCTTTGTCTGCAACCAGTGTGAGAATCCCTTATCAGCCAAGTGCTGTCCCAAACAACCAAGCAGCCCACTGTTCTTTGCCCAGACTCCTTTCTCAGATCTCAATATTAATATCCATATTCGAGCAACAAGCCATGTCTACAGCAGGCTACACGCCTCTCCCTCAGAACCCCCAAGGTCTGAATCAGTCTCACCATCGAAAAAATTTGTGTCCGCTCATAATGTTTTAACATCTAGACGACGACCGCGACGACACTGAACGTTCAGTTCTCATTGCAGACTCGCAGGAAGCACATGCTGGCGTCATAAAAGTCGAGGCCGCACAACGCGTATATGGGCGTTACTCTCGTTGGTTTCTCTTCATTGGGTGCGTGCAAATCACTTTCAAGTTGCGCCTCGTATACTAATTCATAAATTACTACCGATAGCCTTGGACTTGCATCATATATATACTCCCTTGATGCATCCACAACTTATGCATACCTTACATTCGCTACTTCATATTTTGGCGAGCACAGCTTTATCAGCTCAATCGCCGTCGCACAGTCACTTATTAGTAATCTCTCCCCCTCGTCGCCCTTGACAGTGATTGTTGACTGAATATTCACAGTCGCTGTTGGGAAACCTGTAATCGCTAAAGTCGCGGACGTCTCGTCGCGAGGCACCGCTTACGTTGGTGTCTGTGAGTGCGCACTGCATCTTCAAGTCCTTGTCTGACCTTGTACTTCTAGTGATCTTTTACGTTCTCGGTATGTCGTTTGCATGCAACTCACTGCAGTCATCATTGATATCATGATCTGCCACTACTAGGCTATACCGTAATAGCTTCTGCCCCTAATGCCGGTTTTATTGCTGGGGGGATCGTACTCTATGCTGTGTGCGCGTCAATTCTTTTCTCTTCTTTCTATCTTACTCATTTTTCTAGTGGATATACGTGAGCATATGCCGATAACGCCACTATTCTGGGCATTGATTTACTCGGCCCAGTGGATTGCAACTACTCACACAGATTATCATTGCTGACATCACCACCCTTGCGTGGCGTGGGCTTGTCGTCTCCCTCGTCTCTGCACCATTCCTGATCAATGGATTTATTGGCTCAAACATATCCACCGCAGTCCTCAACACTATCGGTTGGAGATGGGGCTGTAAGTCACGTGCATCATTTCACCTTGTCATTTTCTCAATTGCATGATGTGATTCATAGATGCCATGTTTGCCATCCTTGTCCCTGTTTCCCTTGCGCCCCTCATTTTCACTCTTCTGTGGGCGGAACGCAAGGCCAAAAGGATTGCACTTCTCGACTCCAACAAATCACGTAGTCGCGAGAACTCAAGACAGCGAAGCCTCTCAGATATATCTGTATCCGCCATGGCTGTCTTCCTTCGGTCCGCTGAACAGCTTGACCTAGTCGGACTTGTCCTTCTCGGGGCCGCAGTTTCACTGACCTTGCTTCCATTGACAATTAGTCAGGCTGTGTCAGGATCCTGGAAGAATGGTCCGTGTTCAATATCTCATTTTCTCGGCGAGAGATTGACAAGTGTGCACGAAATGTAGGCTCGATCATTGCAATGCTTTTCATGGGAGTTGTGCTCCTTGTCGTATTCGCAGTCTGGGATCTACGTTACGCCAGTATGCCCGTGATCGCTCCTCGGTTTGTCAAGAATAGAAGTGTCGTATGTGCCGCGTTCATCGGCTTTTTTGACTTCGTAAGTGTCAAGTGGCGTCGACATTTATTGGTGAAACTGATCGTTCGATGTTATAGATGTCGTTCTTCCTTACGTATACGTATCTGTTTTCGTTTGTCCTCGTGGTGAAACCTTGGTACCTTTTACCTTCGGCTTGTGAGAGAGTATGTGTTAACCTAGCCTCTGAAGGTCACTCGTGAATGCGACGTACTTCATTCAGGTGCAATCCGTTGCACTGACATTCTTTGGCATTCTTGCGGGTCTCAGCATGCGTTTCCTCCATCGTTACAAGGTACGCCACTGTCACTGATCCAATCAAACCTGCAGCCCAGCTCAACCTTGCGCGGTAGTACGTACTCGTCGTCGGACTCGTCATCCGTCTCGCGTAAGCCCCTCAATCATTTCACCCAAAATTTTTGACCTACGTATTCTTATCAGGGGTGTTGCAATGATGATCCATTCGCGTGGCGCCAACGCCTCAAATGCTGAGCTCGTGTGGACCCAGATCCTTCAAGGTTTCGGCGGAGGTTTTGCCGCTGTCTCTTCGCAAGTAGGAGCACAAGCATCCGTCCCTCACACAGACGTGGCGATCATCACGGCGATCGTGCTCCTAGTGACTGAAATCGGGGGCGCAGTTGGGAACGCATGCGGTATGTTAACTCTCATGCATATCTAGAGTCGTTGATTAGATGGAAACACAGCCGGTGCGATTTGGTCGAACACGATGCCAAGTAACCTAGAGAAGTATCTGCCATCGTTGACTGCCGAACAGCGTGCAGAGCTGTTTGGGAGCATAAGGTCAGCAGCTTCGTATCCGCTCGGCCATCCCATACGAGAGGGCGTCATCAGCGGTGCGTTTTAAATAGATGTGCTATGTATATATTAATGCAAATGCTCACCGATCATGTTTCAGCGTACGATGACACGATGAAGATCATGGTAACCACGGCAACCATACTGAGCATGATACCTATCTTGCTTGCGCTCGCGATGCCGAACTGGTACTTGGGGGACAAGCAGAACGCGATCGATGCTGCTGATCTTACCGGAAGGTCGGAGCTCGAAGACGACCTCGAGGATGAGGAAGAGCTGTAGTCTTATTCTTGTTGGGCATTGGGCGAGACCTACTTTGTATCATACCGCAAGCGGTTGCCGCTGTGCGGCTCGCCTTGTGAGAGGAAAACAACATTCCATTCGGTTTGTTCCTGCTCACTTTTAACTATCCTTTCTACTTCGATCGTGACATCATAAAGAGTTGTAGTGTTAGAGAGAATGATGTTTATGTTAGGAATGTTGTCTTTAAGTAGCTAGAAATACGAGTTTTGTGGATTTCTGTGGATGATATAGTACCAAGAGCAGGTCTGTTAGGAGCATCATCATCAACAGAAACCGCAACTGTCGAGCTCGCACTACATCGTAAGCACTTGTAGTTTATAGTGTGGTGGATTCAGATTAACACTGCTTTGTCAGGATACTAATCTACGCTTCATCTTCTAGTGGGAGCATTATCGTCCGGTGTTCGTTACTTTTTATATCATGTTAACTAACCTAGTGTTTTACGTGTCAGATAATTTATGTATCAGTCTTGGTCTCGTCAACTAGATGTCTAGTTCCAAGCGGTGAAAACGCACCGAGGTGTGCGAGGGATATGAAATCTACCAAGGGGGATTTTGAATAATCAACCCTGTCGGATTCTCTTCCCTGCATCATCTGGCGTAGGAAACGTGTCACCTTCTTCTCGGGGCCTCTTCTGCTTGCGGAGGTTGAGGAGCCGACAAAGTTTGATATCACCAGCTTCTTTTTGCGCATCATCGAGATATTCTGCGGCTTTTGCATGCATATCTTCCCGAAGGGAGTCATCAAGCATAAGCGAGGGGTACTTTTTCTCTGCCTTTTCATGACTGTCTTGAAGAGTACTTGCAAAATGCCCAATATTATGGCAAACATCAAGGCATCTATCTGAAAGGACAGATTCGCAGGTGCGCTGAAGTTCTGTGATGCGAGTGAAGAAGTCCCGGCGTGTTTCCTGGCTAATCACACCAGGGAACGCCAGCTGGTATTGTCTCAACTGCGCATCCACATCAAAGGAATCGTGGGAGTTCGCCGTGATCGTGTCCGTGTGATAAAAGAAGATCCACGTATATGCCCACCATACAGATTCGATGTCGTGCAGGAAGTTCGTGCGGAATGGAGGGGGGGCGGGAGGTTTGTAGCACGAAGTGTTCTCCCAGATGCAGTGGACCGGGGTTGGAAAAGGTACCGCTGACGTTCTACTTCTATCAAAATGAAATGCATTGTTCCCTGCCGACGAGTTAGCAGCGAGAGGTATCATCTTCAGAAATTCTTACCGTTCGAACGTCGTGAGAAGTGTTTGGATCTATCTCTTGCGCGCACTCGAAGTCACCCAGTTTGCCTATACTCCCGTTGTCGCCGACGACCCAAATCACGTTCCCGACGCTGAAATCGCCATGGATCCAACCTGCCTTATGCAAATAATATAGGCCTAAGGGTGGCGTGAGCGATCGAGGTAAGGAGAATAAGGTTGCTGTACCCTTCAGTCCGCCAGACAAGCATCTCAGGCTGTCGGCCAGAGAGATCCCATCCTTGATAGCGACTCCGCCATCATCAAACGCAATGCGCGCGTGGACTCTCTGTGCGATCTGTGCATCCTTTCGCCCAACAATGCCTAATTGTGCGGGAAGGAAGACAGACAGTCTACCACTGTCGGGTACGTCGACCATAGCAGATAAATGCGGCTTTTTGGAGGGAATGAGCTTGAGATCAATGGGTTCCCCCTCTTCGGACCTCTTCGAGTTCGCAGGTCGAATGAAGGCCTTCCATTTCAGATCGTTTTCAGTGAGAATCTCCCTCTGAATTAAGTCGTCGCGCATATCCTGCAGACGTTGCGGGGAAGGCATGAGACCAACACACTTCGCTAGGGAAACGAACGGGACCTGCAGATACCTTTCCAAATCAGCGAGAACAGCCTCGCGGCCTAGCTTCAGGTCTCCCGTGCGATAATCAGATTGTGAGGTGTGGCGAGGGACTAGGGCTGTATCTGGCGGTGGTAGCTGTGACTTCTGTGATGGTGGTGTATGGGGGGTGGCCATTGTGATGCGATCTGTGAAACAGTTCGGCTTTGGGGATAAATGCTCGAGGTTGTGCAAGAACAAGACTGAAACTGTTATTGCAAGCTTAAATACCTTCGGATTCGCAAATGTGACGTCATGGCCAGTGGACAGTCTGAGACAAAGTAATGGAACATCGGCATCCTCCGAGTGTAATTCGAACTCCGCTCGATGTTTCGAACGACCAACCATGTCAATCAATCCCGCCAATGCGCCCGCCACCGCCGCCCCACCTGTAACTCCCACATAACGACAGTAGTTACAGGTGATAATATATGGGGTTCGCACTTCTAAGACGGGGTAAATACAGTCAATCAGAGCCTCCTTCAATATTTATCTCTTCAATAATGAGGGACTTTTATATAGGCTCTGGGTGCCCGGTAAATGCCATGATGTGTTGCTGATGTTGTTTAAGATTTCAAACCTTCAAGTTCGCTATGCGACACGATGAGCTCCCACATCTTGATATCTCGCACCCAGGTGAACGTATTGACGGCGGGTTTTGACAACCCATGCGCAAGTGACCATTAAAATACGTCAATCTGTCTTATGTGTCCGTAGAATGTGTAAACTAAGCTATATTACTCCTCATCAGTCATGAACTTCGTTCCAGTCGCCAGAAATCATCGGCAACATGGGGCACCTCCTCTTCCTGCACTTCCTCATCTAAGTCATCTGGTGTATCCGGCACCGCTGCAGGTTGTCTATTGTTATTGAAAGGTAGGTGTTCTACCAGCAATTGTGATGGGACCTGCGCATTCGATGTGCTGGAGCTTTCTCCGAGACCTGTACTATTGGTGCTTGTACTGGGGATATCGTCCCGCTAAAGCCAGGAAGTGTCGATATTTCATGCAGCCGCTTTAGGTGGCGTGAATTGAATCGTCTTCAGACATTTCGATGTATATATAGCGACTTGATGAGCAAGAGTTGGACTGACAGCCTTCAACTGATCCTCGCCCGCCCACATGTATTTGTCTTTGTCTCGGATGTACGTCACTACATCTGCCTTCGGACTTGGTCGTATCAGGCAGGACTGACAACAGTTGCGTAATCCGAAACATTGACCTTATACTACCGTTTACCCTATGAGATGACTCGTTCAGAATATCACAACGAATTGATTAGGAACGGCATTCTTGAATTTACCTTGAGTTGTATCTGGTTATTCTTGCGCATCTCAAATATCTCGTTGTGCCATATCCGAAAGCCTTAGCTTGTCACATCTGTCACACCTTTGCACGGCTGTGAAGTGGTGAGTGGCAACGCAAATCTGTAATAATTGCTGGCGAGTCAGAAAGCTCGCGAGGATGATCGCAGACTGCAGTTGGCAACCTGACCGTCAGGAAAATAGGGTGGATGGTGGTGAGGTGTGAGAGGGTTGGAGGATATTTTGCAAGCACATCAGATAATGACGCGATCGCAAGTGTGAGTCAAGAAATTTGAGATGAAGTGGAGAGCTGAGTCAATATAATATACCTTACATTTCCTTCAGCTTCAGCGAATTGTCGCTGGACCTATACGACCTCATTGTACCAGCACTGTACATATGAGTAAGGATAGGCTAACATCGGCCCAGAGCAACGCGAGCATGTTCAGGGATAAATTAAATCGCGGCAAAAATCCTTGATATGGTGCTACAAAGGATCAGACGCGACAGTATGCAGTTGCGCAGACGTTCAGGAGATCGGTGTGTAATGAAACTTTCCAATAAGACTCACTCACAAAATGTAAAGCATGCCAAATGTGTGATCTCGCATGTTTAGCAGAGTCAACGGATCTTGTGGCCAGCTCATTATTGCTGGTAAGCACAATAGCTATGGGATACTCGTCTAGCATCCCCTCGTATGTATCATACAATCAATAAAAAAAATCAACCCTGGTGGATCCTCTTCCCTGCATTATCTGGCGGAGGCGACGTTTCACCTTCTTCTCGGGGTCTCTTCTGCTTGCGGAGGTTGAGGAGCCGACAAAGTTTGATATCACCAGCTTTTTTTTGCGCATAATCGAGATATTCTGCGGCTTTTGCATGCATATCTTCCCGAAGGGAGTCATCAAGCACAATCGAGGGGTGCTCAGCCTCTGCCTTTCGATAACTGGCTTGGAGAGTATATGCAAAATGCGCAAGATTATCGCAAACCTTAAAGCATCTATCTGAAAGGATGGATTTGCAGGTGTGATAAAGTTCTGTGATGCCAATGAAGAATTTCAGGCGTGTTGGCTGGTCAATCGCACCAGGGAACGCCAGCTGATGTTGTCTCAACTGCGCATCCACATTGAAGGAATTGTTGGAGTTCGCCGTGATTGTGTCCGTGTGATAAGAGAATATCCACGCATACGCCCACCATACAGATTCGATGTCGTGCAGGAAGTTCATGCGGAATGGAGGGGGGGACGGGACGTTTGTATCACCATATGTTGGAGGGGGAGCTAGGGTTTGGAAAAGGTACTGCTGATGTTCTACTTCTATGGCCATGAAATGCATTGTTCCCTGCCGACGAGTTAGCAGCGAGAGGTATCATCTTCAGAAATTCTTACCGTTCGAACGTCGTGAGAAGTGTCTGAATTTATCTCTTTCGTGTACTCGAAGTCACCCAGTTTGCCGATACCCCCATTGTCGCCGACGACCCAAATCACGTTCCCGACGCTGAAATCGCAATGGATCCAACCTGCTTTATGCAAATAGTATAGGCCTAAGGGTGGCGTGAGCGATTGAGGTAAGGAGAATAAGAATAGTTGCTTTACCCTTCAGTCCCAGTGAAAATCGACAAGAATGAGGTAGATACGTGTAGATACAGATCGAAAAAAATATAAGGGAATGGATTTTTTCGCTATGTTTCGACTTCTTTAAAAAAGTGGGACTTTTCGAGACGAAAAAAGATAGAGATCGAAACGAATATTTAGCACTTCGATACGATTCTCGTTGGCTTTAGATCACTTTTAGATGCATATATGCGTTGAAAATGTTCCATTTGGGTGGGGTGAATAGGTATCTAATGCTATTGAATGATGTATCTATGGGTATCGCGATAGTTAGGTGCTCGTGGTATTGCTGTGCCCGCGCCCGCCTCCGCCATCCCGCCATCCCACCATCCCGCCTCGTATCCATTAGCTACTCCTCATCTGCATCATTACCGGCGCCGTTCCTTTCGGTGGGTCCAGCCGAGCCGAGCTATAAAGCAAATCATTGTTAGTATGAAGATACGCGCGGCTATCATGAATACCACGCACCTGTAGAGCCGCTTTGTGCATGTATACCTTTAATAGTACTAGTCGGTAGATTAATAGAAAACGCGCCAACACATCTTCTCTGCATGATCGGGGTGAAGCCATAGAGCCTGCAATTGCGGCCCAACTGGACAGGTATTGAATGTCTGACAAGCGACCTTTTTCTGCGCAGTGCTCTTCTTTGTGTCCCAGCGCTCCTCTCCACACCTCGGGCATTCATCATGATTGATATCAGTATATGGACCCGTAAAGGCAAGGCAGGTGTTTGGGCACATGTCGTGGACGATTGGAACAACTCCACTGATTTCCGCAGCAGTACACTTGATCCGATGATGACTGTAGATATCGTTGTCGGGATGTCATTCCATGGTAGCATCACGGATAGTATTATAGGCTTTGATCGTGGTATTGGCGAAATAAAACTTTAATGAGAGAATGAGGTCGGGGTCAGTGGTGTCCGAGTCAGGGAGTTCACGAAGAGGGTTTCGAAGCCTTTATAGTGCATCCATTGGTAGTCGAGAGTGCGAGTCATCGAGACTTGCTTTTTGCAAAGCAGTGATGAATGCCATCGCATCTTGAATATCTTCCAGTTGCGCCATGCAGTGAAGTTGCTCCAGGTCTAGTGTCTTGATCAAGATCAGCAGCACCAAGATCAGGTGCGCCATGGTCTCGTTCTTCAGGCTGAGTGTCGCTAAGATCAGGTGTGTCGTGTTCTCGTTCTTCAGGCTGAGCGTTACCGAGATCAGGTGTGTCGTGGTCTCGTTCTTTGGGCTGAGCGTCACCAAGATCAGTATGAAGCTCGTAGGTGTCTATATCCATAGTGATATTTATCAGTCTATTAGTCTTGTTTTCTTGTTCGTGACACTTTCAATTGAAAGGCTCACTGTTGTGCTAGAAAATATGGCCATGACCTGGTTGTATGCACATGGCGGGGCAGTGATGTCGAGCCTCAGAGATGCAATCTCTGGCTGGAGCAAGTAGAGAATAAGTTCGTCCGGGTACTAGAAACGGCAGTCACAGTGAATAAATCAACTGCTCGCCGCTCTGCCAGTGGGCTCGTGGTTGTTATGTTGTAGTCTGCGAGAGATATAGTCGCGGGCTTAGTGATAACTTGAAACGCGACTCGGACTGAGGGAATGATTGTATCGAGCCGAGGTCGTGGCGGGAACAAATGACATGGTGGGCAGATGAGAAGATGCGACATTGCGAGTGGTTCAACTGCACTAGCTCGGAATAAACATAATGCAAATGCGTGGGGTACAAGTTATGGAGTTACACAAACAAAAGATGCACGATGCACATGCGCATTGCGCACATATGGGCGTTGTGCAAAGTTTGTTGAAAGTTCAAAAAATATTGCAAACTACGCGATCGAAGTTTGACATGCTTGCATTTTTTTACTGTTGCAAGGATTCTTTGCGTTTTGCACAAAATCAGAGTTTTGCCGTCTCGAATTTCTTAGATTTGTATCTGCCTCAATTTGTACTTAGACATCTATCTCTACATATCTACCTCATTCTTGTCGATTTTCACTGGGCTTCAGTGCGCCAGACAAACAACTCAAGCTGTCAGCCAGAGAGATTAGATCCTTGACAGTGACTCCAACATCATCAAAAATGATGCGCGCGTGAACTCTCTGTGGGATTCGTGTTTCCTTTCGTCCAACAATGCCCAATTGTGCGGGAAGGAAGGCAGATAGTTTACCACTGTTGGGTACGTCGCCTGTAGCAGATGAATGCAGCCTTTCGCAGAGGATGGGCTTGGGATCGATAAGTTTCCACTTCCAGGTGCCATCATGATCGTCTCTGGCCACCGGGTTCACCGTCTCATCCGAGGCACCATCAATTGTGACATCCTTCCAGAGCCGGACTCCAATGAAGTGCCTCTTGGCATCGGCGAAATCCTCCACTCCCAGCTTCTTCTCGCAGGAGGCCAAGATCTTTTCTAGGATCTTGCCCTCGGATTGACGATCAATTTCTCTCCACGAATCTTTGATGGCAACCTTCTTCCCTTTAGCGTCCGTGGCTTCGTACACGCAAGTTCCACGTCCAACCATATAGTCCGCGCTGTAGGTAGCAAGTTCCCGTGTCGTGGTGAACACTTCGTTGCCTACTGTGAACTTGTATTGCATTTTTCCTCCTACATAGATCCGCTCGACAGTGGGGTCCCATCCGAGCCCTTTCAAAGAGGTAGACGTAGATACAGATCCAAGAACATGAAAGAGAGAGATCACACCATCAATGTCCTAGATGTATTATATCAGTTAGTACCCTAACATACAGCGCGATAAGGTGGCGTACCTCGAAGCAGTTGATAGGCTCTGTAACTGCGAGGAACCCACGATTACCGAGCCACAGTCTCAACTGCGTGTCCTCGATTGTGATACCGAAGGCAAACCGACGGCAGGGGTCCTCGCGCATGATGTTGTGAAGGCTCCAGATTATCTTACGTTCATTCTAGAGCAGAGTTTATAAGCCGGCGCCGAAGAGATCTGCAACAACAGCTTATGTCTTGGAGAGCTTTGGCATCCTGTTCCTTCTTGAATCCGAATGGCACAGCAATATCGAACCAATGCATCCTGGGTGCAGTTCGATTGTTCACCCGCACAAGGTATCCATCCGGCAGGGAAGTATTATGGTGCTCTGAGAGGGGCATATTCGATAGGTAGGATACTCCACAATTCGGGACCTTTTCCAAGATTCCAGAGATGATTCCCTCGAGGGACTTGAACGTCATCTCTTCGGACATCTTCGCGGGTCGAATGAAGTCCTTCCATTCCAGGCCGTCGTTGGTGAGAATCTCGCTCCGAATTAAATGGTCGCGCATCTCCTCCAGATGCTGCTGAGAAGGCACGGCACCAACACACTTCGCTAGGGAAACGAACGGGACCTGTAGATACCTTCTCAAATCAGTAGGAACAGCCTCGCGACCTAGCTCCAGATCCCCCGTGCGATAGTCAGATTGTGAGGTGTGGGGAGGGACTAGTGCTGTGTCTGGCGGTGGTACCTGTGACTTCTGTGATGGTGGTGTATGAGGGGTAGCCATCGTGATTCAATCTGCGAAACAGTTAGGCTTCGGGGAGAAATGCTCGAGGTTGCACAAGAACAAGACTGAAACTGTTATTGCAGCACTAGTAAATACCTTCGCATTCACAAATGTGGCTACGTACCTCAGGGACTTAGAAAGTCAGGGATTTGGTCTGGGGCCCATCGGCAAGCCCGGCAGAGTTCAACTGAGTTTAAACCATTGCTTTATGACAAAGCACGACTTTGTTATATTTCAAGTAAGTTCGAACGCGAGGTCTTGAAGTTTTGCAAAGTGGAAAGCTTCTGAATAAGGAAACTCCTCAAAGCCATTGCACAACAGACCAAAACGACGCTCTTCTGAACTCTGCACTGGTCTGGCACAACTGAGGGCTACGGCGAATTCTAATATAAATACAACCCGTGCGTGATGTGTGCAGCCCTGAAAATTCACTGTAAGCGTGTATCGTCTAGTATCTCAAACCGATATGTAATGTGACTCACGTATCATGATTTTCCTCAGTGTGTACTGTATGACTGTTGACGGACCATCTAGCACATAGAATGATTCCTTCATCTAGCGTCATATGGAACTATTACTGGCTGTGTTCTCTAGATCTGTCCCGTCACCAGTTAGCTCGTGGAATCTCCATGTAAGCGCTAGGTCGAAACCATGGTTTTCATCTCACAAGTATTGCGGTACGATGCTTTGGATGGTTTCATTATATCACCCCTTCAAATTACCGCATCAAAAGCAGGGGCTACGCTGGTTTGCAACGCAGTGGACACACAAGGTAAGCGTCTTTGCACAGTTACAATAAAAATGCGACTGGTATCACAAGGTAGTATTATGTTGTTAATCTATGTTCGTTCGCCATCTGGGTTACCAATGTTGGAGCTGTCCGGAAATCAACCCTGTCGGATCCTTTTCCCCGCATTATCTGGCATAGGCGACGTTTCACCTTCTTCTCGGGGCCTCTTCTGCTTGAGGAGGTTGAAGAGCCGACAAAGTTTGATATCACCAGCTTCTTTTTGCGCATCATCGAAATATTCTGCGGCTTTTGCATGCATATCTTCCCGAAGGGAGTCATCAAGCATGAGCGAGGGGTACTTTTTCTCTGCCTTTTCATGACTGTCTTGAAGAGTACTTGCAAAATGCCCAATATTATGGCAAACATCAAGGCATCTATCTGAAAGGACAGATTCGCAGGTGCGCTGAAGTTCTGTGATGCGAGTGAAGAAGTCCCGGCGTGTTTCCTGGCTAATCGCACCAGGGAACGCCAGCTGGTATTGTCTCAACTGCGCATCCACATCAAAGGAATCGTGGGAGTTCGCCGTGATCGTGTCCGTGTGATAAAAGAAGATCCACGTATATGCCCACCATACAGATTCGATGTCGTGCAGGAAGTTCATGCGGAATGGAGGGGGGGGCGGGAGGTTTGTAGCACGAAGTGTTCTCCCAGATGCAGTGGACCGGGGTTGGAAAATGTACTTCTGACGTTCTACTTCTATGGCCATGAAATGCATTGTTCCCTGCCGACGAGTTAGCAGCGAGAGGTATCATCTTCAGAAATTCTTACCGTTCGAACGTCGTGAGAAGTGTTTGGATCTATCTCTTGCGCGTACTCGAAGTCACCCAGTTTGCCTATACCCCCGTTGTCGCCGACGACCTAAATCACGTTCCCGACGCTGAAATCGCCATGGATCCAACCTGCCTTATGCAAATAATATAGGCCTAAGGGTGGCGTGAGCGATCGAGGTAAGGAGAATAAGGTTCCTTTACCCTTCAGTCCGCCAGACAAGCATCTCAGGCTGTCGGCCAGAGAGATCCCATCCTTGATAGCGACTCCGCCATCATCAAACGCAATGCGCGCGTGGACTCTCTGTGCGATCTGTGCATCCTTTCGCCCAACAATGCCTAATTGTGCGGGAAGGAAGACAGACAGTCTACCACTGTCGGGTACGTCGACCATAGCAGATAAATGCGGCTTTTTGGAGGGAATGAGCTTGAGATCAATGGGTTCCCCCTCTTCGGACCTCTTCGAGTTCGCAGGTCGAATGAAGGCCTTCCATTTCAGATCGTTTTCAGTGAGAATCTCCCTCTGAATTAAGTCGTCGCGCATATCCTGCAGACGTTGCGGGGAAGGCATGAGACCAACACACTTCGCTAGGGAAACGAACGGGACCTGCAGATACCTTTCCAAATCAGCGAGAACAGCCTCGCGGCCTAGCTTCAGGTCTCCCGTGCGATAATCAGATTGTGAGGTGTGGCGAGGGACTAGGGCTGTATCTGGCGGTGGTAGCTGTGACTTCTGTGATGGTGGTGTATGATGGGTAGCCATCGTGATTCGATCTGCGAAATAGTTCGGCTTTGGGGAGAAATCCTTGAGGTTGCACAAGAACAAGACTGAAACTGTTATTGCAGTACTTGGTAAATACCATCGCATTCGATACCTCAGGGGACCATCGGCAAGCCCGGCAGAGTTCCACGTTCAGACCATTGCTTCATGACAAAACACGACTTTGGTAGCCTAGTGGGTGACTATCCGTAGGCTGAAATAATGCGGAATAAAATGAGATAGAATAAAAAAGACCATTTAAGGAAGTCGTGCCGCGATGCCGCTGTTCATTTGCATCGAATTTGCAAAACATTATTTTTTGACCCCCTTACAAACTCTAAATCTAGAAGGGGGGGGGCCCCCCCCTTACAGATTATTCCGGATTATAAACGACGGATTAAATCCGTTTTGGGCCACTACGCCTAAGCTATCTGCTGACTAATCCATGACTTGAGGTCCGCCTAACACATGTTCAGCATGGCGATGGTCGCCACCTGGTCCAAACATTTTCCAATATACAGAGTCCCATCCCTGAGCTCCCTGGCGAAGTTTTTAGCTGAAATTTTAAGATTGCTATCAGCAGACAACGCCGACACGTACCACTGCAACCGGCCAGGGTACAAGGTGAGCAGTGCTGACACCATTCTCTCCCTATAAGTCTAGAATTACGAAAACAACTCGTTCCCCAAGCTACCACAACTGTTTCTTTTTCATTAAAGACTTGATTTCATGTGTGTACTAATGTATTCCTGCGACCACCGCTGGGCACGACAAAGGTACAGCCGCTTAGGGCTCCGAGTTTCAACACGATCAAGTCGAGCTAGCTCTATTCCAGCAACGAGTGTAGCTGCTAACATCCTCGCGTCTTCTTCGTCGTCAAGAAATGCTGTCTCTTCTCCGTCATTCACCAGATTGTGGTACTGTAGTAGTAGTAGATCGTCCATTGCAGTTTTGACCGAATTATTTTATTCCAGATGCGTTACGGTTGTGTTTTCTGTACAGATTATCTTTTGCAAATATCTTTCAAAGTCCGTTATAATCTATTCCGCATTATTTTGCCTACGGATAGTCACCCAGTATAAGTTTTGCAAAGTGGCAAGCTCCTGAATAAGGAAAGTCTTCAAAGCTAATTTCTTTTATTGCACAACAGACCAAAACAACGCTTACCCTTCGTGTTCTGAACTCTGCACTGGTCTGGCACAACTGAGGGCTACGGTGAATTCTAATATAAACGCAACCCACGCGTGACGCGTGCAGCCATGAAAAGTCACCGTAAGTGTGTATCTCAAACCGATATGTAATGTGACTCACGTATCATAGAGTATACTGTATAACTGTTGACGGACCCTCTAGCACATAGAATGATTCCTTCATCTTGCGTCATATGGAACTATTACGGGCTGTGTTCTCTCTGTCCCATCACCAGTTAGCTCATGGAATCTTTATTTAAGCGCTAGGTCAAAACCATGGTTTCCATCTCAAAAGTATTGCGGTATGATGCTTTGGATGGTTCCACTATATCACCCCTTCAAATTACCGCATCAAAAGAAAGTGCTAAGCTGGTTTGCGACGCAGTGGACACACAAGGTAAGCATCTTTGCACGTTTACAATAAAAATGCGACTGACCCTACGCATCAAAATTTTCAGATCTTTGTAATTCTACCGTGACGCACCTCAGTGTCTGGCGTGTCTCTACGGCGCAACTTTACGCTGTAATATGTAAATTTACCCCTTATGCTCAAGCTCGCTCGCCACTGTCCTGAGCAGGTACCGCTGCCAAAGTTTATGGTTGTGGTCTAAGTGTGCCGCGACAATGCTTCGAGTCCGCGAGAATCCCGTTTTTCCTATAATTAGAACCTTGTCTGAGTTGTACTTCTCCACATGTGATGTCACCTTCTAGTGGAGAAGGACCAGTACTCACTTGATCGTCACATTCGGGTCAGTGATCTCAGTGTTCTTGTGGACTAATGCACGCGTGGCGCTACAAAGCAGTGAATTCCACAGGTGCATATCCTATAGGAATGTGTCCACAGACGCTTGCCTTTTCCCGACGTGTTGTCGGGGGATAATGTCAAATCGGTGGCCTCAATGCACGACCACAGTCGTCCTTTGTCTATCGTTTCCCCGCCCGTCGAGAGGTATAAGACCTGGTGTCGTTCTCTGCTCTATTTCTCTCATCTTCGTCTTTACTTTCCAACTGTGTCTCATCATCTTAGCCACTTCACTTGTTCAATTCATCTGTATGTCTGTGTAAGTCTACTCGCACGTCAGGTGGGTAGCTTGATATGCTAACACTGCCTTACCCATCTAGTTCCTCGTGCCACCACACGCCATTCGATAGGTTAGTGTTCTACTTCGAGTTCGAGGACGCTTCATCTCATCATGTTCTTAGCGAGTCTATGCCCATGTCAAATGACCACGTACCGCTCCCCGGCGATCCTGACCTCGATTCGTTGTCCTTTGAAGAATTGGGCAAGTTGGTCGCAGCTCACCACAGCGGTGAGATGTCCCCCGAAGTGTGTGCCCAGTTGGATGAGTATGTGGGTCTACCTAAATCATTTATTCAAACTCACGGTCGTACAGATTGTTGAAAGAGAGCGATGAATTAATGCGTAGTGTAATTAACGAAGATGCGCTGGCAGGCCCAGACAATGCTTACGTTGACGGGTAAGCCTATCTAGTTAGCCTATCAGGAACAAGCAACTCACGTCCAACGACAGGACAAACTATGATGAATTACCAGCGACGCAACAAGGGTACGTGTACTCGTAACTGAGTCCTCGTTATTGCTCATCTGTTTCTTCAGGACTGAAGCCGATTCACAAGATGTTCAAAATCCTCAGATATTCGAGTTGGTTCCGACATTGAAGAATTTCACTGCCCTGGTGGCTGGTCTCCCCCAGTTGTCCCACATCGATCAGGGGCTCTACTATCCTCCGCAGATCTCTGCTGTACCTCAAGCGCCCCCGCAAGGCCATCCTTGGTCTCAGCATGAATACAACCCTAGATACTTCATGAACAGGCCTCCCAACACATATACGCAGCCCTCTGCCGCACCGCAAGGCATCGTATGGTCCCAGCATGGATACAATCCTGGATATAACGCCAATGGACCCCCTGGTGCGTATTACCCACAACCCTCTGCGATCGTTCCAGCACCGCCGCAAGGTTACGCATTAACCCAGCATGGATATCATCCCGCTCCCCCCTACCCTTACCAGCAACCTTCCACCATTGCGGGTCCGTCCAACGCGAATTACCCCATTGCGACATTACCCCAAGGTCAATATGCTCCATTGCAGACGGAATCTAGTGGGGGCTCAAACGCGGCGCCAACTTCCTTTGCTCTTGACGAGACAGCATCCACCAGTCCTCGTAAGCGTAAAACCCTCCAGACCTCGGATGGTTTGAGTCCGTTCGTTACACCATCGATGCGCAAGCGCAGACGCCCGAACACCACCGACGACTACGGACCGGGCAAGTTTGGTCTGTACACGCTAGCGGATGGTAGTGCCACGATTATGACCATACCTGTTCACGACTCAAAGCCTGTCGACATTCGTAGCCGCAGGACCCACGATCCCAACGGAAATCCCCTGCGAACGAGAAGATTTGGGGCTATGGAACTGGACGATACCTACCCCGAAGAATCCGGAAACGTCTCTGACTACCACTCGTCACAGTTGGCCTGCGTACGCTCATGCGATTGGACCGACCAGCCGTGTGGTCTATTCATAGAGGTGGACAAGATCCGCATCGACGACCACCTGTGGTTTTGGCATGGGGTTGAACCGACGAGAACTACTCCGAGCCCCTGCCGATTCAAGGGTTGCCCGGACGCAGAGATGATGAAGTTTCTGAGCCGTCACATCGAAGGGGTCCACTTCTCTGCGTCCTATCGATGCCCCTATTGCAAGAAGCTGTCGTCGAGGACCGATTCTTTGACTCGGCATCAGAAGGGGTGCAAACCATTGCTTGCTAGCAGGACCCATGCTGAGCATGGAAAGTACGAATTCCGTCTCCAAGAGATGATCAGGTCAGTTTCTGGATATATCGTACCTGCCAAGAACGCGACCTAGGACAGCGTCTGAATGTGTATGTCCCCCTTACCCCGCATCTGTCGCTGCTACTAACGCTACTCCTCATTTCTGTGCTCTAGTGTTGACTCTAATTATTGACGAAACTTCTCTTCACGGCTGATGTCACTCATTTCATATCTAACACCGACATTCCTTTAGACTATGCTCTCTACGGCTAACGACACTCGTTTCATTATATCACCCACATTCCTTTAGACTACTCTCTCTACGGCTAACGACACTCGTTTCATTCTATTACCAACATTCCTTCTGAAACTTATTCTCTCTACAGTTAACCACACTCGCTTCATTCTATCACCGACATTCCTTTCGAATATTCGCTCTTTTTGTCCTTGCTCAGTGTATCTTCTATATGGTTATTAGTTTATCTTTATTGCACGCTGGACGTGGCTATCGTACCTTACCATAGCGCTCGGTCCATCTTACATACGGTTAGATTTTATGGGAAGAAAGTTGGAAGTAGCTAGTCACTATCATATCTCGTTATGGAGCTTGGAGCTTTGCATCGTCATTGTTATGAATGAAATATACGGATAGTGAACGCTTGAGCGATTCGGAGTACATGATCAAGGTGTTCTAGTGTTTCCGCTGACTCAGTGGAGCTCAGGTGCAACATGTATATGAGGTGGACGGACCTGCTTCCGTGGAATAAAATGTTTCATCGTGAGTATGAACGGGACAGTCCAGCTGGAGCTCAGGTGCCACGAGCACAAACGGGAGAGTCACGCGAATTGCTTCCGCAGGATCAAACGTTCCGTCCTTACATATGGTAGATATCACTTCGAAACGAACACATTCCAAGCTCAAGACGTGGAACTTCTAAGCCATCGCACGAGGTTGGCACAACACCTCAACCTACTAAGTGAGGAACGAGATTGTTCAACAGTCCAGACGACACAAGAAATGCATTAGCCACACCATTACATAGATGATTTAGGTATAGGCCGCATAATTACAAAAACAGGTTACCATAGAGTGATCATGTTTGAACTCCAGCAGGTAACACAGAAATACATCGACACCTCACACTCCAAAATCTGAGAAGCGGTATTCAAGAAGAGGCGGTAGGATCAGGCACAATCGAGAAGCTGTGCGTGGGAGAATCAGTACATGCCACGATGGCTTGGTGATCGAAAAGGTGAACTCACGCTTTGCTCCTCCATTCCTTGCCCTCCTTCGCCTTCTCCTCGCGTTCGGTCGTTCGATTGACCCACCCGGATGGATGTCCTTCTTGAATCATCGAAGCGCGTTTATTATGGACAACCTTGAAATGAGACTTGCTCTCCGATGTCTTGATCGTTCCAGATTCGTCCTTCTTGTGCTTGAATAGCTAACATCATGGTTAGCGGGATAACTCACGAAATCGGTCAAGACCTACATCTTCTAGCACCTGACGGCGACTCAATTCCTCATTTGTCTTCGTCTCCTCCATTCGATCCCTCACAGTGACAATCTGTCCGTCAAGATATTCCAGACCAGTCCTGATTGCCTGTGCAACCGCCTTCTGGATGTGACTCTTCACTACAGTTGTCATGATAGGTTTGAAAGTCGTATACAAGAAATTGTACTTGGAATCGCGGATGCTAAACTTCAGCGAATCCACTTTGACGTGCACGTTCTTGACTTTGAAGACGGAGCTGCGATCTCTGTCGGCAGAAACAAGATGGATAGTCACTGTCATGCCTTGTCCACCGAGGATAATGTCTGCTAAGCCAGAGTCCTTCGCTTTGGGGAATCCAGTTTTCTTGTTGTAATAGACGGCAACGTCTCGCATGTCCGCCTGGATCTGTGCAAGTGTGATTGTGAACTCGTGATGCCGCTCATCTTGAATGGCGTCATGCGGGCTAAACTTCAAAAAGTTAAATGCCTCCATAGATATAACGTTGGGGAACATGTTGCGTCCTTGAAGAGTGAGGTTTTCAACGACAAGATCAAGCGCATCGTCGGTGTATTCGACACGCGGAATGGGTACATATCCAACCTCGAGTACCAGTCTTATTAGCCTCTTACCCCAGCAGCTGGACAGTGACGTACCTCTTTCATCATCGTAGGCAAAATGAGGTTTCTGATATCGCTCCAGAGATCGGCCTTAAACTTCAAGCTACCTTCACTATCAAATAGTAGGTCATGCGTCAATCGAGCCCAGTCATCGCCGAAGCGTTTGTTCAAAGGATCTTCTCCCATCGCCGAGAACCATTTTCCAATGGTATCAAAGAGGTTGTCGAAGTGGTCTTTGTACTTGTGGTCCCAAAAGTGACGACCTGACTCGAGAATCTCGTGACCCTCGCGGTTGCAATTATCTTCCAGCACGAAGCCCGCCTCAAGTAAAACCTACACTGCCGTGAGTATGTTATACCATGTCTATAATGATACTTACCTTGCGAATGTACGTGTTCAAACGATGGAACCAGTTCCTAAACTCGTCGTCGCGACGAGCATCGTCGATGAGAGCATTGGAAGCGTCAAAAATACCATCCATGCTGCGACTGTTCGCGAAGCGCTCGAGCAGGGTACGAAGCTCAGACACGGCAGCATTGAGTGCTCTATCCTTCGCGAGGATTAGGTGGAGCCAAAACATTTACACCGGTACAAAACACACCTGCGTGATGACACTGCCGCGTTCTTTGCCATGGCCAGCAGTAGTTTGCGCGTAGGAAACATATCGCTCGACTTCGTCGAGGAGCCATCTGATGGCGTCCTGGTAATCGTCATGCTTTTGGCACTCAATTATAACCTTCTTGCCACGATAAATGAATTGATCACGGCGCTCCACGGGGAAGTACTCCTCAGCCAGGAGCTTGCGTCCTCGCTCGTAGTGCTCGGAGGCTCGGTCTCGGTGCTGCTGGGGGAAGCGTTCAGACAAACCACCCTACGACAAAATGATTAGAAATGGCGACTCAGATGAAGAAAATATCAACATACTGCATAACCGCGAATGCGTTCCTTAAACCCCCGTTTTTTCCCCTCAGTTTCTGAAGATGAAGTGTCAGGTCCAGCGCCTTCCACGCTGCTTGAGAGGTGAATGAGCACACGACCTGGATCAGGAAGAACTACACACCCTTGCTGACGAGCCTGGTTTACTTTCTCTTGAGCTGTATCCTGAGCCTGAGATGCTTTGTCTTTCGCGTTATCCTTCACATCATCAACAGTAGCACGGCCCTCGCCAACGATCTGCTTCCCAGATTTCTGCGAGCTGTCCCCTGTGGTTACTGTGACGTCATCAGCGCGAGGGTCATGCGCAACGACCGTATCCGTTGCGGGAACTTTCGCCTCCAGGACTGGTGTTTCACCAGGGCCAACTTTGCGTTCACCTTTGGTAACGAACTCATCTTGGGGAGCAGCCTCGTCGACACGGGCAAGCTCTTCCTCGCCGGGACGCAAGCTCTCAGCAACTTTCGAAGCTCCTTTAGCAAGTATGTCTCTTCCGATGACCGAGAAATCAGAAAGTAACTTGCGAACTTCTGAATTGGTGAGGATAAGGGAAAGAATAGTACGCAGATGGCGAACAGCTAGCAGTGCATTGCATTGAGTACTTTTTCAAACAGATCATGGACGCACACGCACCAGTCTGGCGGTCTTCGTCAATTTTGGGGTGATCAGGTGCGACTGCGCTGGGGTCGGTCTTTACACTGTCAAGAGAAACATCGCGAGTATTCCAGATAAAATTCTGGAAAAGTTCATCGGCATTTTTCTCGTTGACTATGATACGCGCAGTTTCAATAATTTCACGAGAATCTTGAACAAGTTTTCGCCCGTCTTGAGACAGCTTGGTCTCATCCACTGGTGATGACTTGAGCAAATACTGCAGTGTCTCGTCTATTTGATGATTGTCTGGCATACGACCTTGGCGAAATGCTTCAATCACGCCGTAAAAGTTGATCTGGTCCGCAAGAATATTGAGCGAATGTTGTTACGAGTATTTAAACAAAAAGCTGACCTTTCTGGAGACATCAGCCTCCTTGGCAGCTTTGTCCGTTGGTGCGGCAACAGAGCCTGCCTTGGGGTGTTCTGAAATATCTTGGGTTGCTGGCGGGAGAGACATGGTAAGGTAAAGAGGGTTTTTTGGAGTTCTCGTTTGTATTCCCAACTGGTTTTATCTGACCGCAACTCGACGTCATTGTTCAAAGTTTAAATCAACTAATGACATCACTTCCGCCCAACAAAATGCCCATTTTGGACACTCTGACATAGTACCTTTTTAAGCACGCCGCAATGCTGATTCCATGCATAGATTCCTTCCCCGCTGGTCTGCAGTGAATCCTAGTGAAAGTCAGCAAGAGGTCATGACTAGTACATGTAATGTTGTACATCGAGGAAAACTGAGAATAGGTTGTCAGCCGCATTTCAAAGTTTTTCGAAAATAGCGCTCGCTAGTCATAGAACTTCTCGAAGGGAGCATTTGCTAGGATTGTTTGGTGCGTTTAATTAGGTGTGTTTGGTTGCGCTTGGAAAACACGTCATGACATCATGAAACTGTACACGTCGACTCGTTGAGCTTGTCGTATGCTCAAGTGAGTTCTGTTCAGCTCGGGAAATCTTAAGCTTCTAGCTGAGAAGGAATTTTTAGATGTCTTCCGCTGGCGCCCGATCTCATCATGTTGGGTCTTTACTGGGGGTCACTACTGAACAAAAATAAATTACGACAGATACAATTCAGCCCATAATGAATCATGGTACCAAGTGGCCGCGAATCAGTGACTGATTTATGACCACTTGTGCAAGCTATGTCGCTTCAGTCATCTTGCGTATCATGTATGGCAAGTCCAGGCCCACCACCATATTTGCTCCCGAAATCGTCATCATCCACAAAATGTTCAAGCGCTCCCAGAATCTCATGCGACCTGGTGCGTTATTGGTAGAACGCTTCCCGAAAATTAGATACCTCCCGGAATACACAATCGAGTTGGAGAAATGGAAAGGAAGGAAAGTCAGCTTTTCTATGATCAGCTCAATCGTCCTTCGGAAGAATGGGTCGGTTTTTGAATATCTTTTCCAAGTACCCACCTGACCAGTTCTTCATAGGCGACCGGCGAAGCTGGACCCTCATTTTCTCAGTAGCTTCCCGAGAATTAATCTTCGCACAAGCTTTCGGACGAAGAAATGGCCTATCTCGCCGGTTCGCTCTTTGGCGCCAGTGATTATGGTTGTCGTCATCTGCTGCATGCTATCCCAAGGCGCAGGAGAAAGTGCAAGAGGAACTGGACACCATCATTGGTCGTGACAGGGGTAGGTCAGCATATGAGCTCATCTGAGTAAACGAAACTCAGCCCAATTATCATAGCTCTCATGTTGGACGACTACGGTTCCCTTCCGCAGATTGAGGCGTTCAAGTTCATGCTAGAGTGTCTTCGCTGGAGGCCTGTGACAACTATTGTATTCGCCCACCGTGCCTTGACCGACATCCCACACGTACGTTTCCAATGATTTGGCCTGATTCCTGAATTGATTTGCTGGTTAAGTAGAGAGACATTTGCATACCAGAAGGCGCTATCGTCTTTGGGCAACCACTGGTGCCGACTAATGTGCATTCTATGTAGGCGAAATCTGTGCGCTGATCATGCTTTGACAGGGCTATCTCGCGCGACCCAAACGTCTATCCCAACCCTGACAGGTTTGATCCTGAGAGATGGCTCGACAGCGATGGCAAAATCCGGGAAGACCTCAAGTTCCCTTCATAACCTGGCGCTCCTCTTGTGGTTGTTCAAGATCACGCAGGACCCAGAAACCTTATCGACTGATCGGGCTTTGTGGATAGCGTGATTGTGCACCCCAAACGACTCCGAGTGCTGCGCGCTTCCAGCCACGGAAGGTACCGTTATGGCCAAGTATGGAGAGGGGTTGTAGATGGGCATGTAGTGATGTATGTATATATGAGCTTGGGATATGGTAATATTTTCGTGCTGTACACATCGACTCCTCGTTGAGCTTGTCGACGTCGTTCGGAGCACCGTCCATTGCCAAAATTTTCGATTTTTGTGATCCGGGCCGCTATCTCTTTTCTTCCTGCCCAGAACACTTACCGCCCACGCCTATGACCCCTTTGGTCCTACGGTCTCCTACCTAAAACGTAGTTTACACATTACTTAATATTAAACATGCAAAAAATAAACACTTATGTAATAGCTCGCTGCGAGTTTTTGTGGTCATTGTTATTGTCGTGCTTGGTGATGCGGCCAAACGTTGGAGTCACAATTCCCGAGACCAGTTGTGCTATTGGGGATACTCATTATATATACATTATTCTCATTTAAGAATAGCAGTTAAATTTGTCAAGTTTTGATTACATTTACTGAAATGCCGGTCAAGTTGTTTACCTCTCCGTCAATCCTGACCCAAGGGAGGTCCATTTCCCCCTTCTTCGTCTTCAATGTGAGATGTATTATATAATACAGATACATACAAACCGGGATGGTGTTGTAAGCCAAGGGGGGTCATAGGCGTGGGCGACCCCCTTGGCAACTTTGAGCATCCCTAAATGATCCTACTAGTGCTGCTTGCGACTTGTCTATCTTTCTCCGTTTCTGAGGTCACAGAAGTATGTAATTGAAGGTCAATTGCAATCACTCCTCCTCATTTTCTCATGTTATCCTGGATAAAAATTTTGGGACGTGATACCAGTGCACAGGCTGTACATGCAGGTGTGCACGTGTACTCTATACTAGGGTGCATTACTCTAACGAGTCTCAACCTCACTGTGGTTTTCCAGTCCGCTGTCCATTAAATTCCTGGGCTGGCTGAGCACTCACTGCATCATTCCCCTCGTGGCAGGTCTTCTGTGTACCAGTACTGCAGTTTCAGCTCTGAAAGCGTGCATTGACTCTGATCTCGCTCCATTTTTCACTCAGCGACCTTTCACAGCAAGATGGGGTGGTGGTCATCTTGCATCACTAACCTGGTGTATCGAGCTGGGCTGCGGCTTTTTCTTGCAAGCCATCCTCTTCGGTCCCTTTTTCTCAACAAACATGCAAACAGCCTTCTAGAGAGATTTGGGCAGCATGGCATCATGTCTGACCTTGATGAGTCCATCGAGCTGCAGTGGGATACATTACTCCTCCATCCCCTCAGTCATTCAGGTCAATCCTTGTCTCTGAACAATCTCGCAGTCAGCCTTATAAACAGATTCCAGCAGCATGGGATCATGGCTGACCTTGATGAGGCCATCGAGCTGCGTCGGGATGCATTACTCCTCCGTCCCCCCAGTCATTCAGATCGATTCATGTCTCTGAAAAATCTTGCTGTCAGCCTTCACGACAGATTCGAGCAGCATGGGATCATGGCTGACCTTGATGAGGCCATCGAGCTGCTTCAGGATGCATTACTCCTCCGTCCCCCTGGTCATTCAGATCGATTCATGTCTCTGAACAGTCTTGCTGTCAGCCTTCACGACAGATTCGAGCAGCGTGAGATCATGACTGACCTTGATGAGGCCATCGAGCTGCTTCGGGATGCATTACTCTGTCCCCTCGATGATTCAGATTGATTCTTGTCTCTGAACAATCTTGCTGTCGGCCTTAGCAAAAGATTCGAGCAGTGTGGAACCATCTCTGACCTTGATGAGGCCATCAAGCCGCATCAGGATGCATTACTCCTCCGTCCCCTCGGTCATTCAGGTCAATCCTTGTCTCTGAACAATCTTGCTGTCAGCCTTCACGACAGATTCGAGCAGTGTGGGATCATGTCTGACCTTGATGAAACCATCGAGCTGCATCGGAATGCATTATTCCTCCATCCCCCTGGTCATTCAAATTGATCCTTATCTCTGAACGGTCTTGCACTCAGCCTGTGAGACAGATTCCACCAGCGTGGCTTCCAGTCTGACCTTCATGAAACATTTAGCTTATATTGTCAACTCTCCCACCTATCACATGCAGCATCTCGCACAGATCTTCATGTTGCTAAGTCGTGGGTGGCCTTCGCTGACACCCTCAATCACAGCTCTGCACTGCTTGCCTATAAGACTGCATCGAGATTCCTAGATCAGCAAGTAGCTCTCTTGTCACCTTCTTTGCATCATTTCGATGTCATCAGGGAGGCTGTTTCTTCCCTTGCCACAGATGCTTTTTCATGCAGTATTCGTCAACATGCTCTGACAACTGCAGTGGAGCTGGTGGAGCAAGGTCGTGCAGTATTCTGGACCCAGTTGGCATGCTTCGGCACGCCGCTGGATGAACTTTCTGTTTCAAGTGACACAGGGGCGGCCTTGGCAGAAGAGTTCAAATGGTTAAGTTTTCGCCTTCATAACGCATTTGATCAGCCTACTGAAGACCAGTCTCCTCAAATTCGGCAACTGACCATGCAATGGGATGATGTGGTTTCATGGATCTGCACAATTCCTGACTTTTCTCGATTTCTCCTGCCTCCCCTTTTCTCCGACCTGCAGAAGGCAGCTGAAGGCAGTCCTGTCATCATTAGTGCTGCTGCGGTCCGGTCCAGAACCATGGTTCGAACTGGACTTTTGGTCCGGTTCTCCGCGGTTCGGTCCATGGTTCTCGCGCCAGCCAGAACCGGACCGGAAAACGGTTCTCGGTTCTAGATCTTCCCAAACGGTCCAGTTCTGGTTCGGCCTTCCCGAACCATTCTGAACCCTTATTCACTTCCACTTCGACAACTGTCGTCTTCGGGATTCACGTTGTTGATTAATCAAGCTACATTTAGCCTTTTCGAAGGTAAGCACTAACTAATTAAACTCTCAAGTCTCTCACCCGCTCACCTCTATAACAGGAGGTTCTATTCATTGAGGACTGGCTACAACACTGCGCAAGACTACCTTTTACTGGAGGTGGATGTGTTAGGCGCGGTCAAGGTGGATTTTGGAGGGATTGTGTCTTGCGCTATGCTGCAGAGGTGTGTATTTGTGCTCTGAATGCTGATGGCTCCCTCGAGGGCCAGCACCCATCGCTACCAGCGCACGACCCATCACACGCCACACCACCTGCGCCTATGTTGATGCCCGCCACCTCACCGCATCCCCTCTCACTCGCTTGCTGTTCTTTCTGGCTGGCTTTTGCTGGCTCGCTCGCCGTGTCTCACTCACCCACTGTCTCTTGCTCACTGTCTCACACACCCGCTGGCTGCTCTCGCCCACTGTCTCTCACCCCGCTGTCTCTCACCCTGCTGTCTCTCACCCTCCGTCTCTCACAGCCTGCCTCGATGACCTACTTTCGGATCCAAAGGTGAATCGATATGCATGTCTCATTGCATATTCTCACAACTGAATGCGCTCTGCTAGGCCAACAAGTTGGCACTCCATGTACGGGACACGCCACCCATGTACGGGACACGCCACATGTTGACAACACCACCGGGAAAGTTGGTCCCGTTTTCTGGAATGTAGCTCTTGGTGGCACAATGGTCTCATTCGAGTTTTGGGCTACTCAGTGAGTTCTCTCTGGCATGCTTTGTGGAGCTCAAGTATGTGTAACGTTCCCACCGGTCGCATCATATTTTGGATCGAACCTCTCGTGCCAACCCAACTCCCAGTACCCTCTCACTTCCTTTGGCACCCTCTCGCTACCTTTGGAGCCCTCCCGCCATCAAGTTGACAAGTTCAGCGCCCTCTCACTACCTTCAGCATCCTCCCGCTTAGCACATCCAATGCCACCAGCACCATGCGCAAACGCGCAGCGCATGTAGACTCGACTCTAGATGGGGAGTTCTCTCAGCTGCAAAGGTGCGTCATGGTGTTTTATTGTTTCAGTGTCTAATAAATTTATTATTTGTATATGGTACCCGCGCTCGCCACCATCTCACGCTGCTGCTCACTGCCATCTCCTGCTGCTGCTCGCCGCCATCCTCGACCCATGCTCATGATCGCCATCCTTCGCTGCCGCTTTCCTATTTCTGGTTGTGTCAACCCCTCGTTATCACAATCACTCTCCTGATACCTCTCGCGCATGGTAATTGGGGGGGAGCAGCCATGTTATTAGATTAGTTACTCAACATGTATACTACTTAGTACTTTGTCAATGTTTTTTTGCGTGCTCTTACAGTTTTTTTTTTGGTTCGGTTCGGGTTCGGACCCCCAAAAAACCGAACCGGACCATAGAGAACCGTTCTCTATGGTCCGGTTCTGGGTTCGGACATTTTGTAGAACCGAACCGATGGTCCGGTTCTTGGTTCTCGTCTAGGACCCTCCGAACCGGACCACGGCAGCACTAGTCATCATTGTCAATGCTAGTCAGTACTGCTGCGATGCCTTGATTGTCCTGAGCAACCAAGATCCTGTGCACATTTCAATTGATATCACACAGACCGAAGTTTCTGATTTGTCCTCCGAGTTTCAGTCCCTTTCAAAAGAATTTGGTTCTTTTGATACTCAACTCAAGCTTGTCAGCATCCTTCGTAAACTTTGGTATGACGTCGTCGGCCCCGTAGTACAAGCCCTTAGGGTGTTAAATATCCTCCCTGGTTCGCGTATCTGGTGGTGTCCCACTGCTGAGTTCACACTGCTTCCTCTACATGCAGCAGGAGCTTACAAGAAGAAGAGAGATAATTTGTCCCACATTTACATATCCTCGTACACCTCCACTTTGGCGACTCTTGTTCGTGCAAGACAGGCAGGTTTCGCGAGATGCGTCCCCACAACATTTTGTTGCCATTGGTCAAGGAAATCCGGATGGAGGGAGGCCACTTAAATATGTAGCTCCCGAGATAGCCGTTGTTGCCAAGTGTCTCAAGCCCATTGTGTCATCCTTCACGTGGCTCGAGGACAGCGACGCAACGGTCAAGGGTGCATTTGATGCCCTGAACTATAACCAGTGGCTTCACCTGGCCTGCCACGGAATGCCTAATCGACAGCAACCATTGAAATCTTCCTTTGCAATGCATGATGGGCCGTTGATGATCAAGGACATCATCCGATCCAACTGGCACAATCCGCAGTTCGCATTCTTATCAGCTTGCCACACTACCGTGGGCAATGAGGAGAGTCCCGATGAGTCGATCCATCTCGCCGCAGCAATGCAATTCTCTGGATTTCGTAGTGTGATCGGTTCCATGTGGTCTGTCGACGATGAGGTCGCACAGGGGGTTGTGTCTGGTTTTTATGAGAACCTGATCGATGATTCAGGGAGATTGGACTGCACGCACGCTGCAATGGCATTGCACAAGGCTTTGAAGAAATTGCGGCGCAGTGATATTCCACTGGAACAGCAGATTGTATTTGTTCACATCGGTGTGTAGTTAGAGACCCGATTTGCTATATTATTCCAATTGCTGTATTTTCATTCCATTGCTCTCCTGTTGCTTATATTTGTTAGATATTTCTGCATAATACTTCGCTGTTCTGTACTAGTGCCACACACACTGTCCCGCTGAATGAACTCCTACATCGTCACAATTTTAAGTTATTACAAGGACACGCCTTCGGTCTTCTCTTCGACGACAAATTGTATTTACAGTAGCACGCGAGGAAACACGACATTCGCGCAATCCTACTCTTCTTTCATCTCTACAAACAAACACAGCGTATCCCTTCGTGTCCTCACCCTGGACAGGCTGAGGCTGGACAACGCCGTATATAATTGGCCGGATCGGCCCTGGGGTGCGATGACACTGGAACGGGCACGGACTACTAGGGAACCAAGGCCAGACCTCTATAGCGGGAGGCTACGGCTCTGTGACCTGTCTATCGAGGACAGACTACGACATGAGCCAGGACTCCTGTCACCGCGCCAGGACCCCTGCCACTCCCGTTCCTGTCTTGCAAGAGCGCCCCGCTCCACCGGTGTGCGCTTTTCAAGTAAGAAATCGGCCTAAAGTTGATCGACTTCTGATTAATCGGAGGAGAAAACGAAGAGGATAACGGAAGCGTGGACATTGTGGAGTCATCAAATAACGTGGGCACCATTAAAGAGCAAGGAACAGAGTCGTGATTGATTCTTGACGGAATGTAAGAATTACTGGTGCTGGACAGTATTAATAAGAAGACCTACAGTTGAGTACGTTGATCTTCGACGATACGCTTGTCCTTCAAGGGCGTAAAGCAAGGAGTCGATTGGTGTGGAGCCTGAGGAACTCAGTTGAGTGAGAAGTTGAGAAGGGTGTTGCATGATCGTTCGCTCGCCTGTACGAGTGACTTGTCTGCATCAATATAGTTTGGAGGCAGACACCACGAGCTCCGAAACCTCCGAAATGCTGAGAGAGTTCACCTACCAGACAGTTCCGACCTTGTGGGTAATCCAGATGGCGAACGAAGATAGATTATTGATATGAGCCACATGATACTCCCTGCGATGCCACTTCTGAGAACTAACTTGAAGGAAAGGTTGAAAGGATGAGATGCATTGTACAAAGAGACAGTCCCAAATAGCAGGGGCATTTTCGTCAAGCTCAGTCTAGATAAAGAGCAATAACTGAGCTAGTGGGCTTGCGCAACCCAGCATGACGCGGGCAAGGGTGCACATACACTAGTACTGATAGTGAGCTGAAGGGGCTAGACGCTTCCATTCGGATCGACGACCGGTCGAGAATGAAAAATGTGATGGAGTCGAACTATGGCTGGTCATAATCATCTATTGGTTGGAGAGTAAGGTTTGTAGCTGCTGCAGTACTTATTGATATTGTTGAGGACCGCCTTTACTGCAGGAGCTAAGTAACCTGATATCGGCAGTCTTGAACTTGCTTGTTTGTGCTTTGACGTTATTCCTAAAAATCGATTCACTGGTTGAGCAGAAAGACATTTGTATACCAGAGGGCGCTATCGTCTTTGGCAACCACGGGTACCTAACGGTGCACATTCTGGGAGAAATGTGTGCTGATCACCCTTTGACAGGGCTATCTCGTGCGACCCGAACATCTGAATCTATCTCGACCCTGACGAGAACATCCAGAAAATGGACACTCTAGGACCAAAGTCTGGAGTAGACTCTGGGGCACTTAGTTTTTCCTATCAGAGTTTCAACATCATATGGCTAACATACCACGTAAGCAGCGGGATCACAATCACCCCATCAGCCACACTACTGACGACGACGAGCAGGTGGGTGTGGAGTGTTGGCAGGCAGCGGCGGGAGGCCAATAATACATATTGCGTATTGTGGTGCAAAGTTGTGTCTTGTCATTTAAACTCAGCTGAACTTTGCCGGACTTACTGATGAGCCCGACCCTGACTCGGGCTTTGACGGCCGTGATGGCCAGGGGTACAATGTAGGATCTTGGGCATTGACTCGAAGGATTCCGGGGACTGCAAGATCTATACATTTCATTTTCAAAAGAATATCACCGTAGCAATAAAATCAAATGGTCATGTTCACAATGAATGAATCTCCTATAAAAACTCAGAGGTCAATAACTCAATTTGTTGTTTAATTTTCAGGGTGCACTCGTCGAGTCCAAAAATTTCCCGAACCTCTGTTCAATGTGAATCAAGTTGAGCAGTCAGGCAGTGATCTGAATACACCTCTTGTATGTATGATATATACAAAGAAGAGTCGGGTCTGTTCAAACGAGTAAAGACCCGAATGTCGCATGAGCGAATCAGAGCCAAATGAAGGCTGAAATGCCGCGAAAGGGTTGACCCTTGGATATTGTACTCACGGGATGCAGTCAGATGCTTATTCAAACAATAATGGGGTGGTACCATAGGAACATTTGGTCCCGGATACTACAGGAAGGACGATTAGGGAGGTAGAGATACGTGGGCTACCAAATTACGACGCACAGGTGAGCAGAACAAAGGAAGCAAGACACCAGATGAACGGATAATATGAAGAAGCTAGGTAAGCACGAGACTGTAACAATTTAGCAGTGAGACAATGCCAATCCAGAATAAAATGAACAACTTGACAGATATAAGAATCTATTGCAAAAGGAGGGAAGTGAGTTGTCGAGACCATGAGTGAAACTACTGGCCTTGAATTTGGCAGTCAATTTGATCTAGTCTGCAGCGGAGAGTGAGCACGGACAAAATTGAACAGCTTACGGCGGTGAATTGCGAGAAGGTACAAAAACACGGCGAATAGTGTGAATGGCGGGGAGCATAACCGGATGATATTGTCATATTGGAATACGAACAAACGACTGGATGCTGGATCCGGAATTTGGCAGGCAGGTGGCGCAGGGCAAGCGCAGCAGGGTGGAAGCGCTAGTAGTGCAGGTACGGCGCCAGCCTGCCAGGCACAAGGTTACATAGCAGAGCAACTTTGTAAGCCGAGCATATAGGAGCACTGGTGATGTAAAACTGGAAGGGAAGGTTTAGGCACGAGTCCCAAGTAAGGCCCTGCAAGGGTTACCGTTAGCGGGAACCGAACCGGTTGTAAAAACAGAATAAGGCGAGAATAGAACATACCGGAAAGATTTTATCCTGAGGGACTATGTGAGGGAAGGTTTGGCGGCCACCGGAAGTCTCACCGTAATTTTTCCTCGCCCCTTAGTTCACACACTGTCAGCAACTGCCACTAAGCCAGTTTCATTTCGTCTTCACAAACTCTGTTCTCACCAGACCCTGGCGTATAATTCTCATGTGTACTAATCATAAGCACCCGTCGCCCGACTCTTCATGAAAATCGTTTAAACACGATTCGCGCCAATTACATCTTCTGCTCACACCAACTCATCTTGCCTGGCAGTTTTTTTTTTCTAGATCCTCTACGCGCAACACCGGGATACGGTTCTGACTGGGGATATTTGCCGGAAGTCACCGTTCTCCACACTGCCAGTTGCCCCATAGAAATTAGACAGGGTTATGTCAGTAGTAACCCTTTCCTTTTTACTTACCCTCCCTTCATCTCTTCTGGAACCAGCTCCCCTTCTCGCCTCTGCAAGACAAAGCGACGGACAAGTAGCTAGCGGCGATTTACAGACACAGACACAGCAGCCGAATGGTCAACTGGTCGGATTCCAGTGTCATCTCGAAATGCAGCAGTATTGTAGAGCACACTAATTTCTTATGTCTTGGTATGTACATGTGCGTATTGTTATTACTTCTCATATTCAAGAGCTTCTGCTCATGGCCAACTTGTAGGTGGGAGTACACAGGATCATGGCAAGTTGAACTTGCTTTGATTTGCAAACGCATACCACCTAGATGGCCTCTAGTAAGCAGCAGTTTGTATACTTGTCCATTGTCACGGAAATGTCAATCTCATCAGCTACCCTACATCACCGGTCGTATTCTTCTTCTGTCGTCCATGGCTTTGATGTGCGTATCTGATTCATTGACTGTCGCAGCAGACTCTTACGAACATCAGTTGCTGGCTCAGCAGCCCGGTCCCTCCTAGTGTGGATTGCCACAGTGAATCCTCCATTAAATTTTAATCTACTAGACGCGTGCTCAGGTTCATCATGACAGGCGCTTTTTTGGCCTTTTCTGTGAGCGTACTACGATGTACCGCTGATTCATCGTCTCAATTGGTGTGACAGTTTGCAGGAAATGCATCCATTGGTTGTTCTTCCTTGAACTTAATGCTACGACCGTGAGCTTCAGTAGTAATTTCGATCCTCGAAGCCCTTCCTTAACATGCACAGATTCATAATCTGGAGAGCATTCAGATGTGTCCGTATATTTCTGGTCTTAGCCACGGTTGGCCACTGGATCATCCTGTTACGGGGTGAGTTTTCTGAAGCAATACTATAATTTGATCCTTAACACCGCCATCACAGTAATGGTTGCCTTCTCCGTCATGAAAGTGAACGGGGGTTGTGGCTTCATGGTCATTGACCATACTGATATGACCACTATATTTGTCTACAGTATGTCCCAGAGACAGTGTTCTATTCCATCACTGACGCCTTGCACAGCGATGGCTTATGATATACTGGCGCTTGTCTTGACTATAATCGGCCTTCGAAATATGCCATCGTCTAATGAATTGTGGAAAGTGTTGTGCAAACAGGGGTTAACATATGTCCTGATCACCTGCGTGGCAAATATCATACCAGCCGTACGTGCTAATGAACAGAATCCAATATCCATCTGATTCCGTGTCTCCTGCGAAGGCTGTGGCTTCTCTGAATCTGAATAGTCAGTGAACTCCTGCTATTTGATATCATTTTGAAGTTTATAGCACGCTAGCTGCCATGAACGTTATATTTGCGATGCCGGGTAAGTTGTTGCAGAAAATTTACAATCACTATCTGATCATTGTCATACCAGCATCTGCTATCAGGTCTGGATTTGCATACGTTATCACGCTCGCCGTTTATTCAATTACTTTGTAGCACTGTCGCATCGGGTCGAATAGTTGTTGCCTTCCTAGACCTAAAGTCAAGGTACGAGTGACAAGATGATTTTTTAACCATATTCTCAACATTTCCAGCTCCTGCGGTGGAGAAGACATAAGTAGTCGAGATGTACCACTTACCACCGTGGTGACACTGCCCACGTGAGTTCTTGTTATGAATTTTACTTTTATTGGATGATGGACATGGCACACAGTGGATCCTCTATGGATGCCCCAAACCTCGTATGATGTTTGGGACCGGATCGATCCGTCAGTTTCTGATGGAAAACTTGGGGAAGCGGTTCATTGACAACGGTATAGTACGGCCGCCTTCACATAGCTGGCCACGGGTTTGGGGTAAAAAAGAAGGCATCAGTAGTAGTATGGACTTTGCCTCTTTCTCATGCGCTAGACTCCAATTCCCTTTCTTCCTTAGCGACATTGTCAAGATAGCGAACTCGCGAATGAATCTTTTTACTTGTTTGGAGACGCGGCGGCCTTCTCACGAACTACTGACATCTGTGAGCATATCCTCCTTCAACAGGTTACGAGGTGTGGGTATAGCAATCAGCTGGCATCTGTGGTACCGCATGGCTCTCGTTTATATGGTATGTGATCTCTCCGCTGCATAATTCGTGATGCCGGGCACGGGGCTAATAGGGGCCCAAGGGCGCCTAATACCTATTCGGTCTCCACGGCCTTTCCACGACTCAGTCAGCACGTAGACTAGAATGCGCGTACTTCGCATCATTGATGACCGCTTTGCTCTCGGTCAGAACGTGGACTGGAATATGCGTAGCTTCGCATCATCGACGATCGCCTTGCTCTCAGTTAGCACGTAGACTAGAATGTGCGTAGCTTCGCATCATCAACGATCGCCTTGCTGGACTCAGGCCGCTGGCCCCTGCTCCAGGGACCAATCACTGCTTCTATATACACAGAATCCCTCTGATCGGCGAAACGTTCCGAATCGTCAAGCCCCTGACGTGGCACCTGATGGATCGGCAAGTGGCCTCCAGCATCCAACTGCCCACGCCAGATCACATTGTGAACACCGAGTCGATTGAGGCTTGGGAAATGATATGTCTTGGACTATAATACATATGTAGAGAGCATCTATCTCGAGATGTTGGACGGCGAAACTCCAAGCGAGAATAATCCATGCTCACGTTCAAGTTCGTCGGGTCCTTGTGCCGCCGCATCCACTACATATGAAGCCCTAAACAATCTCAGTGACTAATTCTTGGGATGATTGATGGGTTTCGCTACATAGTTGAGATATTGACCTGCTATGCGTCCAAGTCTTGGAATTCAGGTTGGCTAATATCGGGTAATGTTATTCTACAGTATATATATAACCAGTGCTTCTAGCTATAGCTAGCAGAACTAATATTTACTGCAACTAAACATACAATCAAACTGCAACTCACCCAAACATTAATATCGCTGGTACCGAACTTCCAAAAGTAATACATTACACACTCCAAATCAGATCAGATAACAGCTCAGCAGAACGCTGGCAACCCCATAAATATGCGACAAATAAGAATAAATATAAAGTATGAATCACGCCCTGGATACCGTGAACTCCACTTCCCGAGCCATCTCGTTCAGAAGGAATGGAATATCATCTTCAGCTATACCACATTCCTGCAAGACGGTCGGCCAGTTATATTGCTCGTACCCTTGGTCTTGCTGGAGGCACCGGGTCACCTCACGGCGAACAACAATAGAAGCATTGCACAGCTGCAGAGCGTTGTCTAGCGGAAAACTGAAATTTTGGTTATGACTGGCAGGCCGTTCGCGGAGTATAGGTGAATCGCGATACGGGACGGGAGAGTCACCCCCTGAGTTTTCGGATGCGTCAAAAGAGCCTTCTCGACTGGGTAAAAACATGCTAGGAATGTCCGTCTCCGAAGGGTAATGTTCCATAACGACGAGCGGTTGCTGGGGTAAATCCTTTTCTGTCCGTGGTGGATAACTGATGTCGCCTCGGGTGGTCGCAGCTGTCTGTGAAGAGAATCCAGGATAATGTTGTTGAACAATCTCGGGTGTACGAGGATTTAGATAACTAGAATGCGAACTAGAAGAGCTCCTGGAGCTAGACGAAAAGGGACGAGATTTGGCTGGCGGTGGTAAGTGAAATCGCGGGCCATGCGAATCATAGTCGTCAGTTGCATCTAGCGGAATATCGGGGAGGGGAGACGTCGGGGGTGGAGAATTGTACGAAGTTCGGAGTTTTTTTGGAGAATGGGTAAATGTTGATGACATCGGCGATGATGGGACAGTAGAGGAGCGAGAGCGACCGGAGCTGATCTGAAAAGCATACGGTGATAGTACGGGCAATCTTCCTGGGGCATTGGTGGGTGGCAGCGAAGGTCTCCTCAACGAAGTCTCGGAAATATTGTGAGAAGCCTCCTCAGGTTGAATCCGATCTTCCTCTATTATGGATGAGCCTACATGTTGAACGGGCGAATAAGATGGTTGTAACCAGCTTTTGGGGGTGGAGGGACTAGGACTCGGAGTTGCAAAATCTCGCTGCGACGACAGGCTTTGACGACTATCCCGGCGAGTCCTCGCAGCCGTTTCACGGAGGACAAAGTCAGGCAGGGGTACATCTGGAGATCGTGGAAGACACGTAGATGCTCTAGCATCTCGGAAAGCGGTATGCAAAGTGGTGTCATTGATGAACTGCGTGCAGGAAGTTGTGTTAACAGAGGGCGGTGATGGTAAAATATCAAGGCTACCAACTTTCAATTCCAGCTGTCGCAATTTTTTCAAGATGTGTTCTGTCGGCCTTCCTTTCTCTTGCTTTCGTGTTATGTACGTCGTAAGAGCTTGCCTAGCCTTGTCGGTGTCAGTCCCGCAGTTGGCAAGCACTGTGATGACCTAACATAGTAAGTATGCATGAGCATGGACGCAGGAATAGGATAAATCACCTCCATTTGGGAATCGCCGTTGAACATAGTGCTCATATTACTATTAAGTGGGGTTCCCTGCTTGTATTAGCCGTTTTGACGAAAGTGGATGGTATAATGATAGTAGGGAGGGAGCAATATTGAAGGAGCGCTGGGGTCGCCCATACCATGCATCCACGTTTATGAACAATTTGGAACGTTATCGCAGTCTGCCAAGTGATCTCTGTAGCATCGGTGCACCAGGGCCCAGCACCCACTAAACGCCGTACCAATACTAAATTACATTAACGCACGTTTGCCTACGCAGAAGTAAAATTCCTTATTTTGAAGAATGGTCGTCGCGGAGCTCGATTTTACCTGGAAATGAGCACTTGAGCCCCGCTACTGAAGCTTTGAAGCTAGAAGGCTCACTTACATGCCACCCTTCCAAGTATGTACTAGCGTTCAATGATAGCACGTTCGTCTGGTAATGGTGCCGGAATTCGGGTTAGACCCATCAGCTGCGGAAGAATCCCGACTTGATCCCGACAGGCGTAGAATAAAGTCCACGTTCTTGTCAGGGAGCTTGGAGAGAAAAGCACTACAAATTAAGGCACTCATACGGGTCATGCTGATGCACCCAGTGACTGCAGATCCTAGTAGTAGCGGGCGAAAGATCTTTCACTTGTACGGTAGATAGTTCATTCGAGTCGCAACCCCAGGCTCACCCTGTCCGGATCTCCAGTCTAACGGAACTTGGACGCGACAAATATAAACCTGATAGATGATCATAATGGACGTGCCACTTACTGCGCTTGTGGAGCCATAGTACACCATAATAGTTCAAACCAGAACGCTCCGTGTCGATGTTCCACTAAAAATGGATGATTTGAATAGAATGATGAGAATGGAAAGCCAATACTCCCTCAAAGTTCCTGGATCATCGGAACTGAGTTGATGTAGGGTCACCGAGAATGAGGCGGTAATGTTTTGACGGGTAGGCGTCATCGCTCAGCGCTAGAAATCATAGCCTACGGGTGATTTCGGGGAGCGTCATGGTAGTTGTCCGGCCGACTGCCTTACCTCATCTCAACTTTGTCTCAGAAAATATAGAAAACTGTCACGACGACTCATGGTGGCCCTGGACAATGCCAATAGGAACTCTTTCAATTGCTGTCTAATGTCCATTTGAAACCCTTAATTTATCAAGTTGAAGTCTTCGATCAATCTTCGATAGATGATCTGATCATCATTGGTGGAACAACGTACATAGTGCTCACCGGCACCGCCGAAACGTTCGAACAATGATCGGTCATCGCTAACTGAGTTCTAAGTATATCGTGTATGTCCAGAGTTTCCAATGACAATGTGTCGAACAGGAGCATCATGATTAGGGCATACAGTACTTGCAAGCTCCCCTGATAATTTCAAACCGACGATGATTCAGCTCTGAAAAGACTTCTGTTCTCTGTTCTCTATCGACTATTGTCCAGTTTGCGCTTCTTGTTCCATGCCACCGTAGTTTGAACTCTATTGCTGTTCGTTGTGAGGCTGTCCGACAATTGTGCTGCAAAGTCAGACAAGTCAGCCAAGCGACCTGCAGCACGCGCGCGCGTTATCCCACGCGAGGGACCGGCAGCAGCGTTTGCAGCAGTGCCTGTGGTGGAACGAGGGTAGTGTGCCCCAGTAGAGGTAGAGCCAAACGTGAATGCACCAGATGGACCGGACGTACACGCATGGGTGGTTTTAGTACTATTAGCGGCGGTGTTCGCATTACTTCCCGCAGCGACGTTCTGCTTCGTATTACATCGAGAGTAGTATGCGCGTGCAAAAGCAGCGACTGCAACCTCGTGATCAGCACCGCCTGTCGTGTTCATAGATCCAGGGCGCACACTTTTAGTGGGGACGCGTGCTCCTGTGGACGCAACGGTAGTTGGGACTGGGTTCGCCGAGTGCGTAGACGTAGTACCGGCAGCTCTGTTAGATCTGCGCGAAGGGTCGCACTTTACAGCATCAGTGGGAGCTATGGCTGCTGTTGACGCACTCGTAGGTGGAGCTACTGTGGATGCAGGGGTAACAGGGCGTAGGCGGGCGGGTATAACGATGGTGATGGGAGCCGATGTCTCCCCATCTCGACCCTGACCACACCCTCGTGCGTCGCCTATATTCCCCCTCGCACCCCTGGCACGCAAATAGATACGACCGCCTCTAACAGGGGCTGATTGCGCTTGTGCCAAGTCATGGGTGCCAGTCGTTGCCTCCGACAGCGTTGCAGTAGTATTCACATGTCCGGTAGTATCGGATGTTGATAATGCATGGGAAGCGGAGGGTGGGAGTTCGATGGACCAGGGCGCAGTCAAAGGGGGTTGCCGCACGGTAACGGGCGCCAATTTCAGATTCGAGCTAGCAGCAGTACCAGTGATCGTTTGTTCCGAATTCCAATTAATCGAGATATTTGAGTTAGCTGTGGACTGAGATGCTGAATGGGTGTTAGTGGGAGTCACAGGCATGCGAGAAGGCATCACTCTGCCGCACGTGGGACACTTGACGCCTGTAAGTACAACTGTATTCGCCTCCACCTTGCGCAAGATCCTGTCGATCCCACGGAGAGGCGTATGATACAAACTTCCATTGTTAGGCGTATGATAAATACTGGCAGAGCGTGTGCACACCATCACACCCGCTACAGAAGGGTTAGGAGTTGTTGCACTCTTCTCTGTAACTTCAGAGACAGCCTTGTACGTTTCATGGCTCGAAGTTGTCGAATTCTGATCTTTCTTCGCTTCCTCTTTCTTCGCCTGTTCTTTCTTGCGCTGGCGAGCTTTGGTCTGTTTCTCACTTTCAGCTAGTGCCGCTGCTTGCGCTTGCTTGGGTACTTTGATTTGTCTGCCGAATCTTGTCGTCGTAGGAAGGTTCACAGGAAGGTTCAATGGTGACCGAGCTGCAACGGAAGACCATGAATCACCGTCCTACAACCAGTATCTCAGAGATGACTTACGCCGGTGTTGCTCAAGGGTGTCGTGGATACGAGAGCTGGCTTCCACAGCAAAAGGTAATTGTTGGCTCATCTCGAAGTCTGATGAAAAGAAGTCAGGTATAAATTTAGAACACTGATCGAGCCACCCGACCGTATCCGAACGCAAAGTCCTCAATATCCAGACTAGACGCTCCACGACCATGCATGTTTTCAACTGCTGCGTCTGCGATACTATCAATAAGTTGGGTGTGAGCTTCATAGATAGTGTTCGTGATGATCGTCAAAAGCTAGAGGGGGCGATCATTCGAGAACTCTGGGTATTCTTTAAAGTGGCTCTTACCACAGGTATATCGCTTCCCACAGTTGACATCCCAAAACGCGCGCGGAAGTACTCTGTCGCCCATTTGTGCACATCCGTGAAGTTCTCGATCAGCTGAGGACCGAGTTGGCGAGATGGATCAATCGGAGGATTTTTGGGGTGGTCGCGATTGGCAAGCAATTGCAGGGCCCCCTGGATAAATTGAGAAGGCTCGTTAAGCTATGAAACCGTCAGTGGAGTGTTTCTGTGACGTGAACAGAAAGAACTTACCGATACACTGACCCTCTGACCGAGTGGCAGAGGAATTTGCCTGTTGGCATAATCCTGTAGAATGGGCCGAGTATGTGCAACCCATTCGTCGGTTGACTGGAAGCTGAGTCGTAACATGCTGACAAGTAGACGGAGCGCCATGACTCACAGAAAAATCGGGTAATGGATAAAATAGATCCTCATCGTCCAACGGGCCAAGATCAGCTGGATGTTGACCAGAATAGAATCTGTCTTCTGTCAAAGCTTTCCCCTTCCCCTTACCCTTTGAGGCAGCAGAACATCTCCCGTCAGCATTCTTCTTAGGTAGCGAAATAAATTGCTGGAGTGTGGGCTGCAAAAGCGGTGGGAAAATGGTTGATGGTAAGCGCTGAGTAGATGAGCCCATGCCACCAGGTAAGAGCTTGCGCGGTTCGTCAGGAAGAGTGGAGTCTACGTTGTCACACGAATTGAGAGCTGGTGGTGTGGTATCAGAAGGATCATAAGAGTAGTATGAATCTGCGCCTGTGGTGGGTGGTACTGATGTAGAATTGATGCCAGACTGGTATCCCTCATCCTTATCATTCGAGGGAGGGGTTGTTCGTGATGAGGTGAATGACGCAGTATCTACGTTTGAGGTAGCGCGTTGGACACGAGTGGATCTTCTGACCATACTGTGAGACTAGTGATATGGAAAATGAGTGGTTCTGTCTGCTGTATGAAAACTGGTGCTTATGAAAGACCAAGGAGTCACTGCTGTGGCTGCCCATCGTCATCGTCAAAACACGCAAACAGGTTATCACTGCTTCAAAAACAAAGGTGTAAGACCTTGATTTGGCGTGAAAGGGAGTGTTAGACAAAGGGAGGATATCATGTTACCGACTTGGAAAAGTTAGAATGGTGCTGCTACACAATGAATCGGCATTGTCTCTCAGAGTAGGATGTATGAAGTAAATTTGTTGACTATTACATAATTTAAAGTTACTCGCTCAGTCACTCACGTGCTCACGAGTTGCGGCGCGCGCAGACCAACTTTTTATTACTAGTAGCTTGCTTGACTCGCATCAACAAAGTGCCAATCCAAACGAGACACGCTCGTCGCTAATATTGCACCAAGGCAATTACTAGATCACGCTGCTACCATGAATATCACAAGCAAGGTTTCAGGCCCAGGTTCCACCCGGCATTTCAGGAGTACGAATCGATCTTCAAAACAATATTGGCGGCCTCATGATCACGAAATATAGTCAAAGTACATATAGTTATCCCATTGCGCATCATATATATAGCAATCGGTGCGGAATTATCGCCCCACAATTCAAAGAATCTGACATCGCTGTCATACACAGGAACATGCGCGCAATCGCCCTACATCGCTTTACGATCGTACAGTCATGAATTGAATTATCATGCATCTTGTGCTTCCCACTGCAAGTTGCGTAGTCTGGCAGTACTTCCAAATTTGACGAGGGCTTCGAGAGTGGTTTGGGATAGCACTTCCTTCTGCCGAGAGACAAGCTTACGCAGCCCTCTCGCAAAATGGGGATGTTGGCTCAAGAATGGAAATGTGATTTTGCTTATTCCAGAAGCGTAGACCCTCAGACATCGGTCCGTTTCAACAAGATTTGGCTCATTTTCCAGGAATGTGACGTTAAGCTTTGGTTTCACATTGAGGTCGAGGAGAAGAGCGATGTGGGGGAGATTCGATAGGCACTGGATTGAATCATGCGTACGAGTGACGAACCCCAAGTCTTGCTCATGGTAATTCTTTCCCGTTTTGCCATAGGAAATAAACATCTGTGAGACGCGTTTTAGATCTTCGGAGCCAAGGATACGATCGTCAAAATAGATGGGAATCATCTTGTCGACGAACAGCTGCAGATGATAGCATTGGACCGCGCTTGTGCGATGCCAGTATCGCAAAGTCCACTCTTCGGTACTGCATCTCAGAGGCGTACGCCATAGCTGATTATCAGTTCGGAGTGCAAAGTTCTATTTTTAGAATGATGCCTGTACCTCCGCCGAACTTCTATTACAATATTGTTTTGTAAACCTAACGGTCGACGGTCCTGTGGCACGGTCAATCCAACGGGTCATCGAGAACGATATGAAGATCTACATTAATCTTCAGGTGGAGTCAAAATGTCTTGAAACACGCGAGTCCACCACTAACTTATCACCAGGGTGGTCACATCAGGTTCCTATACTATAGGAAGACCGCAATACGTGACTCGCACAGGTCCGATTTATCCGCGGGTCTGTATAAGTATAAGTCAGCGTAATCACGCACTCTAATCTCACCGTACCCGTCGCTCATCACAGTAAGTCACCACCTTTGTGTTCTGGAGTACTTGACGCGTTGCAAAGTAGGGGGTGTCTCAATTGTGACCATAAGCAAGCACGACCATTTCAATGGCGATTATCATTGCCGCATGCACCCTTATCATTATCTTAGCCAGCGTCTGGACAGCGAAACAACGATACCAGGCCGCAAGACGGTTGCCATTACCCCCTGGACCGCCTGGACGTTGGCTATTAGGAAATGCGATACCAAAGTCATAGTAAGTCGTTGTCAAGGGACACCAACATGATCTCTATCTAACCCCTCACGCGCACGCAGCGCGCCGTTTCAATTCGCGAGATGGACAGATCAATACGGACCTGTGTTCTCCCTCAAACAAGGCCATAGGATTTTCGTAGTTATAGGACGTCATCAGGTCAGCATAAAACAATACATTGTCTAGCCAGACATGAAGTGGATCACGTCACAGGCTGCAGTGGATATCATGGAAAAAGAAGGAGCAAATGTTGCCGACCGCCCACGTTTCATTGGAGTGCAAGAGCCGTTGTCTGGCGGGTTCAGGATGCCCCATGAGGACAGGAATGAGATATTGCGCCGGATGCGCAGGTACACATCCTGTCTCTACTAGGTGCTATCAGGGAGACTAAATGTAAAGCAGGGTCTTGCATGCAAACTTGCAACCTAAGGTTGCGGAGACTTATGAGCCCATGCAGACCGGGCATGCGAAGAATCTGGTTCTAGATATCTTAGATGATCCAAAGAACCACCAGAGACATGCCATGCGGTACGAACACCAGCTCATTCTCGCGGTACAGGTGTTAATCCGAGGATTTCAGTTATTCAGCTTCCGTGATCATGTCCTTCAACTATGGAAAAATTACTCCGACTTCATATACAGATCCTGAAGTCGTTTCCATCAACAGGTTTTCTACGCGTGTTGGTCAAGCTATGAAGCCAGGAGCATATCTTGTGGATGCGTATCCAATGCTGCGTTTCGTCCCAGGCTACCTGAGTGAGCTGAAGGCGTGGCACAAAGAAGAACTTGCTTTCTATGACGGGCAGTTAGACGCTGTGCGAAGACAGATGGTTCGTGATGATTTGCTTGTGATGATAGATATGCTCGCTCACCACTGTAAAGTGTGAGGGAACTGCTACAAGTCCATCCTTTGCGAGGTTCATATTAGAGCACCAGAAACAATATCAGCTCGAAGATAAGGGACTGGGATACCTTGCAGGTATGGTATTTGCGGCTGGTTATGATACGGTAAGTTCTGACATTTGCATCGCGTCTTGACTCGACAACTGTTGTAGACTGCGTCTGCAATCACAATTATGATGATGGCAGCTGCCACTCATACAGATGCGCAGGCTCGCGTACAAGAGGAACTCGATAACGTGGTGGGGCGTACGCGGCGTAGGTCATGCATTTTCTTTGTTCGTCTACTGACTGAGATAGCTCCTGATTAGTGCCGATGTTTGCTGATCAGGAGGTGCTGCCGCAGGTTACCGCGTTCATACTCGAGAGTCTCAGGTGGAGACCTGTCACTCTTGGAGGTACGTCTTATTTGAGTTGTGATGATGGGATAATGAACGACCACCTTGCACTACAGGCCTTGCTCATCGCGCGAGTAAGGACGTCATTTGGAACAACTACCTCATTCCGGCAGGTGCGACCGTGATTGGGAACCATTGGTCAGTAGGCAATCATTTTCGTCCTCTCACCTTTGGGTCTGACGCTCGTGCTTCAGGGCTATCGCAAACGATCCTGAAGTCTTTCCAGAACCACAGACGTTTAATCCTCAGCGTTGGATCGACGATGCAGGTCGTGTGCGCGGTGATCTCCGGTTTTTCACTTATGGCTTTGGCCGTCGGTGAGTGACATCGTTCATCTCTCGACCATTTCTTATTGCTTACTTGAAAATATCAGAGTGTGTCCCGGTCAACATCTGGCGAATCGGTCGGTCTTCATTAATACGGCTCTTATTCTGTGGGCCTTCCGCCTTTCTGAGAATCCTGCCGCGAAGATTGACACGTTTGCATTCTTGGACACCTTAAACATACAAGCTGCTCCGTTTGAGATGTGTTTTGAGAAGAGGATCGATGAGAACGTGATCAGGGAACTATGCGCACCGGGAAAATAAGAGGTGTTTATTCTAGAAACTTGAATTTTTGTGCAAAGGAGTTCGTCTTGCATTTTGGTGTTTACTCGTCATTACACCTAACTTTGTATATCTTTAAACAGTTGTCAAGATATGACTATCGATGTCACTCTCGTACGTACTCATCCTTTTCTTTACATATGCAATCACTCTTTGTTACATGCCTCATACACGTTCTCCTTTGATTCTCCGTCTCAATCAGCGCATTAAGACTTCTCTCCGTTGAATATCCTCCTTAGTCTTTTGACCCAATGAAAAGTCTCGTTCCCATTCCTAGTCCGAGCCTCTCGAATCGTCAGGACAGGCGCGATTGTAATCATGAACCGGCTCCCCTTGGTGTTACCACGCATCAAGTATCTCTCGATCAATTACGATACTCTCCAAGTTGCGTGGCCGATCGTGAACTGTTTACAGACAGCCCCCGGGTAAAATGAAGTATGATACTGAAGTGGTATCCTTCTACCATTCAATTATTCGGCCACCACCCATGCGCTTTCTTTCTCTAGCTGGCTAAATTGAAGAGCAGACAACTTGACTTTGCTCTCAAAGTTGACACGGGTTTCATTGTGTGCTTCCCAGTCTCATAGATCCGGTCACGTTAGTCTTTAATGTGGCTGACAGCCCCATCAGCTATATTTTTTTACCTTCACTTCGAGGCACCTCTGAAGCACCTCAAGCTATGTGACATCTCTCGCTTAATTCCTACTACTCAGCGAGTCGTGTTTCGGCTTTCTCATTGATGTCGTGGCTAATGGCACAATACGTAGTTCGATGCTGGCTTGGTCGATGTGGTTGTTGTTCCTGGAGTATGGGCAATTTTCCCTGCTTCATGGTCAATATAGCAATCGGTGCGGAATTCGAAACTGTTATCGCCACACAATTCAAAGAATCTGACATCGCTGTCATACACAGGAACATGCGCGCAATCGCCCTACATCGCTTTACGTTCGTACAGTCATTATTCAAATTATCATGCATCTTGCGCTTCCCACTGCAAGTTGCGTAGTCTGGCAGTACTTCCAAATTTGACGAGGGCTTCGAGAGTGGTTTGGGATGGCACTTCCTTCTGCCGAGAGACAGGTCTGTGCAGCCCGCTCGCAACTTGGGGATGTTGGCTCAAGAATGGAAATGTGGTTTTACTTATTCCAGAAGCGTAGACCCTCAGACTCATTGGTCAGTTCCAACAAGATTTGGCTCATTTTCCGGGAATGTAACGCGAAGCTTCGGTTAGCTACTTATAGGTTCGGAGTGCAAAGTTCTATTTTTAGAATGAGGAAGTCGACCTCCATTACCGTATTAATGTTTTGTAAACCTAACGGTCCTGTCGCACGAGCAATCCAACGGGTCATCCAGAACGACTTGAAAATCTACCTTACTCTTCAGGTGGAGTGGAAATGTCTTGGAACATGCGCGTCCACCACTAACTTATCACCAGGGTGGTCACATCAGGTTGCTATAGAAGACCGCAATTGTACGTGATTTGCACAGGTCCGATTTATCCGCGCACGCCGCAGGTGTTCAATCCCGTGTTTGTATAAGTATAAGTCAGCGTAATCATGCACTCTAATCTCACCGTACCCGTCGCTCATCACAGTAAGTCACCACCTTTGTGTTCTGGAGTACTTGACGTGGTGCAAAGTAGCGGGGTGTCTGAATCGTGACTGCCAGACCGTTTCAATGGCGATTATCATTGCCGCATGCACCCTTATCATTATCTTAGCCAGCGTCTGGACAGCGAAACAACGATACCAGGCCGCAAGACGGTTGCCATTACCCCCTGGACCGCCTGGACGTTGGCTATTAGGAGATGCGATGCCAAAGACATAGTAAGTCATCGTCAAGGGACACCAACAGGATCTCTATCTAACCCCTCACGCAGCGCGCCGTTTCAATTCGCGAGATGGACAGAACAATATGGACCTGTGTTCTCGTTCAAACAAGGCCATGAGATTTTCGTGGTTATAGGACGTCATCAGGTCAGCATAAAACCATACATTGTCTAGCCAGGCATGAAGTGGATCACGTCACAGGCTGCAGTGGATATCATGGAAAGAGAGGGAGCAAATGTTGCCGACCGCCCACGTTCTATTGCGGTGCAAGAGACGTTGTCTGGCGGGTTAAGAGGGTCCCTTGAGGACAATAATGAGAGATTGCGCCGGATGCGCAAGTACACATCCTGTCTCTACTAGGTGCGATCAGCGAGACTAAATGTAAAGCAGAGTCTTGCATGCAAAATTGCAACCTAAGGTTGCGGAGACCTACGAGCCCATGCAGACCGGGCATGCGAAGAATCTGGTTCTAGATATCTTAGATGATCCAAAGAACCACCAGAGACATGCCATGCGGTACGAACACCAGCTCATGCTCGCAGTACAGGTGTTGATCCGAGGATTTTAGTT